GTAGTCGAAATTTATCCCTTATACGACTATCGAAATTTACCCTTATACGACTAGTCGTATAAGGGATAAATTGCCTTTCTAACCATCGTAGCGTAAGTTCGTCTATAGTCTACCTATTAGCGCTAGTATCAATTCGCTAACGACTAGGTAGGTCATCGTACTATGCATATTGTTAGTATACTAATGATTTGAAGATGACCCTTAGGGGGAGCACAAATCCCATCGCACCTATATATTCAATTGACGTGACTTATTCGCGGTTCCCTGGCTATAGGACACCCCTCCGACCATAGTATTCAGCTCTTATAATGCATTTATTAGTTGCAATTAGGCCTATTGCAAAGCCTATTTCGTCAACTGTGCGTCGTACAAGGTCAAACAATGGCTCAATGATGCGCCGATCTTCGCATAAAGCTCTTTAGTAATTATACCGTCGAGAATAGCGCGATTTGAGCTCTAGATGGCGAGTAGTATAGTTGTAGACGCATTTAGTCCCAATAGGGCTGACTATCACGCTTCACGCTCCCGTAATAGGATATTTGCCATTTCTCTAACCATTGATGGCCTAGGGGGAGATCCACGTGCGTCCATAGATAGAATCCATTGTAGGAGCGATTGCTCTTCTTCAGGAGTCAATTTATGATTATATATGCGCGTATCTTTGCGAAATTGGTGGCCATTGATGCGATCGCGGAGCGTTGTGTACGGTACGTCAAATATGCATGTAGCTTTGCGAATAGATGGAATTTCGCCATTCTGGAGGCTTTGATTGCAAGCTGGATTCTACCCTCTTGATCGACAGAATTTTGAGAATTTTGGCTGCGAATAGAGGGCATGGTGGATAGTTGAAATGAGGAAGCTGACGCGTTGGGTGATCGGGTGGCTTACATGGGCGACTCGCTTACCGACTACGTTACAACTATATTTAAAGTAGGGAAGAAGAGGGATTATTTTATATATTAACAAACAGTAACCAAAATTATATTGATACAATTACTATTATAACAAGAGTTATTAAATACTCGTAGAGTTTATTTGCCCGATGTCTTTACGTATAAATTGTTAGTAATCTTATAATAAAATCTATACTTGATTTATTGTATAATTAGGATGGAATTAGTAGTACTTTAACGTTCCTATAAGAGGGTTATTATAATATAGACTAATTAAGGTTTGATATACATTCTCTACCAGAGGGATATAGAAATAGTTATAGAAACATATACCTAATATACCTAATAGAATTAACTATCTACCTTCATCTAGCTTTAACCCTACTTTAATAGCTTTCTTTTACATCATGGTTCTTAAGACTTCGCCGTATAACTATAAAATAATTATAAAAAGGAAATTTCAAATAGATATAGTACTTAAATAGTAGTAATCTACTAGTAAAATAGTCCTAATACTTCTATTTAGAGCGTCTTAACTTACACCTCTCTTCTATGATAGGCTATTAGTTAGGTTAATTTTCCTACTCTAATACCTAACAATCAAATTAAAAGGCACAATTAATATGCCTAATAGCTATTAAGCGTTAGTTGGCTTTTAAAAGATCTAAATTAGTAATCTACTAGTATATTAATAGTAAATTAGGCTCCTTTTCAAGTACTATCTTTGATATTCAGAGGAATAGACAATTATAAAAAGTTCTTAGTCTAAGGTACTATAATTGATTTTTATAAATTTATAGGCCTAAAGGGTAACAGGAATAGTAATAGCTAAGCTTATTCGGTTAAGATAGCATATCTAGTATTGTTAGGTTAGATGTCTTAGTTTCCAAGTAGATCTACAACTATGGATTAAAGTATTTGAGTAGAGGCGTTGTAGTAAGTAATAGGGTTATAAAATATATCATACTCTTTTAGTTCTACTATATTTAGCCTCTTTCTATGTTTATCACCCTTAAGTAAGAATGTAAGTGGTAATGTAATAAGAGAAAATCTATCGGTAAATTATCTATAGAAAAATAAAACTTAACAATCAATCAATAGTTCATTCGCCCGATGTAGCTTGCTTTAGATACAGCCACTATGCGGGAGTGCTGTCAGCCCTGCCTGGCAGCCGAGATAATGACTCCCAGGGCCCAAAAGCGTCTAAAGTCCCTGGTTTAAACCATGCACGTGAGTTATAGTAGCTCTTTAGAATTTCTTATGAGATAATAGTATTAACTTATTAATAGTCTATTAGAATACTATATAGACTAATAATAGAACTAAGGAATTTAATATACCCTTAGTAAAATATAGACTTTAATAGTAGAGCCTATACTATCTTATCCTTTTAACTAGCTATATTAGGTGTAAAATATAATCTATTTATCTCCATTATAGATCTAAATATAGTAGTATACGTCTTATACGTTAAGTTTACAAAAATACTATAGTAGTCTATATAGAGATATAATATATTATCTTTCTTGGGTATAAAAAGAATAGGTATACCAGCTAGACTTTGGATTATATAGATTTATCTGGTTAAAATATTTTTATCAAATATTATCAGCTATTGACTCTGAGAGAGAGACAGAGAGAGTAAATTAAACTATAAGGGAGTGTAATATTTTTAATTATCTTGATCCTATGAACTATCTTTCTTAATAGTATAATATTCAAGTATTTACTCAAGAGAATATTGGTTTTATTGGGTCTAAAGGTAATTTATTTATAATATTTAGGTTAATATATATACGCTTATACTCTGGCATGACTCCGGTTTCAGGCCTCTTCATTAGTTGGTAGTGGTATAGGGGCCAGGACCAGTCCGGACTATTCACGTAGTTTCCTACCCTATTTATTCCTTTTACGAATTCTAACTATAGTCTAAACTTTATACGTACTACGACTGACCCTTCTAGCGGTCGTATTTAGTATGTACTACCTGGACATGTTTACTTTTTCCAAGAGTTTTAGACAAAAACCAAAGCTAACCCTTATCCGATGACCTGACTAATTTTCCTATACGAACGATTTTTCTTTTACCTTGCCCTTTATTGCAATTTATGTTAACCTATAAATTCAATGACATATCTATTCGTTCGGTTAGAAGAAATAAAACTATAATCTATATGTAGATCTGTTATATTCTTATATATAATACCAAGGGCTATAATTAAGTTTAGTAGAGAAAGCTAGGCCTCTTTCTTATTCCTCTATAATATGTTTTTGGTATAGTAAGATAGGCATAGAACTATAGATCTTATTTGGGTCGCTAGTGAGTAGTACTTTCAAGCTATCTTATAATAACGTTAGATTCTAACCATTTTAGTATTTTGGATTCTTAAGACTCTTGGTCTATTCCTTAAACGTAAAAATCCCAAGCGACCCGTCCACCCCAAAACATACATTTTTATAACTCGATTAATCTTTCAAAGTGTTAATTTTGTTTGATTATTGGTTTGATACTACTATAATATCTAAGAGATACTGTGAACTAATTTAAACAAGAATAAATAATTATTTTTTCATTACTAAAAAATACATCTGAGGGCGCCAAATATAGGTATCTCAACCACTGAATATTCTTGATCCTTTAAACCCCATAAACTGGTTATATATGACCTGGATAGCACTAGGCGACAATTAAATAATATATAAACATATTGTTGCTGAGCTGAATTATAAAATTCATCGAAGTTACTATGGTGTATGGGGTGGGCGAGTCGCTTGGGCTTTACGTTATCGTTTTGGCCTAGTTAATAGGTTTCTACCCTAACAATAACTAGACCTAGCTTCAAGTCACTAATCTACTATCTATGTAATGGCTGATAGCTAACCTCCGTTATCTTGGTGAATACTCGGAATAATTTAGTATTTAGTTTTCAATCTCCAATAAATCCCACTAAATCCCATCATAGGCTAACGTATAGTTAATAGTATCGTAATAACAAGATACAAGGCAGGGAGAGGCAAACGCATGGGTATACGGTAAATATTTGGTCTAGTTTATCTAATAGGTCGTGCCGGGTGTCAAATAAATCATGATAGCACCTAGAGTAATCGAGATTGCTAAGAGATAGTTAACTAATTTCAATTCTACATATATTTAGTTGATCCTAGGATCTCTGGTTGGTGAGATAACACAAAGAACCAAGAAAAAATGCATTTACTGCAGTGTTTCAAAGTAGAAGGTTGCTTATGGAATATGTTTGAATGTTATCCTATGATCTTAGTACATAGTGGTCTTAGTAGTAGTATGGTGACGGTAGTTAACTCTGGCACGGTGGCACCTCAAGCAAGCTAAATATCACCCATTTGCTCGCCCCGACCAGTCCCTTCTAGTCTCGCCTTGATCCTAGAGGTGTTACTAGTATTGTAGATTATGCTGTTTGATACTCTCAGGTAGCCCTGAGTGAGAAGAAGCTGACTCATACAATCCCGAGAATGAAAGCGTGGATCCAACGCCAGTGGTATTTATGCTAAGGCCGGCTCCACTAAAATCGAACCCCTTACCTCTTTTGTCAGACCGAGTCTTCGTGCAAGGACAGGGGCCAATTTCAACAAGATGTACAGAATTGGGCCAAGAGGAACCAAATCGTGATTTCAATCGCACCAGTCCCAGAAAGATCTCCAGCCTCCTAGGCAAATTGACGCCAAGCCACTCGATTCAAGCGCTAGCTTCAATGATGGTGAAGATCACCCGTCTTATCCCATTATTGTTCCACATTCTTGTCATCATGCGTCTCCTGCGTTCCCCTTGAACCCCTGGAATATATTTAGAGCTTGGCCCTGTTCAAAAAATTTCTTGCATGCAGCGGTGGCTCCTACGCTTCGAAGCACCTAGCATCGTTGAGAGTCCTGACAGTCATGTCTAGTCACATAAAGTTCACAGAGCCGGTTTCGAGGAAAGGATCAAACGAACTCTCAAGGAGGAACCTGGGAGAAAAGGGCTCGGCACGAAGAGCGCCGTCTCCCGGAAGTGAAATTGTTTACCCTACAGGATGGAGACTCATCCTTACCACGATAGGGTAAATTTCCAGCTAAGTGCCCGAGGGCTGCTGGATGGCAAAGACTTACCAATTATTTGGCAATAGGCTCCTGATTGGTTTTTTTCTCTCCAATTTGGATGTTACTATTGTAAGCTCGTCTCTCACGAGTATCACAGATAGCCTGGAAGGGTTCGAGAAGAGAAGCTGGATTGTCACTGGATATTTGGCCACTTACACAGGTATGACCGACCCATAATGCAACTGATTGTAATTGTTCCCTTTGCCTCGTGCCCTTGCAAAGAATTAGTTCTATCTATTTCGACACGCCTTGCCACTCACTATCTTCGTCCTTTATAACTGATCTTAACCCTTTTCTAGGTTCCATGGCAATATGGACCAAGGTCAGCGATATAGTTGGGAGGAAACATGCCACAATTGCCGCACTTGTGATTCTGTTCGCGTTCTCTCTTGGATGTGGGTGCGCCCGGACAGTCAATCAACTGTGAGGTCTATGGAAGGCTATACTGGCCAACGTTCAACAACTAACCCTGTTGGCGCAGAATAATACTACGAGCATTACAAGGAATAGGGGGCGCTGGTTCATACGCACTGGCAATCCTATGCACCTACGAGATAGCCCCTAAAACGAAGCTTCCTACCTACAGCGGTCTCATGTCATTCTGCCTTGCCCTTGCATCTTTGACAGGCCCAATAATCGGAGGTGCCTTTGCACAACACTCGGCCTGGAGATGGGTTTTTCTCATCAAGTATGTGAGGGTCTATTGGCTCCGTATATTGAATTGCGTCAACTAATCATTGTTTTCAGCGCTCCGCTGTGCGCTATTGCGATCATTGTTATTGTTATCGCGATGCCTAATAACTTTGGTCTTGACCAGCACACTCCCTCATTCAGAACGCGAGCGTCATATCGCTCATTTGCTAATCTTGATCTCGTGGGATCGCTTCTGATGATGACTGGCTCGTTTTTGATAGTCGCCGTCTTGAATGAAACAGAATTGGCGTTTTCATGGTCTTCGATGGAGGCGATTGCACTCCTTGTGCTATCGAGCGTTTCCTGGCTTGCTTTCTTTGCCTGGGAATGGCACATCTCGGGCACGCCGGGGAAAGACCCCATATTTCCTATGCGATGGCTTTTTGATCGTCCATGGCTGGGTATCCTCATGTGAGCCAAATCCACGCTTACTTTGATGGAGCGATCCACTCTGACAGACAATTTCCCAAGTTCCGCTTTTGTCACCGGTGCACCGTTCAACGTCGTCCTAGTCTATGTTCCACAGCAAGCTCAAATCCTGCTAGGCAAGTCGCCTCTTGATTCTGGTATCTACTTGATTGGATACTCGGCTGTTGCAGCTGTTGCCGCGGCCCTTGCCAATATCGCTAGCTCCAGAGGACGCATCCCATTCGTCTACTCTCTACTCGTCGGCTGCGCAATCCACACCGTCGGTGTGGGACTTCTTTCAACTGTTGCCACTTCGGAGGGCTTTCAAGTGACAGATATTGTCTATGAGATTATTGCTGGTGCAGGAATAGGGCTGACGATGGGTATCTTGATGCTCTCAATACCATACATAGTCGAGGACAGAGACATCGGTAGGCCCTCCCGCTGAGCAACTCGCCGATGCTAGCTTACATATTGACTTGCTATTTTTTTCTCTCAATATAGCGATTGCCACTGGCGCTGTGATCCAGTTCCGATTCCTAGGTGGTGCTATCAGCCTCGCTATCGCATCTAATATCCTCAATGGCAATCTGGCGCATCGTTTGCAAGGTATTCTGTCCTCGCATGAACTGCATCTTTTCCTTGAGAATGTGAGGTCGATTGGATATCTATCTCCGGATCTACAGGAGGACGTGAAGAATGTCTTCGCCTCTAGCTATAGTACGCAGCTGAAGGTCATGATCGGATTCGCGGCCGCTCAGCTACCGGCAATTCTGCTACTATTGAAGCCCGGCCGCCAGCTTGCGGCTGACAGAGTACATTCAGGATAACAACGGCGGCACCCTGGTCTTACCGCTAGTTGTTTCAGATGTCCTGCTTGGTGGAGGGCTCATGCTCGCGCTGACAGGGCAAGGTGGATCAGGTGATTTTGTCTCGATCTCGAACCGGATTCGGTTTACCTCGATGCGTGAGCTAGTAGTTTAATAATATCTAATTGAATTAGTTGATGTATTGGCGCTATTTCCGACATGGGAGCGACGCGATGACGGGGTTCTATAGCAAGTGCGAGCTCAACCGTTCACCGTAGCCCGAGCGTTGCACCGATATATATTCACTGCCACCGGGAAGAACCCGCCCGGGGGGGGGAGAGAGAAAAAAGAAAAAGAAAAAGAAAAAAATGAAAAAATGAAAAAATGGATAGAACTAAGATTTGTCAATATCCATGGGATCGTCGTCAAGGTCATCGGTGTTAGTCTCCCTGCTCTGCTTGCTCTGCTTGCTCGCCGAAGTGGCCGAAGTGGAACTCCGTCTCTCAGACCTGGCCCGCGCTCTGAAATCCTCAATCGCTCTCCTTGTCCAGTCGGACTCCCTCGGCACCGTCAACGACGAAGCATCCTGGTATAGAACCAGTTCTTTGCCCGCCGAACTCGCCGATTTCGGGATCGACATCATCTGGGCGATGCCCGGGAGAAAGATTAGCGCGTCCCCTTCGGTGGTGTTATCTTCGGCCAGCTCGCGATCGAGGTCGTAAATGTACGTGGTCGTCTTGGTGTCGTCCAGGAGCATCGGATCGTGGTCACCGGGCGCAGGGGAGGGATCTGCCAGGAAGAAGAAGAATGTGTCAACCTCGTCTGCGACGTGGGCCAGGGCGCATCATCATCATCCTACCCAGCAGGTGCATGCGACCGAGTCTCTTGGCTAAGGGCTGCGCGCCATCGGGATCACCCTCGGCCGGGCGTTTCTTCGGTACCCCATCTTTCGCCATCCAACCCGTCTCTTCGGGTTGGCCCGATCGCGAATTGTCGTCGTCGTCGTCGTCTTCGTTGGTCGCGTGGGGTGGCTCGATGCGCGGACGGAGGAGGAAGTTGACTCATCTGGACTGCCACACCTTTCCTTCCTCTTCCTCTTCCTTCTGCACCACCACCACCACCACCACTGCCACCACTCCCACCCCCCCCAAGATGGCCTCCAACGATGGTCCCCACTGGACGGCCCAGCGAGTGCGCGATACCTTCCTGGACTATTTCCAGCAAAATGGTCACTCCTTTGGTGTGTTGCTACCCCGCCACCCGAGAATTTTTTTTTGGGCTCTTGCCTTTCCGTTGCCCTGACTGACCCGCTGCTGCTCAGTTGCCTCCTCCCCTGTCGTGCCCCTGTCAGACCCGACGCTGCTCTTCACCAATGCGGGCATGAACCAGTTCAAATCTATCTTCCTGGGCACCGTCGACCCACAGTCCGATTTTGCCAAGTTGAAACGCGCCGTGAACTCGCAAAAGGTAGGATTCATTCATCCCCAGCCGTAGGCCCGGCCGAGGTTAATCATCGTTCTAGTGTCTACGTGCGGGCGGAAAGCATAATGTGAGTGTGACCGATGGCGTTCCACAGGGGGAGGTAGGATGCTGACCAGCCTAGGATTTGGATGATGTTGGAAAGGACAGTTATCACCATGTGAGCGTTCCCGTGAGACATTTGCCCAGTCTGAGTGAGATACTGACCGCTGTCAAACGCCCAGACCTTCTTCGAGATGCTCGGTAACTGGAGCTTCGGCGACTACTTCAAGAAAGAAGCAATCTCCTACTCCTGGACCCTCTTGACCAAGGTATACGGACTCGATCCGGACCGTCTTTACGTTACCTATTTCGAGGGCGATGAAGCGGGTGGTCTGGAGCCCGACCTAGAGGCCAAAGAGCTGTGGAAGTCCGTGGGGGTCCCAGAATCTCACATCCTCCCCGGGAACATGAAGGACAACTTCTGGGAGATGGGTGACCAAGGCCCCTGTGGACCTTGCAGCGAGTTGCACTATGATCGGATCGGCGGGCGCAATGCAGCGCACCTGGTCAACCAAGACGACCCTAATGTTCTCGAAATCTGGAACAACGTGTTTATCCAGTACAACCGCGAGCCGGATCGCTCCCTGCAACCCCTCCCGAACAAACACATCGACACAGGGCTGGGATTCGAACGCCTGGTGTCCATCCTGCAAGATAAATCGTCGAATTACGATACGGATGTCTTCACCCCGATTTTCGAGGCCATTCGACAAGTGACTGGAGCTCGCGAGTACCAGGGCAAATTCGGTGCGGAGGACCCTGACGGGATTGACACAGCGTACCGGGTCGTTGCGGACCATGTTCGGACCCTCATGTTTGCCATCTCAGATGGGGTGATCCCCAACAATGAGGGTCGCGGATATGTGATTCGCCGGGTGCTACGCAGAGGCGCGCGGTATGCTCGGAAATACTTCCAGGTGGAGATCGGAAATTTCTTCTCGAGACTCGTACCGACGGTGGTGGATCAACTGGGGGGCATGTTCCCCGAGCTCCAACGAAAGCAGCAAGATGTCATGGAGATTTTGGACGAGGAAGAGTTGTCATTCGCCAAGACCCTGGATCGGGGCGAGCGGCAGTTTGAGCAGTACGCTCAGCAAGCCAAGGTCAAGGGATCTGATCAACTACATGGAGCCGATGTCTGGCGGCTGTATGATACCTTTGGCTTCCCAGTCGACCTGACCCGCATTATGGCCGAGGAACGCAACCTTCGGATTGATGACACCCAGTTTGAGGAAGCAAGACTGCGCGCCAAGGAAGCCAGCAAGGGCCAGAAGAAGGCTGCCACACAAACAGTGAAACTCGATGTCCATGACCTGGGGAAACTAGAGAAGATGAATGACGTCCCAAAAACGGATGACTCCGCTAAATTTGCCAAGGGCAACATCACTGCTTCCATCAAGGCGATTTACCATGGAAAAACATTCTGCAGTGGCACCGACAGTATCCCTGATGGAGAGCAGATTGGCCTAATTCTGGATCGTACAAACTTCTACGCCGAACAAGGTGGTCAGGAAAACGACACCGGCCGGATTGTCATCGATGGACAGACGGAGCTGGAGGTTGGTGATGTTCAAGTCTACGCAGGCTACGTGCTCCACACCGGCTTCATGAAGTACGGGTCATTTTCCGTGGGCGATACTGTCATCTGTGAATACGACGAACTTCGCCGCTGGCCCATCCGCAACAACCATACTGGCACCCACATTCTAAATTTTGCCCTTCGAGAGGTTCTGGGAGATGGCGTGGACCAGAAAGGCTCCCTCGTGGCGGCCGAGAAGCTCCGATTTGACTTCTCTCACAAGTCCGCCGTTTCAGATGCGGAGTTAGAAAAGATCGAAGCCAAGTCGACCGAGTATATCCGGCAGAACTGCGCGGTCTACGCCCAAGAGGTTCCTCTGGCAACCGCCCAGCAAATTTGCGGACTCAGAGCTGTTTTCGGCGAGACTTACCCAGATCCTGTCCGCGTTGTCTCCGTTGGGGTCGAACTGGAAGAAATCCTGAAGAATGTCCAGGACCCTCGGTGGAGAGAGGTCAGCATTGAATTATGTGGTGGAACGCATGTACAGAAGACAGGTGATATCAAGGATTTGATTATCTTGGAAGAAAGCGGCATCGCCAAGGGTATTCGCCGAATCATCGCCGTCACGGGCGAGGAGGCCCACGAGGTGCAGCGGGTCGCGGAGGAGTTTGGGAAGCGCATTGACCGACTGGATGGCCTACCCCTCGGACCCGAGAAAGAGCAGGACGCCAAGCAGATACAGGTGGATCTGAACCAACTCACCATCTCTGCAATCCAGAAGGCAAGGCTCCGGGAACGCTTCCTCGCGATCAACAAGAAGATCCTCGATGGACAGAAAGCGCAACAAAAGTTGGAGTCCAAGAAGGCGCTGGAAACCATCACCTCTTACTTCCAGTCGCCCGATAACCAAGACAAGTCTTGGTTGGTAGCTCGGCTTCCCATCTCGGCCAATGCCAAGGCTGTCAGTGAGTCTCTCAATCACGTCAAATCCAAATTGCAGAACAAGACTGTGTATCTGCTGGCCGCAGACACGGAGCAAGGTCGGGTTGCGCACGGATGCTACGTTTCCAAGGTTAGATTATACCCACTCTTCTATTAATTTTAGCGACTGATGTTAACCTTCGCTGCAGGAGTTGAGTGACCAAGGCGCGTCGGCGAGCGATTGGGCCGCTGCTGTCTCCAGTGCGGTTGGAGGCAAGGCGGGAGGCAAAGGGCCAACGTCCATTGGCAACGGAACCAATCCGGACAAGGTTGATGAAGCCATTTCGCTGGCTTCGGATTACCTGAGCAAATTCAAGCTCTAGTCTACTCGGAGGTGGGACACTCTTGGAGAGAGCGTCGTGGTTCCGGGTAAATGTTTATCGCCAACATTATGTTATATCGATTTTGACATGAAGAAGAGAAAAGAATGAATTGAGGTCGTGTTCTTTGCGCCATAGCCACCGATTTAAGTTTGTTGTAGCAAAACCACCATTATTACATCTCTCCGCACTGGACAATCGTGACATCCTGATTCGGTCGGTCTTTCGTCGTCCGTGTCCGCTCAATCATGTGAACAACATCCATGCCGTCAATGACCTGGCCAAAAACCACATGTTTGTTGTTCAGGAATGGGGTTGGAGTGGTGGTGATAAAGAACTGGCAGCCGTTGGTGTTCGGGCCCGAGTTCTAAGCGACTCAGTCTCCCGTGTCGAACATGGAATGGAAAAAAAAGGACTTACTGCCATGCTCAAGAGCCCGGCCCGATCATGCTTCAGCGAGAAGTTCTCATCGGCGAACTTGGGGGTTCCGTAGATGGTACAGCTTCCCGATCCATCTCCGTTGACAAAATCGCCGCCTTGAATCATGAAATCCTTGATCACACGGTGGAACTTGCTCCCTTTGTAGCCCTGCGGCCGTCCCTGGGGGTTCTTACTCTCCCCGGTGCAGAATTGGCGAAAGTTCTCCGCCGTCCGCGGGGTGACATTGGCAAAGAGCTCCATCTTGACTCGACCGAGCGACTCGCCTAGGACGATTTAGTTGGGTTGGGACTCGGAGAGGGACAGCGGTTATAGATAACTCACCCCCCAGAGTAATGTCGAAGAAGACGACGGGGTTGGCGTCCGCCATGTGTAGAATATGATATGTAGATATGCTCGATGCGTGACTGGTGGGTTGGTGATTTGCCTTCTTTTTCTGGGTCCAATCAGTCCGTCTGTCCCGTGACCGCCACCCCAGATGCGGCTTACCTAAGAAGTTACCTTCCATTCCCGTCTCCACTTGGGATTTCCCTTCCTCTGACGACTCGACGTCTTAGTATTATTCTTTCTCAACCAACACAACATCCTTGAATGCCAGGCCGTCCTCGGTCTCGGCCATCCTCATCCAGGTTTGATTCCTGCCTGCCTCTGGGATTCCGTGTTGGCAGACTGCGTGTTCCCTCCATTCCCCCCTCTGTCAGCCAGCCTCCGCTGCATCTCGTCTCCTGAAGCGCGAAGGCATGCATATGCTCAACGGAGGATGAGACGTTAGAGCTCATTAACTGCCGGGAAGTTTTCAACCATCTTGACAACCATCACCTCCTTTCCCCCCACCCATTCTCCTTTCTTGATTACACCCCAACATGGCATCCACCACGACTACGGCTGCTGCCGCTGCTACCACGACTAGTAGTGGTGGAAATAACTCGGGCAACGCAACCAGCTCACCTCTACTTTTCTTCGTCGCTCTCGGCTTTGGGGTGGTGTTCACCAATTTATGGTAAGTCCAGTCGTTCGACGCCTGGAACGTCCGGGAGGGCATCAAACCCTCCTCGGAGCGGTCGGCGTTTGGATAAGATTATGCGTCTGATGAATATCCATGCAGGATTATCGTGGGAGTAAAATACTGTTTTCGTTACAACCAGCGAAATCGCCAACTTCGAGGAGAAGACACTGGAGAGCCCATTGACTTGGTGGCCATGCCGCGAACCCATCGACGACGGAGGGAAAAGAAGCTGATGACGATGGACGAAGTCAATGAGCGTTTCCCGCTTGTCAAATACAAAGTATGGAGGTCTTCTCGCGCAAACCAAGGCCTACCAACAGAAGGAGGGATCACGGCCCCGAATAGCAGGCCCCATAGTCTGAAAGACGACTCGGGTGTGGTCTCTGCACCGGGGGGTTTCGTGACAGCCGCAGTATCGCCATCCGAGAGCGCCAATGACCGGATGGAATCGAGCGCCTCACAAGCCTCGCAAGACCAACACGCCGAAAATTCGATACAGCCGACAGACGAAAAAGCGCGCACTGTGGCTGGTCTTCCTTCCGAGCAACACAGCATAGGTGCAAGCAATTCCCCGCAGGAATTTAAATGGCAGCACACTTTGGCCTCGGAGACCGTTGAGCCAGATGAAGAAGATGATGATGGCGACCAGATCCGCAATGCACTTCCTGCTGAACTCTTGCCAAATCCAGGGGACTCTTGTGCCATCTGTCTGGACCTGATTGATGATGATGACGATATAAGAGGCCTGACCTGTGGGCACGCTTTCCATGCCTCCTGTGTCGATCCCTGGCTGACGAGCCGGAGAGCTTGTTGTCCTCTGTGTAAGGCGGATTACTACACACCGAAACCCCGTGCGCCAGGCACGGAAAATCAGCCAACAGGAGACCGGCAAGGTCGTCGTCTTGTTGTGGCTAACCTGGATACTATTACGAGGCCATCTCCAACTGCTCGGACCGGGCATCGAGCGAATCCGTTCCGAGAGCAATTATTACCGGGGCGAATATTCCCACCGTCCCACCGAAGGAGGGACCGATCTGCTCCGCCGGATGGGCATTCGCAACAAACGCCTCACGAACTTCGCAGGGTGGATGAGCCGGGGAGCACTGAACAGCATACCTGGCCCCGCCTAGTCCCAAGTCGCCTTCGGGGGCTTCTCAATCGCACCGGTCGAGAGCAACCTCCGCCGCCTGATACGGGGTTGCCGCCTGCTGACCCTTCACGATCTGAGCGCCGGACGCCTCGCGAACTGGAAGCTGGTCCGGACTAATAATGGGTCGCTCACGAATCCTTCTCTGCCTGCTGAATCAACATCTGGAATGTTGACTGAGACGCCTGCTTCTTATTGTTGATGACTTGATATGTGTAATTTATTCTTTGATCTTCTGCCGGGAACTCTGGCATCCATGCGATCTAGTTTCCCAGGGTAGCCTTCGGGGCTTGCTCTAACCCTTGCTATGGCAGGAGGTTTAAAAAACGATGGGCATCATCTTGGGGCGGCTTTGATGACATGCAGTGGGAGCATTTACATTACAATTTTATCTACCAATGGATAAAGCGCACTAGTGACGAACTGACCCGTGAGCCTAAGTGGTTATATGAAAGTAGATAATATGTATGACATTCCCCTCCCGCTCTGCCTTCAGATCTTCACATTGGGGCCTTGGTGCCGCCCACACCTGCCCCGATCACGCTCGGCAGCTCCTGCTGGCCCACGCTGAACAACATCCCGATCGCGCCGCTGACCATTGCCACAACCAAAATACTGACCCCAGCGACCAGGAAGAAGGGCGAGCTAATATCCCTCTTCTGACAAGCTGACCCACCCCATTGGATGGTCTCGGTTGTGCCATCGTCTTTCTCCACGACTGTTGGTTTGCATTGGCAGGCAAAGCAGCTGTCCTCGGCTCCTGAATTGCCTGATCCAGATTTTTTATAGCAGAAGCCGTGACCCGAGCAATTATCCGTTGCTTCGACACAGGTCGAGTTGGAGGCATAGCACACGGGGGTGAGTGTGGACGGCACCGACATGTCTTGGGCCGACCTTTTGAGGGCTCTCAGTTGGTTCGGGTTCGGGGCTCGAGATAGCATGCCGGAAGTACCTCGGCGGGCCAGCTTGTGTTCTGAGTCATTGCGGCGCGGTAGAATCAGGGCAGTGATCTCCTGTTTGCCTGAAGAAGATAATTTGGCTAGAGTGTGGAAGAAGGACTCCAGCGAGTTGGCGACGCGCTCAGAATCACCCGAAGAACTCTGGGGCTGAGAGAAGTGTTTGATTAGTGTCCATCCGTTGAACTCATTGGGGCTTTCCATTACCTTCAATAGTATTCTCGAAGCCGACAGTCCGGGCCCGTCAGGGGTCCAGGTTTCCACCGAATCAATGAGGCCGAGAAAGTCGTGGTCGAGTAAGTTACCCCCGGAGGAGAGAATAGGGTCTTCGGATACGCATTTTTTGGCATTCTAGATGCGACGTGCTCATTAACACGGGGCCATTCGAATCTTGAATTGGCAGCAGAGAGTAGTTACCTCAGAGGTCATTGGCAGACCGGGCGTACTGTGGTAGGTGCAATGTTTGCCATTGATTCCTGTCCCGTCACTTCCGAGGAATGAGTCCAGAGAATCGCTGTCCATGAAATCGGAGGAAGCACGAGGGATGTGGATATAACTTGGTTGGCTCTTTTGGATCGCCGAACCTGTTCGGATAATCAGTCGTCGCCCACGATTCTTAGGGACCAAACAACATACCCACTTGCCCATCGACCCCCTCGAGCAACACCAAGCTTCTTTTGGGGGAGTCATGGCCATCGGCGCCTCCAAATAGCGTGTTATCGGACCGGACAAACTGATTTAACTGATCCGCGGTCTCTGTGTCCATCTTGCCCAGCACGGCTGCGAGAGAGGACTTGGTCCGGAGCTCCACAATCAGCTGCGCGACATCTTCCGAGACGGAGTCTTGTCCATCCTGAAGGTGAAAGGTGAAGAGGGAAGCATCAAAGGCGCTTGCCCCTAGTGCACCTGTGACAGCCAGGGCCAGGAGCCGGGAGGACCAGCGCATATTTGGGGAGGAATGGGAAGTCGGGATGCAGAGAGAATTAATTTCCTAGGGAACGAACTCAAGTTGGAAGGGACAGCAGGTCATGGGGTGATAAGGTCACGTGGCCCCGGGACTCATCCTGCGTGGACTAGCCTGGCCGTCCACGGTTCCGGTCTTCCTCCCCTCTGGCTTTCTTTCTTTTCTTTCTTTTCTTTCGTTCTTTGCTGCCTCTTTTACTCTTCTTTTCAATGCTCCCGCTCAGGCGTCTCCTCCGACCTGCGCGCGCCGCTTCCTCTGTCTTCCGTCGCGCTCCATACTCTCATTATTCAGAGCCTCCAAATGTTCGCCATGTAAGGTTCAGGCGGCCCTGGATCAGGTGTGTATTTCAACCTCCTCCCTCCTGGAGCCATCATGCTCATGCAACTCAGGTCGTTCGTCACAAAGGCCTTGCTCTACGGCACAGCGTTTCATCTCTGGACTACCTTCGTGCTGGTCCGATTCGACGACGACCCGGATGACGCAGACTTGGCTCAGGAACCCAGCCCCAGCCAGGCGGCTGCGCGCCGAAACCTCCACGGCGGCAATGAATCTGGTGGAGGCGATGTCGAAGAGGTGGAAGCAGAGAGTCCTCTGTTCATCCCGTTGGGCTGGTCCTGGCTACAAGAGGGCGAGCGGTACACAGCAGCGGACCCGGAATGGCAACAGTTTGTCAAGATTTCCACGGACCGCCAAAAACTTCAAAACTTGCGAAGTGAGAAGACCCTCGTCCTTTCTGGCTCCCCATTTTTCTGACGGTCACAATAGAGGAACTGGCTACGATCGTACAGGATTCTGTCTCCGGTCGAATTTCGCAAATCCTCGGGGGGCCCATCTCGATCACCGGATTTTGGCTCGTCCATCAGTTCCCGTCCCGCGCTCCACCGTACTACATGCGGTCAGGGTAAGTGCATGTAGCTGCTTGTGGCCGATGTAACACTTGCTGACACCCAACACAGGATCGAGTACTCCGATGACGGTCTATCTTGGGTTTCCAAACCTCTGGATCCCGAAGTGGGTGACCGATTGCAGAGTTACATGAAACCGGTCCACGTGGCTCTCGCGATTAAGGATGCATATATGTTGGTCTTGAAAAGGCAATGGGCCCGCTTTACGGATCCCGAAGGACAGGCGCTGGATGTTGTGGAGGGTCTCTCGGAGGGTCGCCTTTCTCCAAACGGTGAAAACCTGGATGCGGTTCAACAGCGCGAATCTCCCGGTTTGCCAATGCCGGACGGTCTGCAGGAAAACCCCGCACCTAGCTCCATCTCTCACCCATCCTCGATCCTCTCCTCGCTACAACGGCTCCCCCTGCCGAATCTCGGCCCCGGATCCGATCTGTACCTGGCGTCGATGGCTTTCAAGTTGCGCTTGAGCGATTACCGGAGCCGAACTCCACGGACTCCTCGCCGAGGCACCTTCTTTATCTCCGGGCCGGTGGGCCTGAAGGGCCCGAATGGCTTCTGCCGATTCGAAGTGAGGGGCGAGTATGATCCAGCGACCGGACAATGGCGAACGGTGGACCTGTTGCTGAAGGACTTGAACTTCCGGCGACAACGGGCGCTGGGGTGATTGAGACAATAATAATAATGATGACCATGATAATCAATAATGTACATAGTTGCGGTAGTTTAACTAGATCGTGGGGTGATGACGCCAGTCCCCACCCTGGCTTCATCTTCCTCTTCCTCTTCCTTCCTCTTCTTCCTCCTTGTCCCTACATACATAACCAATACCTACACCATGTCTGTGCCGCCCAAATTCGCGGGCCTCAAGCTCGCCTCGGCAGGACCCTCTCCCCACACGCTCGAGCTGTGTAGGTGCTGATTATTCCAACCAACCAACCACTTTTGAACTAACACCCCCGTCCAGATCTCGACTATGTCTGCCCGGTCAGCCTATCCTCGTCAGACAGACCCCATGTACGACCACTGACCGGCCTCTAGTTCTCGGCCAAGCTATTCAACACCTTCTACGCGCTCCGACCGATGATCGCCCAGCAGTACAGTCCGAAACTCCAGGTCATCTTCCGCCAGCATATCCAACCCTGGCACCCGTCGTCGACCCTCGTCCACGAGGCTGGGGCAGCAGTCCTCCGACTTGCCCCCGAGAAGTTCTGGGAATTCAGTGCGGCCTTGTTTCAGCACCAGACCGAGTTCTTCGATGTCAGCGTAGTCAACGAAACCCGGAACAAGACATATGCCCGTCTGGCCAAGGTTGCTGGGAGTGTCGGCGTGGATGAAAAGAAATTCCTGGACTTGCTGACGATCAGCGACACCCCCGGCGAGAACGGCAGTCTGAATAGTGGCAACCAAGTCACCAATGACATTAAATTCATGATCAAGGTAGGCAGCGGGCTGGGCCATCACATCGCATGCTTCTAATATCATCTAGGCTGATCGAGCCCTGGGGGTCCATGTTTCGCCAACGGTGTACTTCAACGTGAGGAGCCCCCCACCCCCACCCCTATGGAAACAAAGAAACCCAAGATACTGACGAGCGCGCAGGGCGTGGAAGAGCCTGGTATCAGCAGCAGCTTCACGGCCGCCCAATGGGAGGAATGGCTGGTCAAGAACGTAGTCTGAGAGCCACCAGGACCGTACATGGTAAGGCAATCGTCCACTTCTTCGGGTCAGGCAATGGAGCAGGAAAACAACAGAGAAAAATAAATGAACCATGTCTCATTTCAAAACTTCCATTACGAAGCTGTAGGGGGGACCCTTATTGAACCCACCGATTCCGCATGTCCATACCATCATGATGGCCCCCAAATGGTATCGTCTCTCCTGGGTTTTGCCAGACAGTGTCATGGTGGTTGGACCTCCGTACCACCACCCGCCGTCGACCTTTCAATGCACCATCGCAACCAGGCTACTGGGTCAGCGGAGGCTGGTAGTTAAGTGGGCGCCTGCTCGGCGGGTTAGCGGCGCGCGAGAAAATGGTGTCCATGGGCAAGACCAACTTGAATAGCAGGATGTGCGGCTCTGGCTCGTGCACCTCGTAGTGTTCCCATCCCAAGCTCTGCGAGAAGCAGGTTAGCCTTGGCTCTCTCGGTCGTATTGGGCGACGCCACCTGTGTGATCCCCAGCGCGCGCCACTCCTCCTCCCACAACAGTTTCAATGTCCCCTTTGCGCTGTCGAAGTACTCGGCCGGGATTTTCTTCAGCATGTTTTTAGGCAGCTGGACATGGCGATATTCAAACTTGTCATCGGAGTACCTGTTTGCGTTAGTGATTGATTTTGGAGGCAGCGGTTCCTTCGGTACCTTGCCGAATAGTGGATTGAGTCGATGAATTCATCCAGCCGTTCTCGCTCGGATTCTAGCAGGAGACGCGGCTTTTTGTTTCTTCTGGTCGGATCGATCTCCATCGGGGAGGGTATGGGAGGATAAACCTGCGGCGATATGTGCAAGGTTTCTGTCAAAGACGAGTAACGGTGGTCAATTTGGCAGATATTGGGAGGCGGAAGGCGAGGCGCGTGAGCTGATCGGGGGGACGAGGAGGCGCTCACCAAATGTATGCACTATTCCGGCGCGTGGATGTGTACTGGCGGAGAAGAGGAAGGGGAAAAAAGAAAACCAAGGGGGAAACGAGCGATAGCAGGGACGGTCGACTTGGGGGTTTGGTTTGTTTTGGAGGGGAAAGAACAAGACCGAGCCGGGACGGTGCCTGGGTGCCTGGGTGCCTGAGGCTGTAATTCCGCTCTGACTAACCACCTGAACCAAGTAACTATGGGCGCGTCTCCCCCAACACGTCCTTCTCTCTGTCGGCTGGCCATTGGAATCTTCGAGATCAGCCATTGCTTTTAAGCGCGCTCTGTGAACCCGCTGAGCTAGCTCTTTGTTTTCTCGCTTCCTTCGCACCTAACTCCGTCACCTCTGCCGACCAGTTCCCAATATGAGCACCAAACGGCGCGTGGCCGCGGCTGCGCCCTCAGAGACCAGGCTCCGTGGACAGAAGCGCCGGAAAGTATCGGTAAGTTTCTCTTCTGTGGATGTCGCGATATGTGGTGTCTCGAGCGGCCGTAGGCGTTGTCGCTGGACGCGCCGTGCGACGGAGCTGGATGAGCAACATCCGAGCGCAAGCCTCGTGCTCAGTTCCTTCATGCGCAAAGACCATTGTTATTCAAGCATGCTAATTCCGGGCGACACGAAATAGGATGATGATGATGACCACATGGACTCCGACACGTCGCGATTGATTACAGACATCGGCTCCGAACTCTTGTCGCAAATCAAGGCGGCAAAGGACCGAAGGTACGCTGCACTCACACACTCATCCATGCGTTGCTTGTTGCCACACGTGCTGACACTGGACCGGGCTCTACTACAGGGGACGTCTCATTGCTGAGGAATTTCTGGAGTTGCCTGACCGAGTACGTCGCGTTGATCTCACGCGCTCCGCAATTGCCTTCGGAGGTTCGGCTAATGCCCAAGCATAGAAGCGGAATGCCGCATATTACAGAGCTATTCCGAGACCCATGGCGTTGGATCTTGTCGAGGTGCGCGCTATCTTCCCCAGTATTGCCTGGGTGTTGCATTTACACCTGCTCACCTGTCCCTTCCACAACAGGATAAGTTGAACAACCACCAGTATGATTCGACAGAGGCATTAGAAGAGGATTTGGATCTCATGGTTGAAAATGCGCAATCATACAACGAAGATTCCAGCCAGATTTTTGCCGATGCGGTGCGCATCCGAAAGATGGTCACTGACCTTTTGCCCAAATTGGTCAAGCAACATGGTGGCCTTCCAGCAGGGGCAAGAGCAAGCGAATATGCGAAAGACAAAGGATCATCGCAGGAGGCCTCAGAGGGCGACGAAGAGGAAGAAGAGGAGGACGAGGAGGGGGATGAGGAGGGGGATGAGGAGGAGGAACAGGATGAGGAGACCGAGGAGAGTTTCGAAGGCGATACCCTCCAACAGGCACAGGATAAGATTATGACAGAGCTGGCACGGCTAAGGGATGACGAGTGAGATTTATGACCGGACCCAATTTCTGCTGTCCTTTGGCTGACCCCTTGATCTAGTGGCGATGAGGTCTCCTATCCGTTCATCGGCAAGCCTGATCGGAATCTCTATCGAGATTACTATGAGATCATCCAGCATCCTGTGTCTCTCAGAAGTATTCAAAAGAAAGTCCGCGGCACAGACATCAGGAACAACCCAACTAAGGTGACCGCGTATCCAACCTGGCAGGCCTTTGAAGAGGAAGTCAGCTACATATGGCGAAATGCCAGAGAATACAACGAGGATGGCAGCGATATCAGCAAGCTCGCGGGCATCTTGGAAGTAAGATCATTTTGATGATTCCTCTAGTCCTCCCATTGACGAACCGACCAGGAATATTTCCGACGGCGAGTTGCAGAAGCCAAAAAGCTGGTCCCGGATCCCCCTCAGGTAGATGGAGACCCCGATCCGCCTCGCATCAAACTGAAGATGGGCTCAATGACGCCCAACCCAATGGGCCAAAAGTTGACATTGAAAATGTCTGCGCAGAACTCGGACCCGTCCTCGCGAGATGATGCACGGCGAGCCGGCGTCACGGTCGATAACGAAGCGCTGAAACGCCAACAGGACCTTGTCCGAGCGGGATCTGTCAGTCAAGAGATCGACGCGCACCGAATGTCCCCTCGGACGAGACTCCGCAGAGGGTTGGCAAGCCCGGGATCGAGCACACCATCCGCCGTAGAGCAATCGCAGGCCGTTCCTATGGGAATTAAGGATGATGTGTCGTCCCCGCACGAGATGTCACAGCCTTATCTGAATGTTCCCATGGGGTATGCCAGACACTCGCTTCCCGGGCCGGGAGGATTACCGTATCACGAGAGTGCGTTTGTCCCAGCCATATCAACCCCTTACATAGTGACCTCTCTGTTAACGATGCGACTAGATCAGACACCGTACCAACAGTCCCCCGGCATGGATTCTCATTTGCGACGGCCCGGACAAGGTTCGTTTTAGACCACCCAGTGTGGTATTGATGCAGCTACTAACCGTGTTCTAGACGCCAGCTCTGCTCTGATCCAGAATATTCAGATACTCACCCATCCAACGCTCTCCTTGCCGCAGGACTTTTGCTTGGATATCCCTCCGTCGGCCACGGTTGCCCAACAGTCTATCACGATCAACCTGCCCTCGTCACATAACCTGCTGACGGTGCGGCCTACCTTAGCATCCAGTACGCCGTTGCGACAGATCAAGCTGGCCACTCTCATGGGCATGCAGCGGCTGAACCCGACATCTGGGGAGGCTACCACACTGAATTATGATATACAGCTGCCGCCGGGCATGAGCAAGGTCGACGTAGAAGCCATTGCAGGACCGGCACGAGGCGTGCCCAAGACCGGCGGATCAGAGGTCGACTATGAGCGAGTCAGCATCTTCTTTAATGTCTTGCGGTAGCCCTCGGGTGTGATTTATCTATCTAGTTAGTCAAGGGATTCTTGTAGTTCATAGTTCACTTGGAGTGTATTGCCAGATGACTAAGCCCGAATCTGATTCCCACCGCGTGTCTTTTAGACTGAACCTGCCGACACCAACTGCCTCACGGAATGGCCCCAACGTCCTCTGTGACTCCCGTTCGGCAACAATGATGCCGGGTACTCCGGCTTGGCCGGATGGCGCTTCTTCAGGTAAGCCCCACGCTGATTGCCACGGTCTGCACACATCTCATCCCTCACGTTCCTTCCCCAGACGACCACCCTTTCTCCGTGGCACACATCCCCGATTCCCTGTTGAGAGCAGAGCTCAGACGACGAGATGCCGACTCGCCAGCATGTGGCACCACTGAGCGCGGGGCCTACAACACTCCATTGCATGTCATGGCGCTATTCCTCATTCTCGGACTCAGCACATTCGGTACGTTCTCAACTCTTTCCTTTCCTGGGCGGGCCCGGCTAATTGCTGTTCGCGTGCAATCAGCATGCTCCTTTCCTATTCTCGCTCGTCGCTTTCCCCGTCTTCCGATCCCACGCCGCTTTCTCTTCATATCAAGACACTTTGGCACTGGTGTGCTCATCGCAACGGCCTTTGTGCATCTGCTTCCGACGGCCTTTGTCTCCTTGACGGACCCATGTCTCCCTCGATTCTGGAGCCAAACGTACCGGGCGATGGCCGGTTTTGTAGCTATGATCTCGGTCTTCGCCGTCGTGTGCGTCGAGATGTTTTTCGCCATGAAAGGTGCGGGCCATGTTCATGGCAATGAGTACGATAATCTTATCGGTGAAATTGGGCGCGACTCGATGAGTGATTTTGGACCCGAGGGCACCAATTATTCGAGACTGGAGGCGGATGAAGCCCCGGACAATATCTGCCTCGACAATATCGACAACCATCGGGCAGAAGCTGCAGACCGGCCATCTGGTTCATCCCATGGGTCTGACCAGCTGCACTTAACAGGCACGCTCTCGGATAAAGAGCACAATTATGGAGAGACCGATGACGATACGCCCGCCAACGGGTGCACGTCTCGACCGTCTCATGCTCAGCCCCCTCGGCCACGTCTGAGTGGAAATTATCGACACCAGACGCACTCGGAGCTGCCGATCCAGAACCCACAACGCCAGCTTCTACAGTGCCTCCTCCTCGAAGCGGGGATTCTGTTTCACAGCATTTTTATTGGCATGGCGCTGAGCGTGGCAACGGGCACTTCATTCATCGTCCTCCTCGTCGCCATCGGTTTTCACCAGACCTTCGAGGGATTTGCGCTTGGGTCTCGAATTGCTTCGCTGATTCCGGATCTCTTCGCACCCTCCTCGATGAAGCCGTGGCTGATGTCACTGGCGTACGGCACGACCACTCCCCTTGGCCAGGCCATCGGCTTGGTGCTCCACAATCTCTATGATCCAGCAAGCACGACGGGTCTTCTCATGGTCGGTATCACCAATGCGATCAGCAGCGGTCTTCTCCTGTTCGCAGGTCTCGTTGAACTCCTGGCGGAGGACTTTCTGAGCGAATCCAGTTATGAGACTCTCAAAGGCCGGCGGCGGATCGAAGCCTGTGTGTCGGTAGCCTGTGGTGCCATCCTGATGGCTTTTGTCGGCGCGTTCGCATGAAATGAGTAATGTTATAGAATTCAGTCCTCGAGAGTGTCCAGTTTTGCTTCGTTTATCTTTTTGTAGTAAATATATCTCGCGTAGATGTGCATTCACTGTACTCCCCAAGAGGACCAAGAATGACCCTCCGTAATTACTTCATCTCAATCGGTAGCCAACTATATATCTGGGTATTCTTATTTTTCGCTCTCTGCATACTCGCACTAGCAGGCGTCATATCGTCCATCATTACCATTCTTTACAGCAGAGACTCAATCACCAGGGCACTCGCACCGCCGCCGCCATTGCAAATTCCAACACAACCCAGCTTGCCCTTCTTGTCCTTCAAGACCCCGATCAAGGTGGCCAGGATGCGAGCACCGCTGGCTCCGAGAGGGTGACCAATCGCCACGGCACCGCCGTGGATATTGACCTTGTCCTCTGAGAGACCGAGGAGTTTCAGGTTGGCCAGTGCCACCACACTGAAGGCTTCGTTGATCTCAAAGGCGTCAATGGCATCCTGGGTCACTCCTGCGTGCTTCAGAGCTTTGGGAATCGCCAACGCAGGGGCGGTTGTGAACTTGCTGGGCTTCTGAGCGGCATCACCCCAACCCAGGATTTTGGCAATGGGCTTCAGGTTAAGCTCGTTGACCTTGGCCTCGGATACCAAGACCACGGCTGAGGCACCATCGTTCAGCGGTGACGAATTCGGCGCGGTCACGGTACCAGTACCGGGAATAAACGCCGGCTTCATGCCGCGAAGCTTGTCGGGGTTGAGCTGGGGGGAAACAAGCACATCGTTAGCTGGGTTCACATAGGTCAATTTGAACTGTGCTTACATTCTTCGGCTCATCATCCTGAGAAACAGTTACGCCAGGCTTCCCCCTGAACCCGGGGATCTCAATGGGCGCAATCTCATAATCGAAAAGGCCAGCCTTTTGCGCGGCCTGGGCCTTCTCGTAGGAGCGGATGGCATAGTCATCCTGCTGCTCACGGTTGAACCCATGATCCTGCGCACACTCCTCGGCTTGCAGGCCCATAAGTTCCTGCTTACCGTAGGCATCCATCAGGCCGTCCTTCATGATACCATCCACTAGGCTCTGGTGACCGTACTTGGCACCGCTGCGCATGTTGGGCAGGTAGTGGGGGGTGTTGGACATGGATTCGGCGCCACCGGCTACAACAATGTCGGCGTTGCCGGTCATGATAGTCTGGGCACCGAGGATGACAGCCTTGAGACCCGAGGCGCACACCTTGTTGACTGTGGTGCAGACGGTAGAGTCCTGAAGCCCAGCACCGATAGCGCATTGCCGGGCAGGGTTCTGGCCGACGCTGCGGAGGAATGGTTAGCTGGGTCCCAACCGATCTGAAGGGTGTACTACTCACTTGGCCGACAGGACATTGCCAAAGAAGACCTCCTCCACGTCAGTCGCGTTGATACCCTCAGCCCGGTCGACGGCCGCTGCAAATGGCGTTAGTATTGGGAAGGGATGTTCACAAGCAGAATTGGACCGCACCTTTGATCGCATGGGAACCCAGCTGCGGGGCCGTCAGACTGGACAGGGAGCTGTACACAGCTGAAGTTAGCAATCCAAGCAACACTGAGTTTCTCTCTCCGCCACTTACCCCAGGAACGAGCCCACCGGAGTGCGGGCCGTCGAGACGATGTAGACAGGGGGCAGGGAAGAAGACATGGTGGGTGGTAGTATGTGAGAAGATGAGAAGAGGAGGAATTGAACGAGAGAGAAAAGGGGGGCAAAAGGGAAAGGCAAGGGAAGAACAGAAGATACAGTGTAGCCCACAGTATGCTCGGTGGGCCGGTGTGACTGAGTGGACGCTCGGGCCACTCAGAACTCTTTCTACTTTATTCTTTCCCGTCCTGCAACTCCCACCCTCCAACCACCCAAACTCCACCCACGATGGACGACCTCTATGATGAGTTTGGTAACTATATCGGTGGCGCCGAGTCCGACGAGGAGGAGGTCCAGCAGGAGGTCCATGCGTTTAATCTGGACGCCTACGACGAGGACGACGAGGAGGAAGATGTGGTCCACGACCAGCAATTAATGGAGGTCGACGGTAAGTTATGCCTCCAAGGATCCGGGGTCTCAGCTCATCAGTTACAGAGGGCCCTTCGAATGCCGTGGTCCTGCACGAGGACAAGCAGTATTATCCCAGCGCATCCCAAGTCTACGGCACCGACGTCGAAACCATGGTCCAGGAAGAAGATGCGCAGCCGCTGTCCGAGCCGATTATCGCCCCCGTTCAGCAAAAGAAGTTTGCAATCGCAGAGACCGAACTCCCGCCCGTGCATTTCTCCCGCGAGTTTATGACAGATCTCCTGAATTTTCCCGAGCAAATACGGAACGTCGCGCTGGCCGGCCACCTGCACCACGGGAAAACCGCGTTTATGGACATGCTGGTGAAGCAGACCCACGATCTGACCGACCGGCTAGAGAAGCGCATCGGCCGACGACGGGAAGAGCAGCTCCGATACACCGACGTTCACTTCCTAGAGCGAGAACGCGGCCTCTCGATCAAATCGGCGCCAATGAGCTTGGTTCTTCAGGGAACCAAGGGCAAGTCGCACCTCCTCAACATTCTTGATACTCCGGGGCATGTCAATTTTGTCGATGAAGTCGCGACCTCGGTCCGCCTGGCCGACGGCGTGGTGCTCGTCGTGGATGTTGTCGAGGGCGTTCAAGCAAACACTGAACAGATCATCAAACATGCGGTCTTAGAGGATATACCCCTAACCCTGGTTGTAAATAAGATGGATCGACTCATTATGGAGCTGAAGCTGCCGCCCAACGACGCCTATTTCAAGCTGAAGCATGTGATCGAAGAAGTCAACACGGTGATCGAGAGTGTTGTGTCAGACCAGGGTGAGAAGCGGCGCTTGAGTCCGGAGAAAGGCAATGTTGCCTTTGCGTCTAGCTCGATGAACTGGTGTTTTACTTTGCAGTCCTTCGCCCGGATGTATGCAGACACTTACCCACGGCTGGATTCGTCGGAGTTTGCTGCGCGACTGTGGGGGGATATCTTCTACAACCCACGGAGCCGCAAGTTTACTCGCAAAGGAGTGGAGGAGAACGCAAAACGGTCGTTTGTCAAGTTTGTCCTGGAGCCCATCTATAAGCTCTACTCCCATACGATCAGTGAGAGCCCAGAGGACCTCAAAGAGACTTTGGCAAGCGTTGGGGTTAGCCTAAAACCATCTCAGCTCAAGTCGGATGCAAAGGAGCTGCTCAACCTGGTTTGTGAGCAATTTTTTGGCCCTGCCACCGGGTTTGTGGATATGCTTGTTCAGCATGTCCCGTCCCCAGTGGAGGGTGCCCAGCACAAATTGGATCGGTACTACACCGGCCCTCTGGACACAAAAGTCGCGGCTTCCATGGCTTCCTGTGACCAGGATGGCCCTCTGGTGATCCACGTCACCAAACTTTTCAGCACAACCGACGCTGCCAGCTTCAATGCCTTTGGAAGGATCATGAGTGGTACGGCTCGACCGGGCCAGCAAGTCCGCGTTCTCGGCGAGGGATACACGCCCGAGGATGAAGAGGACATGGTCGTGGCCACCATTTCGGACACGTGGATTGCGGAGACAGCCTACAACATCTCCACGAATGGTGTTCCCGCCGGGAACTGGGTGCTGCTAGGTGGTGTGGACAATTCCATCGTGAAAACGGCAACTCTGATGCCTCCCAAGTTGGATGATGACGAAGACGCATATATCTTCCGGCCCCTTCGGCACATGACCGAATCCGTCTTCAAAGTCGCGGTCGAGCCAGTCAACCCCTCTGAATTGCCCAAAATGCTGGAAGGGTTGCGCAAAATTAATAAAAGCTACCCGCTCATCTCCACCAAGGTTGAGGAGTCTGGTGAGCATGTAGTCTTGGGAACTGGGGAGCTCTACATGGACTGCGTGATGCATGACCTGCGCAGACTGTATTCCGAGATGGAGATCAAAGTGTCCGACCCCGTCACTCGCTTCTGTGAAACTGTGGTCGAAACCTCCGCGATCATGTGTTATTCGATCACGCCGAACAAAAAGAACAAGATCACCATGATTGCGGAGCCCTTGGACGATGGCATTGCAGAGGGGATCGAAGGGGGCAAGGTCAGCATCAAGGACCCTATTCGCAAGGTGGCTCGGTACTTTGAGGAAAACTATGACTGGGATAAGCTCGCCGCCCGGAGTATCTGGGCATTTGGCCCCGAGGAGATGGGCCCCAATATCCTCCAGGATGATACATTACCGTCGCAAGTGGACAAGAAGCTTCTCGGCACCGTTCGGGACTCCATCACCCAGGGCTTCAGCTGGGGTACGCGAGAGGGTCCCTTGTGTGAAGAACGTGAGTAGTTACTCTCCCGAAATCCATTGGTACTCACTGACTCTTTCGTTAGCGATTCGGAACACCAAGTTTAAACTCACCGATGTGTCCCTTGCCGATCAAGCCATCTACCGTGGAGGAGGTCAGGTTATTCCCACCGCCCGCCGGGCCGTGTATTCGTCATTCCTGATGGCATCTCCTCGTCTCATGGAACCGATCTATTCTTGTACGATGACGGGTCCCGCCGATGCCGTCGCTTCGGTCTACACGGTCCTGTCCCGGCGCAGAGGCCATGTCCTCTCGGACGGTCCGATTGCCGGTACGCCATTGTATTCCGTCCGCGGATTGATCCCGGTGATCGATTCATTCGGGTTTGAAACCGATCTACGGATCCATACTCAGGGTCAGGCCAAGCTCAGTCTCGCTTTTGATAAATGGAGTGTGGTGCCCGGCGACCCGCTAGACCGAGACGTCAAACTCAAGCCGCTGGAAATGGCGCCAGCGATGGCTACTGCGCGAGACTTTGTCCTGAAGACGAGGCGCCGCAAAGGCCTGGCGGAGGATGTCACGGTCAGCAAGTTCTTGGAGCCGGAGCTATGGAAGGGTCTGAAGGAGAGTGGCGTTTTGGACTCATGATGAAAAAAAGGGTTGGATGGGAATCTGGAGTCATCTTATTAGGAGTTTTGCCCATGTACTCTATCTTTAATAGACACTACGCTGGTGGTTGATTTGGTGTCATAGCAAAGTGGTCTCATTGTCATCGTGTCAGGTGTGCCGCGTAAACATCATGGTCTCGAGGGACCGCGGCGCCAGTGTTAAAATTACATAGATTGGCGTGGAATCACTTGCAGGTTTCCAACATCTTGGCAATAACCTTCATCAGCGCTCCATTCTCCAGCGCGGCAGCGACCCGTTCCTTATCCGCGAGCTGCTTGTTGACCTCATCTGCCGTGCTGTGGGTTCCTTCCTTAATGCGCACATCCAGGCGGAAGCGAGGAGGCAGCGACTGCTCCAGTCGAACCCGCACCCCAAGACCGATGACGGTAGCCAGGCTGCAGTGGGTGATGGTGGGAGTGATGAGGACGGTGACGGTCTGTAGAGGCGAACCAGGGACGTTTGGGAGGGTTGGGGTGATTTTGATGTCGGGCAGCGAGACAACAGCCAGCTCTCCCAGCGAGACGGGATGCTCGGGGTCCGAAACCGAGCCTATGAGATCTGCTGGCTTGTGAGTGACCGCCCACACTAGACGAAGGCAGGGTGAGATCTTACCGTAAATCTCCTGCTCATCGATCAGCTCCTCAAGTAGATTGTCATCATCCGAGTCAGAGGACTCGTAGGGGCTGGTGCAGAGGAAGTCTGCAGGGTTGGCAGGCGAGGGCAGAGCCGACGCAAAGATGCCCGTGCCGTAGCCTGGCTTGTGCGGGACCGCAGGGCGTAGACGGGTGGGCAGGTCAGCCGCGTCGAGGATGGTCGGGTTGGAGTTCTGCATCTCAGCCATGGTGAAAGGGGGTGGGGTGAGAAGCAGTGCAAAGAAGGACACGGAGTTGGAGGAACAAGAAAAGAAAGAAAGGTATGCGATAACGGCAAAGGGTCTTATCGCTATCACGTGCCCTAGCTAGACCAACCTCGGGTGTGTGAGCAGAAGCAAACCGAATAAACTGGGGAAAAATAGGGGCTCATCACCAGGTTAACTCAGGGGCTGAGTCCTCTTTCGACTGGGGCATTTTGCCTAATAACTATCGTACCCGTAGTGGTTTCCCCATATCTAGATTAGTTACTCTGGTGGCCACCAACTCTATAACTACTTACTTGGAGGAGATTTCCACCCCGAGGATGTCGAGGGCCTCTTTCCTTTTACTATATACATGTAGATTTCAATATTATTGAATCATAATGCCACATAGTCCTGTATGGAGTATAATAATCATAGTGATCGGTATACAAACGATCTGCCGCTCTCCACCTTCGGTTCCACTTGGCAACCTGGCCGCCCCTCAATAATCCTCTCTCGCTCAGCTTCACCTCCTCAGCGGCCCTTCCTCCTCCCCCCCTCCTGTTATCTCTCCCCTTCGGTCCCAATTTTTTCTCTTCCGACCGTGTCGACATCATGGCCACCTAATACCTCTCTCTTGTTCAGTCTGTTCGACAAGCTGCTCATGCTCTCAGTCTCTGCGGTTCTCGTTCGTCCAACCGCGCTTCCCCTGCCCAATTCGACGGCAATGCGCCCGGCCGTTTCATCGACTTGAATCATCCCCTATGACCACCTCGCGACTCTATTTCCGATCATCCCGTCCGATTCCCGTGTCCTCCATTAGCCCCAGCTCCTCTCCAGCAGGATCGCACTATCCCGCTCTTGTCGCGTTTGTGTGAATGGGTCCTCTGAGGAGTTTCGATGACCTACTCCTGTTCGACGCTTTCTCGACACCCTATTTCTCTTAACCTTTTCCGATGTCTATTGCTGGCTACAACACTACCCTTGTGCATATAAACCCTGCTTCTGTTTTCTGCCGACGTCATCGCTGCGGGCTGATACGAGCTCTCTTCCCGATCTCAACGTGATCCAAAGGCGGGCCTTTGCACATATATCCCTCCGGAGTTCCTCGGATATCGTCTTGACTATTTCATGAAATCGGAATTGACCCAAAATATCAACTGTACACCTTCGCCAACTCAAAACTCTGTCACCAGGGATGCAGGGTTACACTTTTACGCCTCCGTCGGGGCCTCCTCGAGAAGGCCAGAAAAGTCCGTCATACCCCAGAAAGCTGATGCGTTTACTTCGTGTCATACCAAGTGGCTGCTGATCTGATTTCCGTATAGATTATGTGTTTGTGGACGAACATAACCGGCATAAGAGACTGAAAGGTATGCGAAAAAAAATCTCCAAATCTCATGTGTCAGATACTGATGCGCGCGATACCCAGTGATGCGGGCATGTAATGGTTGCCGGAAAAGAAAAATCAAATGCGACGCGGCCACAACGAATACATGGCCTTGTTCCGCATGCACTCGGCTGAAGCTCGTTTGTGTTCCTCCGACTATCGGCCAAGATGGAGAATTTCCAGAAGCCCAGGGTGATCTAGCTTCAACAGACACTGGAGGGAGCTCTGGCCCTCCCGAAGCTTCGCACCATTCTTTTCCGGTGCCTCCGACATACAGGGACAATAGCCAAGCGGCAATGGGCACGATGCCCTCTTATGACTCAATGGGGATGTATTCCCAATTCGTCCAGGCGCCTCAAGGCCAGCCCAGTATATACAGCTCGCCTCCGATGGCAATGCCACAGCAATCATATCGACAACCACAGCATTTCCCAGCACAACCACAGATGTATGTGGAGCCGGAACAATCAACAGCGGAGAACCTCAGCGAGGTCCTTGGCGAGTTGAAGATCGACGAGACTGGTATCGGTACGGTTCCTCCTCTCGCCTACTCTAAATCGCTGTCAAACAGCCAGGAATAACGCCACTGACATTTTTATTCAAGCCCCATACATCAGAAGACAGAGGGCGGACCGTGTCGAGCCTGATGCCCCTGTTCAAGACGATGCTGAGGACAGACTCCCGCCTCTGAGCACTGGAGCCGGCGCAACGATTCGTATCCCACCCGAGCTCATGCCTACGGACGAAGATGTGATGGCTTATTTCAAGATTTTCTTTGATGACATTCACCCCTACGTGCCAGTTATCCCTCGTTCCCATCTTTACTATCAATGGCAAAACGATCGGAGTTCCATCTCCCCTCTCCTTCTTGAAGCGCTGTTTGCATGCGCGGGTCGACTGTCCGACGAGGCTTCAGAAGGTGCCCAGTGGCTCGCGTTGGCAAACAGTAAGTCGAAACCGATTTACTTCCAATCTCGTCCAAATTACTTGTGCTAATTATTCTGGCAGGGCACGAGCCGAGTTTCATGGATGTTCCACGGCTGAGTACCATACAAGCGTTGCTTCTTCTGTTGAAGGCCAGAGAATCCCGCCCAAAGAAAGGATATTACTACAGATCTTGGCAGACTGTCAAGACCATTGTATCCATGGCCAAGGATTTGGACATTCATGAGCACTACAGTCTTCACGCGGAAGGCAAGCCTTGTGACCTCAGCCCGATTGAATGTTTGGTGTCCACACGAGTATGGCAGACTCTGTTGGTGGTTGAAGTCATGATTGGAGGACCTCAAGGTAACCTTTAACCTCCTTATCCTTTTTGCCCCAAATGGTTGTCTAACTGGGTCGTTCAGGCCGATCCGATTTTGGCGTCGATCCAGAGACAGTGGACATGCGTCCGACGTTGGACATCCGAGGTCTCGATCAGTACGAGGTTGACCGCTCCCGACAGCATGCCTATTTTGTTCGCAATGCTCACCATATTCGCATCATCGCGGATGTCTATCACAAAGTAAAGAAACAGAAGGATTGGGAAGCCGATCCTCGCTTTGCGCAAAAAAATCCGCTCTTTTCCGACTGGCTTCATAACTTACCCCCGGACTTGCAGGTCAATTACCCAGCTGATGGTTCCCCTCCATGGCTCCCATCACACTTTGTGGGCAATATGCATTCGCACTGCCACCTTGGGATTATTCTCTTGCATCGCCCGCAACTGCTTGCATCACAATCATTCACAGCCGGGGGTGGCTGGAAGGTTCATATGTCACTGTGCTATTCTTCTGCTCGAAGCCTGTGTCGACTCCAAGAGGCCATCCTCAAACAGTTTGGCCTATCTGGCCTCTTGTATATGCAGAGAGGTATTAACTTTGCCATCTATTGCATTCTCACATGTACCATGCTACACCTGGTTTGTATTCCTCCACACGGATTTCCCCCGTATGCGTCTGACATCTGCAGGTTGCCATCACTTCTCCCGATCCTCAGTTTAACTCAGACGCCCGTGAGTATTTCACTCGCCATATGCGAATTCTGGAGCGATGCTCGGCTGCCTGGCCGATGCCGGAAATCCAAGCTCAGATCGACTCCTTGAGACTGGCCTTCTCCGCCGACACGAGTCGTCCGTTTGAACTGAAACCGAGCTTTCCGTACGGAAGTCCTTCGGAGCCATATCATCCCAGCCCGCCACTTGACGCGCATTATCATCCGCATCTTAGTCAAGTCCCAACCAATGTCCAATCCAGAGTGGGTTTCAACATGCATCCATTAACCCCTCCAATTTCGGCTGGTACTGAAGACTCGAAGTCCGACACATCCTCCCAGTTGCAGTCCCTAGGAATGGTACCTCACCAGCCCCCTACAACTCATCCACTGGATGCACCGTTGGTAGACGAAAATACTTGGGACCCGACTCGAATAATCAAGTACGTGATCATCAGTAATATACTTGCGTGTGATATCGTATCTTTGCTGACCCAGGATTTCATCTAGTCAGTGGGACATGGCCTTCTCCGTCGCACCCTCCTCCGTCAGCACGAATTCGCCCCCGATGCCGATGAACAGCGCGGCCCAGACCGTACCAAATATGGTGCATGATCAGTACGTTCAGTACGACTCGCCCACTAAAGTGACTTCTGTTGCACCGCAGCAGTCTATTTCTCCACAATTCCAACAACCTCCGATGATGATCACGGCCCGAGATTGGCAGCAAAGCGTTGCTAGCGTGTATGACCCTCAGGGCCTGAAACGGCGGTGGAACTACTCTGTTGATCTCGGCTCCCAAGATCCTATGGTGAAGCGGCAACGTGGATGAAATCTTCTACCGCCTGAAATCTCTCTTCTGGACGGGCCCCTTTCGGCTTCTTTGTCTCTTGTCTTGGTATACATATATCTCTTACATTTGGCTTTCTGTTTCATAATGGGCGCCAAGGAACATAAAGCAAGGTGTCATGAGAATACAACTTGGGCACAGCGACAGTGGACGGGATGTGATGTTGATTGCAATGCAGGCACCGCTGGCTACTTGACATGACCAATTTCGCGAATTCTGCTGTACATCTGAGGTCCCTCTCTCTCCCCTGCCCTCGGGTTCACTGTTTTGGTGGGTCGCATGGAACCTAGAACCGGAATGCAATAACTTCAATATCTCCCTTAGTATCAGAAAGTCGGCATCCGTCGTGTAGATCGTGAAAGAAGAGTCGGAGCTGCGACCCTTCTTCGGGTGTTTGTTTTCTTGAGGCTTTCGGTTTGTCGTTGGAGAATATAGACTCGAGGGGACCCAAAGTAAGAGACAAGATAATTGCAACGCCAAGAAATAAAGATCGGAGGCTGCTCCCCGCATCAAAAAGAGACTATTTTTTTGTGGCTAGATTCTCGACATAGATGCGAGTCATCACTTCCGGACATATTCATGGCTGGAGCAGCTTAAGCCGCCCTGTCGCCGTGGACACAGTCAACCACGCCGACCAATGCCGATTCTTTCCTCGCGGGATCGCACAATCCTCGCCTTGTCGCCTGGCAGGGGCTTCAACTCGTCGCTCGGGTCAAAACCGACCGCCGAAGTACCCTTGGCATGATCGGGCTGCTTGTTTTCTTCGGCCAGCTTGCGAAGTCGCGCTTCCTCAAATGCAGCGACGTCTTCCGACGTGACTGCGATGGCTGTAGGTTTTCGTCGAAGCATATTATTGATGACTGAGGATGGTTGTAGGAGCCGGGGTGTGTTTACTCTGTTTCTGCCAGCGGATGGGCGGTGGGCACGTGACCTCCATGCACAGTCTTCTTTCCGTCTCCGTGCCTGCCTTGTTCGTTCTTCATCTCCATCCCTCGGCGCACCATGTTTCGCCCACAGCTTCGGCAGGCGCTGCATTGTGATCGCGCCCGGATTTCAGTGTTCACTCCTGCCCGTCAACTATCAGTTACCGGTCCACTGGCTGCGGACAAGAGCCAGTCTTCAGGTATGTCCGGCCCCAAGACAGCCATGTTCAATTGGACACCCAGAACTTGAGAGCAAAGTTTTAAGCCGTCAATTCTTCGTTTTTCGTACTAATTTCGCTCCCCAAACAGCCCAACCCGGACAAAATCGACGCGGTCCCTCTTCTTCATCGGCCGGCCCTCAGAAGAGTGCGCGAGGAATCGATGCACGATCATTCGCAGCACCACGGGCTGGCGGAGAGCCTGCAAAGATTCTTCGAACCGCACGACTGCGGCGGGGCCCTGCAGCCCGCAAGCCCGGCAAACCGCCAGCGAAAGGGGCTGCGAAGGGAAAGAAACAGCAACGGGCGCGAGGTCCAAGGAGATCTGAAGCGGATGAGGGCGATGATTTCGGGGCATCTGATATCGACAAAATCGAACAGGAGCAGATGCTCCAGTCTCGACCGCGTCCCACGCGCTACGAACCCCAGGATATCGGCTTCTCCTCGCTCAAGGAGACCTGGCCCTCTCTCCCAACAGACGCAAATTCACGGTCAGCGGCCGTTTTCGAAAAGTTGTCCAGTTTAAGTGGCCGCTTTGCCAATGGATACGTCCCGCCATATGAATTGGGAAGACGGCTGTGGAAGGGCCAGAGCGTGCTCTTCTTCAACGAAGAGGAAAAGGCAGAGGCTCTGCAAGAGACTAAGCGGTTGGCCCAGCTGCGTGCCGACAAGTTGTCACAGAAGAAGGGTGAGAATATGGAGCCCAAGGAGATCGATTTCGCACCCATCAACGCGGAGACCACCAGCGGCTTGATGGAGACACTTGCGCAAGGGAAATACCCCACGTTGGACGCAGACAAGGACCAATTACCCGCAATCAGCAACGTGATGAGGAACCTGCGCAACAACGGGACCTACCAGTCGGCGGGCAAGCAGCCCCAGTTTGTGACCAAAGTCGAGTCGCTGCTCGCCGGGCCCAAGGTCAAGCGCACTTAGCGATATGCTGTTTCTGTGAGGGTAACTAACTGTACGATATCACTTTTTCTTGCCCATATCGGGGCCTCTGGTGTACCTAGATATACATATGACAATTTTTTCTTTTTATATTACAAAAGTCTTCACGGGAACGGCTCATGCTTGTTCCAACGCGCGCTTGGCCGCCTCGAATAGATCCTTAACGTCTTTCTGGCCCTTGTCGGAAGCCTTTTCCATCTGGTCATGAGCTTTGCGCACATCGTCCGGCCTTGCCACCTTCTTCTTCTGCATATCTTGCAGACGCTTGTGCATCGCTCCGCGCGAGTCGCGGATTGCACTAGCGGCTTTCTCAAACGCCTGCTTGGCAGCCAGAACACTCTGATCCCGCGACTCCTTCGTGGGCGGGGGGATGGCGAGGTTGAGCTGGAGGGCATTGTGCGGGTCGGGCTGCGGTGTTAGGGAAAGGGTTGACGAGACAATTGCCGATGTGACAGGTTTGATGTGCTATCAAAGGAGGCCAGTTAGTCAACGGCGGACAAATTGAATCGAAACGAAAAAAGAACTATGCTCACATCCTCATCGGCCGCCAGGACGGTGACCGTCCGCCCACCCTTGGGCACGACCTGGGCCAGGTCCCCTAGCCTGACGGAGTCCTTCCGTTCTTTACTCAGATGAACCCTCAGTCCCTCCAGGGTCGCAGTGTTGAACCGGCCTCCGGCACGAAGCTTAGAGAGATCATCTCTCAGGCGCGCGGCTGCGGCCGCGATGCCGGTGTGCAATTGCGAGAGATCGAATGGGTCCTCGGAGGGCGAATCCTTGCCAGTAGATTCCGGCTCAGGAGGAGCGCTTCTCTTGGGCTTGTCCTTTTTCTTGTAGAGGGCCGGCGAGTGGGTGAAGCTACGGCTGTGTCGGGGCAGAGTCGGCTGGTGCGGGAGGTATTCTGGGACAATAATTGGCCGAGCGCGAATTGCTGCACGGGGGCAGAGCGCGCGGAAGGACTGGGCCGCGACGCGGTGCATGGTGGATGGGGCAGTTGTTGTTTTGGGGAAGGGTGTGAACTGAACAGAGAAGACAGAGCGTCGCCGCGCGCCGATCCATACCTGTCACTTATATAATACAATTACGAGGAGGCATTCATTCATCACGAAGTCATTAAATTGCGAAATAAAAGGCGTCATCTACAGGAAATCCATACTTTTTAAAACTGCGCCCAAGGTGTCCGGCTTCGTTAAAACACACAATGAACTGGGGAAATCAAAAGGCCGGAAGTCTATAAATCATCCCATTTACCGGGTGGCCATGGCCTTGGTGATCAGGCGCTTGAGGGCCAGCTCCTTCTTCTTCAGGTCTTCGGGGGTGGAATCCTCGACCTCCAGTTGGGCCATGGCATCGCTGAGAGCAGACTCAATCTTCTCCTTGTTGCCACGCTTGATCTTCAGGGACATGGTCGGGTCGGAGACGATCTCCTCGACACGCGAGATGTACGACTCGAGCTGTTGACGGGACTCGAACTTCTTGGTGAAGGCCTCGTCGCTGGTCTTGAACTTGGCGGCGTCCTCAACCATCTGATCAATCTCGGTGCTGGACAGCTTGCCAACAGCGTTGGAGATGGTGATGTTGGCGCTGCGGCCGGAGGACTTCTCGGTGGCGGTAACCTTCAGGATACCGTTGACGTCGACCTCGAAAACACACTCCAGAGCGGCCTCGCCAGCCCGCATCGGGGGGATGGGAGCCAGGGTGAACTCACCCAGGGAGGTGTTATCGGCACAGTTAGTGCGCTCACCCTGGTAGACGGGGAACTGCACGGTGGTTTGGTTGTCAACCACGGTGGTGAAAGTGCGCTTCTTGATGGTGGGGACGGTCTGGCCACGGGTAACGACGGGGGCGAAGATGTTGCCCTCCATGGCAACACCCAGAGAGAGGGGAACAACATCCAGAAGCAGCAGGTCCTGAGTCTCAGCGGAAGTAGCCTTGCCCGAGAGAATGCCGGCCTGGACGGCAGCACCGTAGGCAACGGCCTCGTCGGGGTTGATGCTCTATAGATATAAATTAACACGGGGTTTACTCGAAATTGCTTTTTTGAGTCTTACCTTCTCAAGCTTCTTGCCATCGAAGAAGTCGCTCAGGAGCTTCTGGATACGGGGGATACGGGTAGAACCACCAACAAGGACGATTTCGTCAACCTTGCTCTTCTCCAGGCCAGAATCCTTCAGAACCTGCTGGACCGGCTCCAGGGTGCCGCTGAAACTCTTGGCGTTCAGGTCCTCGAAACGGGCACGGGTGACCGACGAGTTGAAGTCCTCACCGTCGAACAGGGAATCGATCTCCACAGTGGTCTGGGTAGCGTTGGACAGGGTACGCTTGGCACGCTCGCAAGCGGTGCGCAGACGACGGAGGGCACGGGCATCACCGGACAGATCCTTGCCGGTCTTGCGCTGGAACTCCTTCTTGAAGAACTCGAGCAGGTTGGTGTCGAAGTCCTGACCACCCAGGTGGGTGTCACCAGCAGTGGCCTTGACAGTGAAGACGCCACCCTGGATGTTCAGCAGAGACACATCGAAGGTACCGCCGCCCAGATCGTAGATCAGGACATTGCGCTCCTTCTCGGACTTACCGGAGCCGAGACCGTAGGCAATGGCAGCGGCGGTCGGCTCGTTGATGATACGGAGAACGTTGAGACCGGCGATGGCACCGGCATCCTTGGTAGCCTGACGCTGGTTGTCGTTGAAGTAGGCGGGCACGGTGACAACAGCCTTCTCGACCTTCTTGCCGAGCTTGATCTCGGCAACCTCCTTCATCTGTTCGACCGGGTTAGACCAGTATTCGGCAATGCGAATCAAGATATCAGCTTACCTTCATGAGGACCATGGAAGAGATCTCCTGGGGAGTGAAGGTCTTGTCCTCACCGAGGTACTCAACCTGGACGGCAGGGCTGCCACCCTGGTCGACAACCTTGAAGGGCCAGGACTCGACATCCTTCTTCACGATGGGGTCATCAAACCGCCGACCGATCAGACGCCTTTGCCACACTAGTCAGAACCATATATTACGGCAGTGCGATGAGGTTGTCACGACTCACTTGATGTCGAAGATGGTGTTCGCCGGGTTCATGGCGGCCTGGTTCTTGGCGGCCTCACCGATCAAACGCTCCTTGTCGGTGAACGAGACGAAGGAGGGGGTAGTGTAGCTACCCTGGTCGTTGGCAACTGCACGAGGCCATGGGTCAGCGGGCGGAGTTCATTTGTTCTTTTTCTTTTTTTAATTGGCACCATACTGATCTCGACATTGGTGCCCTCGTAGTTGGCAACACACGAGTAGGTAGTACCTGAATGAACCGAGTCAGTAAATAATAATATCGAACACACACAATTGAACCGAAACACGAACCCAGGTCGATGCCGACCGCGCCGTCGTAAACTTCGTCAGACATTCTCAAGGATGAAGAAAAATAGGGGGAAATAATCAGAGAGGGAAGGGATGGGAGAGGAGGGAAGAGAAAAAGAGAGGGGCAGTCCAAGCGAAATTTTTTTTTATGAAGAGAGTCGCCCACACTCCCTCTGATTGGACCATGAAAAATTTTCGGCAGGCGGAGATCACGTGAGTGGGTCGGAAGGCGGTGAACGGGTGATTCTATAGTTCTCTAGTACTACTTCCAGTAGCAGAACTACCTACTTCTACTTCAGCTTCGTCCATTTGCCACTCGAGGGCTGGCCGGTCGCCTCCTCATGCCATTCCTGCTCTTCCAGGAGCTCCCATTCCGCACTCGCCATCTCCCCAAGTAGAGTCGCCTTCAACTTGTCCACGATCTTCGTCGGGGTCGGCAGTTTCCAGGTCCGCATAAAGTCAGTTCCCTCCGAAGCCCCGAGGAAGGAATGTGCTGTGCCGTGAGAATAGTGTCCCAGCATGGGAAACGATTTGGTCCGCTGGATCGTCGTCTTGGGTGAATCTTTGACGCCCGTCCCCTGGGCCTGAGGCTCCCGACCTGCAAAGGCTCTCATGAGAGTTGACGCCGGCGTAGGCGGGGCGACCAGGAGCTGCCACATGTTCTTCCCAATGTCACACACGTCTTCCCATGACTCCGAGGCTAGGTTGATGCCTTGAGTCCGACAAAGCCATGCGACGTTCCAGGCGAGCAGCGTGGCCCCTTCGATAAAGAGAGCATATGTTCCCGGGTCCTCCTTAACGAGCTTGGTGAGCGGTTTTTCAATTGTCAGAGGCCTGGGCCGTGGCAAGTGGGTGCGTGGCTCGGTGGTTTTCGATGCCGTCGGACTGGATGAGGAGGATCGAGGAGCTTTGTCCGGGGTCTCGCGCGTGCGATATGACCCAGCCGGTGCGTAGATGGTAGCTGTCGGGTAGTTTCGATGTGGGAGAGTTACTTCGGCGGGGAGTCGTAATGACAAGTAATGTGAGACAAGGACAAGCAGGTGGGCGATACTGGAGAGGGACGTCGAGATTTGGGCTGGCGTAGCACCTGTATACCTCTTGTTAATACCCGCCCCCAAAGAATATTATCGTAAACGGAGAACTTGCCATTCATGTCTCTCAAGTCTTTGATCACGATTCCACCGATTGCATAGGTTTCTGGAACTTGTCCTTTCCTCGAGACTTTCTGCCGTAGACCGTACAGATTCGCTGCTTCCCGACAGAGGAAGATGCGAGCCTCTGCTGTCTTGCTGTGCAAGGAGTGCCACAGGTGCTCCGTCCTCTTCGTTGTGTTCTGGACGCCTGTCAGAATCCCCGCTTCTCGCTCCGAAAGCTGATACTTGGCGGATTCCGCATCAGAATGTCTGCGTGATAGACGTGTCTTGCACCCGGAGATGTGGGCCTGTTTGTCCTTGATCTCTGATTTCAAGTCATTGATCTGACGTGAAAGACCCTCTCTTCTGGACGACGACTCGGCTTGCCGAGTCGTGATCGCTTGAATGGTCCAGCGTCGCGACGAGTCAGGAATGGACTCAACGGATCTCCGTTGGTGATTTCCATCAGACACTACGGTTTCGATCTGCTGCCCCAGAACTTCTCGCTCCAGGAGAACGTGGGTGCTGTCGATGCGAAGCTGATAGAGCTGATTGCGGGCACATGTTGGACAGTAAAAGGACAGACGAGCATGAGGAGTGCGGGAACATGTGTGGCAACTCATCGCAGAGTGTGGGTGTTCGATGTCGGTCGCATTTCCATGCTGGCCGAGGGAAGAACCATAGGGGTGGTCATCGGGAGAGTGTCATGTCCGATGAACAAGTCGCATGGTCAAGTGCGAGTGGATCACCTGACATGAGTAGTTAGTTACCTAATCCAAACATCGATTGGTTTCAACCCTTCAACTTCACCATGGACAAGGAAGAGCAGCTGGCCCACGGCTTAGAAGCTTGCGACTGGGATCAGCTGCAACACCGATATACCGATGCGATGGATGAGCATGGCCGAATGGAAGAGAACCTGCGTGCCGAAGCGGCAACGCTGCTCGAGGTTCGTCAATCAACCCCACACAGAGCTTCATCCTCCTGACCGATCTCTAGGTATTCACGGCGTGGTCTCAGACTACAGTGCTGCAAGATGAAAACAGAGCTTTTAAAAGGTTTGTATACCTCTTTTTCTTTTCTTTTTCGGAGACGAATCTGACCTCCGCTAGGTTCAAGACTCAAATGCAGCATGTACAGCACTCGGAAGTCAACGTGGAGCACAAACAGCAACACTGTAAATGGACCCTACTTATTCTTTCTGATCTCAAATGCTGACCTGGAAACCAAGACATGGAGGTTGTGAAAGCTTTTGAAAGTGCACTGAAGTTGCTCAACGAGCAGCTCAAGGGATGAATACCTGCTGGATCGATCGTGGAGGCTCCCTTACCTGGGTTCAGGATTACGAAGTTATGAAATGAGAACAATGTATTTTTAGTATTAATATCACTTATTGATCCCATAATCAAGAGATAACTGTCAGTGGAGGACCTATATAACCACAGGTGGGGATCTACTTTGAGAGAGAAATGATTTCAACTGGTAGAAAATGAAATTTTTCAACGGGAAGTGGAGAAAACCCGTGGAGTTGCACACTGAACTAAACGAGATTGGTTGTTCATTAAAATAGCCATCAAATTCAGCTCGCCCGGCCACTGATATCTTGCCAAGTAGCATTGAAGCGTCTTCCAGTGCTGGCCAACAGTCCTTCCTCTTCTGCCTCTTCGGCGTCTTCATCGAGCTGTCTCTCGTCCAGCTTCGGTGAGCGAACCAGTGAAGTGACAAAGACAATTAGATACAGCCCTACCGTGGCCATGTTAGATGTTGGAAGGGCAAAAGAAGGGAGCAAGAACTTACCTAAGAAGAAAAATTGACCCCAGAAGAATACAACCCCGAAGAAAGGGAAATTCAAAGTAACGCGATTGAGGAATGTGCTGACAACACTCGGTGTGCACACTCGCTGCGCGGCAGAGTTATTTGCTGCCAGCTCCGAGCACGGCTTGATAAGTTCTCTAGCATCCGAGCAATCGGGTTGTTCCAGAGAGGAACGAGGAGTGCGATCACAGAATGTCTGTGGACCGAATGTTGCGTACTGGGGCGCAAGCACCATGGAGATGGAGTAATTCAGTGCCAATATGATCAGCATTACCAGGGCAGTCGCCAAAAGGAGGGCCTGGGGAGAGGTATGGCCTTTTCGAATTTGAAATATTCGAATCCACAAGAAGCGAATTCCCACGGCAGCAATTCCAACAACGGAGCTACAAAATAGTAGCAGAACGAGAATGGTGAAAATGACATAGTCGATGGGGAATACCTTGGCCGATTGAACAAGGGCCCAGTTGACTGGGTTAAAAATATTGACGTGACCGAGAATATATCCACATCGGTGCTTGCAGACGGAATTTTTGGCCTTGTCGATTGCCGTCAGAAGCATCGAGACCCATGTGATGAGTGCAATCAAAAGTAGGAGAATGCCAAACAGGAGCTTGAAGGGGCGGAAAATTGCCCCAATCTTGTACCATGCCTTCATCAACCAGCTGCGACCCTCGCCCTGGGCCTCTTCGACCAGACGCTGCCGCCGAATGAGAGTTCGCTCTTCCCGTATCAAAGTATCGAGCTCCCGGCGGTCTTTAGATGATAGCTGGTCCGGATTTCCCCCACAACGGCCTTCAAGTTGTCGCTGCCGCTCACGGTTTGTCTCGAGCTGCACTTCCGTGTTGGCTTGTAGGCTTGGACTGGAGATAGATGGCGCAGTCTTGATCAAACTGATAGGGAAAAGAGCCAGACCCGAAGAAGTATACAGGACGTAGAGACAGAGCCCAATGGTCATCAAAAGCCCGAGCGCAAAAGTCAGCGCACGCTCGCCGTCTGAAATTCTGTTAGATTGCGGGCCGCCGCAGAGCCTCGAGGATTAAAACTCACGATTTTCCGTCAGTAACTTCTTGAAATAATCCAAGTCCATGCCGTTTTTATTCTTGGATGACACGGGCACGAAGAATCCGACAATGAAAAGGATGATTACGATGGCAACGAAGGATATGGTGTACTTGAAGGCACCCCAAAGGCGCTGCCCGATCGTTTGCTCTCCCGTTTCGTTGGAAACCTCGTCATATTCCTCATACCAGAAATAGGTAAAGGGAATGACCAGGAGGCAAAGGAGGGCATCCAGCGAATAGAGGATATAGTAGACGATGGTCAGGGAATAAGTGATCTTGTCGACCTCATCCTGGGTGGCCCAGTCCTTGCGCCGGCCCAGTTTGGAAGATGTGGTCGATGAAACAAGAGCGACATCCACGGGCAACAACAGCGCCGTCGCAAGAAGACATGTAATGGCGACAATGCATGTCAGAGTTACCGATGGCGAGCGGTCTCGAGGGGTCTGGTAGATATAGATAAATACCGAGGCCACCGCAAGCAGAAGAACGATCACCACTGCATACACCACCCCGATCAGGGACGTCTGGAGCAGCGCCATCCTTGAGTAGATGCCGTCAGCCGCGAGCTATGTAGCTCATATAGACGGACCGATGCTATTCGCAGCCGCAGGAGTGGGTTGACTGCAGAAGGATGGTTGTGATCCAATACAGGTTCTTGGATTCCAGGCTGTCGTCATTTGTTACTTCGAGATGCCGCTAGCCCATAGCTGGAATAGCGTGTCCCGTGACGATAAAGGGATCACCTGATGTTATCAATCAACTCCGTCGCGTTTCTGCTTGTCCTTGTTGGGTTCCCCAATCCAAGTGCAAATCAACGAGGACTTGAGGCAGTGCAAAAATTCTGAAGCCGATTTGCGCATTGACGCGGCTGGGTTCTCCAGATGCAGTGCTATACGGAGCTGTTACCCCCAACCGGGGTCACCCATGCCTTGGCTCTTCCTTTTCTCTCGGCAACAGCCAGGAATCTGATTGTCGTTAGAACCTCTCTTTTACAAATATTCACTCTGGTCAATGTGCCTCCTCAGCCGACACCCGAAAGTCTCGACAATGCCAGCCAAGAGACAACGACAAAATTAGTCCTTGAGAAGGAGTATCCTCTCCCAGCAACGGTCACAGATTTGAGCAGGGTCAAGATCTTGAACTCCAAAAGTGGTGGTGAAGCTATTCTGCTTGCAGCCAGAAACGCCAAACTCAGCTTGATCGAGTGGGACCCCGAGCGCCAGGGCATCTCTACCATCTCCATCCACTACTATGAACGTGATGACTTGACCCGCAGCCCCTGGGTCCCCGACCTGAGCAAGTGTGGCAGTATCCTCAGCGTGGATCCGAGCAGTAGGTGTGCGGTATACAATTTTGGGATTCGCAACATTGCCATTCTGCCTTTCCACCAGTCCGGAGATGACCTGGTGATGGACGATTATGACTCGGAGCTCGATGGCGAACGCCCTGGCCCCAAGGATGAAGCGGAAGCCGACAAAAGCAAAGACGCAACAGCACACCAGACTCCTTACGCTTCGTCCTTTGTTCTGCCATTGGCGGCTTTGGATCCGTCTTTACTGCATCCCATAAGTCTTGCATTTCTATACGAATATAGGGAGCCGACCTTCGGCATATTGTACTCACAAGTTGCAACCTCCAATGCCCTTATCCACGAGAGAAAAGATGTGATGTTCTACACTGTTTTCACGCTAGATCTGGAGCAGCGGGCGTCGACAACTCTACTTTCGGTGTCAAGATTGCCGAGCGACTTGTTCAAGGTAGTTGCCCTCCCGCCCCCCGTGGGTGGTGCTCTGCTCATTGGTTCGAATGAGATTGTGCATGTGGACCAAGGCGGCAAGACCAACGCAGTGGGTGTCAATGAGTTTTCCAGACAGGTCTCATCCTTCTCGATGACAGACCAGTCAAATCTGGCCTATCGACTGGAGGGCTGTGTGGTCGAGCGCCTCGGCGGCGATAGTGGTGACCTGCTGCTGGCACTTTCGTCGGGAGAGATGGCGCTGATCAAGTTCAAGCTCGATGGACGCTCAGTGTCCGGTCTCACCGTTCACGCTTTACCTGCACATTACAATTTTTTGAAGTCAGCTGCATCATGCTCAACTTGCATCGGTGATGGTAACGTCTTCATCGGTAGCGAGGACGCAGATTCCGTACTTTTGAAGTGGATCTCTGCAAGAAAGCTTCGGCCCGAGTCAAAGCAAACGGCCGACGGCCTTGATGATTCTGCAGAAGATGACCAAATGGAAGACGACGTGTACGAAGATGATCTGTATTCTACGGCCCCTGAGCTGACGCAACTCGACCAACGTACATCGTTCGCGAACTCAACCCCTGACTTCTATCATTTCCGATTGCAGGACCGGCTTTTCAGCATCGGCCCTTTGAGAGACATCACTTTAGGCAAAGCTTTACCAACCGCAAAGAGCATGAATTCAGCACCCATTGACGGTGTCTCTGCCGAGTTGGAATTGGTGGCAGCCCATGGTTCGGACAAAGGGAGCGGTCTTGTGGTTATGAAGCGAGAGATTGATCCTTCTACAGCCATGTCTATGCAAATTGATGGTGCTGATGGTGTCTGGTCGGCCACTGTGACCAATGTCAAAGGGGCTTTGTCCAATCCCAATCAAGTGGAAAGCAGTGCCTCCCGTCAATATGTGATTATCACACGGCCCACAGATACAGAAAGGGAATCGTCTGAAGTTTATGTGGTAGAAGGGCAAGAACTGAAGCCTTTCGCAGCTCCCGATTTCAATCCGAATGAAGATCAAACTGTCGATATCGGACCGTTGGCAGATGGTACCCGTATGATTCAAGTCTTGCAGAATGAGGTTAGAAGTTACGACATGGGTAAGTTTCCTACCCCAAGTCCGGGTGAAAATGGGAAGGCTAACAGACTACGTAGATTTGGGTTTGTCACAAATATATCCCGTGTGGGATGATGAAGAAACTAGCGAGGAGCGCGTGGCTGTGAGCGCAAGCTTCGCTGATCCCTATCTTGTGATCGTTCGGGACGATGCAAGTCTGTTACTCTTGCAAGTGGATGATAGCGGTGACCTTGATGAGATGTCACTTCCCAATGAGATCACTTCATTAACGTGGCGCTCTGCCTGTCTGTATCGTGACAAAGCTAGAGCCTTCGCGGTCACCGAGCCGACCTCCCATAACGATACCCTGATGTTTTCAATGGACGTTGAATATAAGCTCTCGGTAGGCTGGCCAGCTATGACCATCTAATTGAAGTTTCTAACCAGGCTTTGCAGATATATCGACTGTCTGATTTGAAGCTGGTATCGGTTGTCGAAGGCATTGATTGTCTGCAACCAGTACTTTCAGCCGAACCACCCAGACGGTCCAATACGCGGGAAACTCTAACTGAAGCGATTGTTGCCAATCTTGGTGATCAGTCTTGCTCCTTCCCTTACTTGATCGTATGGCCGTCCACATGTCGTTCCATACCCCGCCTCAGATGCTGACTGATTTCTTTAGCTGCGGACTGATGGCGACGATATTTTTGTTTACAAGCCAGTGTTAATATCGTCTGATCTTGACGACGGGGGTTTGCAGAGTCTGCGATTTCATCGGGAAGCCAACCATACCCTGCCGAGGACGCCTTCACAAGCGACTTCTGATCAACAAGATGAGAATCAACAGCGATTTAGGCCTCTCCGAATCTTGCCTGACGTGTCGGGACTAAGCGCCGTTTTCATGCCGGGAGAATCGGCGGGATTCATCATTAGAACGCCGGCGAGCTCACCACACATTGTGCGCCTCCGAGGTGGATTTGCCCGATGGCTGAGTAGCTTTGATTCGTCGGCCGTGGGCTGTGAGAAAGGTTTCATCTATGTGGATTCCAAGGTAAATTATATTCCCATTGATTTGGATCTTTCAGACTAATGGCCACTGCTAGGAATGCGTCCGCACCTGCCAATTACCCTCAGAAACCCAGTTCGACTATTCGTGGACGTTGCGCAAGGTTCCCCTGGAAGAACAGGTTGATTTCTTGGCCTATTCGTCATCCTCTGAAACCTATGTTCTCGCAACAAGTCAGCAGGTTGATTGGAAACTACCAGATGATGATGAGCTGCACCCTGAATGGCGCAATGAATGTGTGTTCTCTTAATATGCGGTTGAAGGGGTATTATCGTGTGCTAATGCAAGTCTCCAGCGATGTCATTTACCCCTAAAGTCACCCAGAGCTCCGTCCAGGTCGTCAGTCCTAAAACGTGGGCAGTGATCGATTGGTAAAGTCTTCTTTGATTTCGATAATCGTGATATTTCTCTAATCCTCGCTGTCCTTAGCTATCCTTTGGATCCCGCTGAGCATGTAACTGCCGTTAAAAACGTCAGTTTGGAGCTTTCGGAGTCTGGCAATGAGCGCAGAGATATGATCGTCGTCGGCACTGCCATTGCCAAGGGGGAAGATATACCAGCCCGTGGTTGTATCTATGTTTTTAACGTGGCCAATGTGGTCCCGGATCCTGAAAAGCCCGAGTCAGGCCGCAAACTCAAGTTGATCGGAAAAGAGCCCGTGAAGGGCGCGGTGACGGCGCTGTCGGGCATCGGCGGCCAAGGCTTCGTGATCGTAGCTCAAGGCCAAAAGTGTTTGGTTCGTGGGCTGAAGGAGGATGGCAGTCTACTTCCGGTGGCATTCATGGACATGCAATGCTATGTCAACGTCGCGAAGGAACTAAAGGGCACAGGGATGTGCATCCTGGGAGACGCGGTAAAGGGGCTTTGGTTCGTCGGATACTCGGTAAGCTTGTTCCCCCTGCCCTGGTTCGATCACTCCTAACAAAGGATCTAACACCCTGCTTAGGAGGAGCCCTACAAGATGACGCTCTTCGGCAAGGACCCCGATTACTTAGAGGTGGTGGCCGCGGATTTCCTTCCCGACGGAAACAAGCTTTACATTCTGGTCGCCGATACCGACTGCAACCTACACGTTCTACAGTACGATCCAGAAGGTATGTGATAGACCACTAAAGGATTCTGGCTCGGCTTTTGGCATTAGCTCACTAATTCTTTTCCCTTTCAGATCCAAAGTCTTCCAATGGCGATCGACTGCTCAGCCGAAGTAAATTCTACACGGGCAACTTTGCATCCACTATGACCCTGCTACCGCGCACTGCCGTCTCATCCGAGCTCATCGCCCCCCACGAGGACGAAATGGACTTGGACGAGAGCCTGTCCAACCACCAAGTGCTCGTCACGGCACAGAATGGATCCCTGGCGCTGGTGACCACTGTCGCAGAAGAGTCGTACCGCCGACTGTCAGCCCTGCAGTCACAACTTACCAACACGTTAGAGCATCCTGGTGGATTGAACCCACGCGCATTCCGTGCCGTGGAGAGCGATGGCACTGCGGGACGAGGGATGGTCGATGGCAACCTGCTCCGCCAGTGGTTGGACCTGAGCCGGCAACGCCAGGCCGAGATCGCTGGCCGGGTTGGTGCGACGGAGTGGGAAATTCGAGCCGATTTGGAAAGCATTGGTGGGAATGGACTTGGCTATCTGTGATCCCTTCACTGAAGGGGTGTATAAAAACAATCAGGTCATCGATCTATTTCACCCAATTCCGGAATTTCAAATTCGATCCTAGTTAGATCCTCCCTTGTTTCTCTTTCTACAAATTTAATTGAACTAGACACGACTGGACAGATCAACGATTTTGTCGTATTGCCAAAGAGATGCTGCGGATTGGTCACCGCCCGACGAGATAATCGGCATCACGATCACTGAAAGTAAATAGTGGCGTGACATCATAACACGATGGGATATAACAGGAAAAGACAGGAAAACACCAAAGCGAGTCCGTAAATCCAAGGCTCCCTCCCAGGGCCTATAAGCCAAATCCCAGCGGCCCAAGTCCCAAAATAAAACACAAAAAAAAAAAAAAAGACACACACAAAACTCCATTACACGCCCATTTTCACCAGGTGCCCAGGAAAAAAAGAAACAAGAGAGACCCTCCCAGAACCCAAGTATGCCGTACCCATATCCATATCCATAACAATTCCAAATAATAAGAAAAAAAGCATATTCAGCGTGGCCGCATTGAATAAATCATGTTTTTGTTTTCAAGGGAGAAAAAGAATGGGACGAGTGGTCTAGCAGAGCGAGTGAATAAACCAGACGAGGAGCAGAACCTCGATGTGCAAAATGCAGATGCAACCTAAGAGATAAAATGAAACGCCGCCACTGTCCTTTGGTGCGCCGGGCTGACCATCAATGATCATGAATCAGAAGACATCTTCTGCGGCGAAGTACCGCTTATTCCGCCCACGAGTGGCGGCGAATTTCACCTCGGGCATGTTGGTGTGGTGGACGACATGCGGCCGGTAGACGGCATCAACGGGTGCCTGCCAGTCATCCAGTCCGAGAGGAAAGTACTCGTACAGCAGATCCGTGCTCTCGTTCGGGAAGGGCAGCGAAGATGCAAACTGGTGCGGCAGATTGGCCGTCTCCAGTAAAGGCAAGGACGACACGGTGCTGCGTGCCGGGCCATGGGAATGAGACATCTTGCGCATCTTGGCCGGCGGAATGGATGGATCGAGGTTAATGGCCCGCTGAGGAGGCATCTGTTGAGGGGAAATCTGCTGGGGAGAGATCTGCTGAGGAGAAATTTGTTGAGGAGAGATCTGCTGCGGGGGTATCTCGCTAGTATTGTAAGGAGTCACCATCGCGGAGTCTAATTGAAGATTGGAATCCCCGCCCTCTTCCTCATCCAGCAGGGACAAGTTGATCGGTGCTGCAGCACCAACGGACACAGTGCTCACACGGCGTTGGTGCTCAGCTGCCTGAGAAAGTTGTTCTGGACTGGACTGAGGAAAGTAGGACTGATGTGCCTGAGGGATGACATTGCTCGATGCGGACTGCGGGATCGACGTCCAGTCTGGCGTCATTTGCGGCTGCTGAAGGATGCTAGGTGGGGGAACGGACGTTGTCTCTGGGGAGCTGCTCTGCACTGCACCCGATGAGGCCTTGGCCTTGGCAGGGGTGATACTGGCGCGGCGTGGGACGGACTCGTTAGTTGGTGTGCGGTTGAGGGTCGGCGCGTTGTTTGCTTGGTTCTTGCGAGAGGCGGCAGCACTACCGCTCAATGGCAGGTCCTTGCGGGACTGGAAGTTCCGTGGGCTGCGGCCACGCACGATGACCGGTCCCGACTGCACCTCCGAGATGGAGATCTTGGCGCCGGTCGACAAGGTAGCGACCACCTTGAGCCGAACCACGAAATGTTGTTGTAATTCCTTCCGACGTCCATTGTTGGCGGTGGCCACGCGGAACTGCAGACGCTTCCAGGCGATGGGGAAGGTCGCGTAGTCGGTATCCAGGTCTTGTCCGGCCATGATGTCCAGCGGGATTGGTGGCGGTTCCTTCTCCACCTTGGCACCCGTGCCGGGGTTGCTCTCCTCGACAGCTGTGCCGGAGTTGGCAGCGGCTGCCGACGGTGTTTTCCACGGCACAGAGATGATCTTAACCGGGTTCCCCTCGACAGATTCGGTGGCCGAGACGGTGAGCTCCTGGGCGAGAATTGGAATGCGGTCGCCTTGATCGGTCATGATATAGCGCATCCCTCGCGGCAGAGTGACCGATCCGGTGATTTGGAACAGATTGCGACGATAGCAGGTCAGTTCGGCGCCTTGCTGGGGTGGCGCGTGCTCGGAAGGCGAGGTTGTGTAAGGCGACTCGGCGAGGAAGAACATCCCGTGTAGCTGCGCCGACACGGATAATGACGTCCTCCGCATTGAGTAGTCGAGCAAGGTGAAGTGATAGACCGGCAGGGAAAAACTTAGCAGCTTGTTGTTGTGGTCGATGGAGGAATCTTGGGGCTGCTCTGGCGGCACGGGGTCAAAGGGAGCGACCATATCGGTGAAAGGGTCCTCATATCCGGACGGAAAGCGCTTGAGCGAGTGTTGGATGTTGTTTTGTTGAAAGGCGATATCATCGCTGCTACTCGCGATCGATCAGCCCTAGTGTTCTCGGACGGGCGATCTCCCCTCGTGGGTCCCGTTCCCCCGTGAGATCGGATGCATCACTTACCTGACAAAGGTCTCGGTATCGAAGTTGGACCGGTGGTCGGGCAGGTCCAAGCCAGGCATGGCATTCAGATAGTCGGTTCCCTGGAGATTTCCGAGGGACAGCGGACTGGCCAGGTACGGCGGCATAGCCATGGTGTCGAAGCCCTCCATGGCGAGGGTCGAGGGAGATGCGCGCACGAGGATAGGGGGGAGGGATAGGGCGCGTATGAAGAGGAAGAAAAGGAAGAAGGAGGGAAAAGAGGAGGGTAAGGAAGAGAGGATCGGAAGCAGCAAGTTGGGAGGGAAAGAGCGGGAGAGAAGAGAGAGGGAGAGAGACTGAGAGAGAGACGGAGCCGGAGACAGTCGACGATGGGAACGGATTCGGGGAAAAGTGGGACCGTTTTGCGGAGACGAACGCAGCGGGTTAGCCCGGTTTATCGAAACAGGGTGTAGAGTACGATGGATAAGGATAGGATAGGATAGGATAGGCTAGGCTAGGACAGCACAACAGAACAGGATAGGATGTAGCAGACAGGACGAGGGTTGCCTCCGTTCTAATAATCTTCACCTTTTTTGCCTCCCATGGCCGACCCTGAAGATCATAGTCTTGCACATCGTCAGATCCCTCCAAGGCTCTCCGGATCCAAAGTAAAATAAAACCACTAAATGATTCTGCAGGGCACGCTTTTCCTCTCTTACTCTTCTCAGCCCGATCTGCGACCGTTCGGGGCTGGACCACCACGGGGAGGGGAAGACGACACACAAGAGGATTACGCCCCCCCGTCCATGATCAACATTGGCCCGTCTGACATGCAGCACTGGCCCAGACGATGCCCATGCACCAATCACCGGGGCTGGTGTTGGTTTCGGCCTCTCGTGTTCTCCGGGAGGTTGCCCTACGCCGGCCTGATTGGGTCCAGCGCCGCCCAGGAACCAGCTTCTGGATTGTCGAGGCACACCACGAAGAAGTCGCCTCGTGGGGGCCAATCACGGCGGCGAAGTCCGTCTATCATCATCATTATCTACTGGTTGATTCTATCCCAAGTTGATACCTCCAAACCGAATGCCCAAAGGGAAAAAGAAACCCCCCCCCCCCAAAAGAAAACAGGTCACGACCGTCCTGTAATCTGCCGCTGGTGAAACCATCCCCGTCGCGGCTCGCCTCGTGTGGAACCGTGGAAGAATCACGCTCTTGCCCGATCAAGGCTGGGAAACAAAACCCATGTGAAAAGAGGAAAGCAAGAACGATAACATCCAACAGCCAGATAAAGCACGAAACAAGAGGTGAAGCTCTGGTGGGCGATCATCGAGCTCCCCCACCCATCCTTCATCTCCCGTGCATTTGCCCGATCCGTCCATTTTTAGGTCGCTCATCCGCACTCACCCCTCTAGCGATCCGGTGATGCCGAAGCCCTGTTCCTGCGCTGGAAGCTGCAGTCCTCCCGCCACCCAATCAATGGCCGGGTCCCAGATGTTGATGATCAGAGGGCCCTGTCCATCATGACATCGTTCCTCCCCGAGATTGTCTGGCCGCCTACCCTCCTGGAGATCATTGCGCGCTTCCCGACGTGAATTTGTGCCGGGGCAGCCACAGCGGCGCAAGGGTACACATCCGGCGGGGTCGTCTCGAGACTCTGCGCGCTGTTCCCAGAAGTGTACTAGGGATTGAAAGGCAAAGGCAAGAAAAGCACCCCGCCTAACAAGAATGGTGGGATACCGGTGATCACCGAGTCGATCGATCTAAGCGCGTTCAGGGAGGATCTGGTCCACACCCAGCGACCCAGCGACGCGGTCAAGACCTCTTGCTGTCGAGGTATGCGGCGAATGCAAAATGCGCGACAGGGACAACTGAGATAGAGTGGTACTGGAAGCATACCGCGCCCTGGTCCCTTGGTACGACCATTTCCCGAACGAGCAGATAGAAGAATGTGGGCCGGCACCAGCCCATAAACGGCACAGAATCCGCCCATTCCCAATCAATCATCCCGTTCGGACTATGTACTCTCTGCATCTGTGGCGGATATCAATTCCACATGGTCCTCGGATCTTTCTTTTGCCCCCGCGACGGGTGCATGCTTGATCGACGAAGGATGTGAGAGGATTCAACCGTCCATGGCTATGACATGCCAGGAAAGAATCCTTATCGGCATAGGTAGCGGCTCTTGTTTCTATTCTTTTCGTGTGATGTGCAGAACACGAAACAGGCGCACGCCCCCAATCCGGCCTAGGCGAACTCAGCGCGCTGTAAACTCCGGGCCTGATTTGGCCCCGATGTCCGAGGGCAATCCCTCGTTTTCGTTTCCCGGTATGTATGTGCCCTGGACAAGGTGCCCTGAACCGTGAGCCCTGCGAAACCCTAAAGCCCGACCCGGGGGTTTTTTTGGCCCGCCGACGGGCAAACGGGAGACACGATAGATAGAGGATCATTGCTGTCTGCAGACCCTGAGCCGTGTGCCCCTTCCACTACACGAACGCGCACCCCGTGCCGAAGTCCTCACTAAAAGCGGGAGGCAAAAAGTGGGTGCTTGACTTTCCAAACGGAGTCCGGCTAAGCCCCCAAGGCCCCTGGTCCCTCCGTTTGAGCCCAACGGACGTCCGGGCCATTGAGCATTCGCGGGGAGGATTGTGAAGTGGAGTTGAGACAGAAATAGTAGTTCACTAACGAGCTAGTCGTGACCAGCCAATTAATTCCCAACACCATCAACCCATGGACGGGAGTTCATCATACAAGTCTTCCCAAGGCTATTCTTCCCCCCCTGCGACGTGCAGCGGAGGGCGCACAGAAGCCCCAAAGAAGGACGCAGGGGAGAGTTTAGTTGTTCCAGACGATCTCCCGTGATGCTGCTCGTGCAAGCTGCGGTCACTCGCTCGCTGCAGGCATCCAGAAATCTCCAATTGATTCTATGGACAGTACGTTTCTGTGCGACCCGCATGCGGACTCGATGTGTGTGTGTTCCGAACCAACTCTCGCCCCGGCCAATAATCGTAGTATATGCAGGAGACTCCTCTCGGACATGAAAATAAAAAAATAAAAAGGGTCAACCAGTCCATCCTTCCGAAGAGAGAAAGAGAAAAAAAAAAAAAAAAAAAAAAAAAGATAACCCCTCCTCCAAGTAACACCAAAAGCGGGATGGATATCATAGACGTGGTGGAAGGCGAAAATCAATCAGCTAAAAATAGAAACGTGTAGAGACTATCACCAGCCCCCGCACTTCGGTCAGGTTGAATGCATGATCGTCCAAGTGGAGGCGTCGCAATTGACCTCTTCGAAGTTGTGTAGCATAGTAAATCCCATGGTGGATAGACAGTCGAGGTTGCCGTCGCCGTCGACCTGCAGGACAGCGGTCAGTAACTACCGGAAGGATCGAGCCCACTATCAAAACCGAAGGAAGCACCTACGCAATCCATGACTACCGCATTCGCTTTTAGCTTGCGGATCTGCTTGATAGCCAACAGAATCAACCCCTGCATGACGGTGGCGTATTCTCCCGCGTAGGGGGAGATGACCGGAGAGGAAATACCGCCGACAGATGTCTGCACTGCGCGCAGCGCTGGCATGTGTTCGGCCAACGCCGACCGCTCATTGTATATCACAACGCTTCCTAGGACCACGCCATCCAGCGGTCGCTTTGCGCGGATGATGCCGCAATTGGGTGCCCCGCCTAGAGCCATGCGGTAGATGTCGATGACTCCCTGACGTGCGGTTGTCTTGATGTGGTCGAGGATCGCCCGCGCAAAGTCCCAACCGTAGACGAGGTCGTAGGTTACCTCTGCGTTCTGCAGGCTGGTAGCCAGCCCATCTGGGGGAGTCCATGAAGCCAAGTTGTGCAGCACTACGCTGCAGACAGGACGCGACAGCGCTGTGTTCCAGCCTAGGTTGGCGAACCACTGCCGTAGTCGCTTGCGCTCCACGGGGTTCGCCGTCGGAATGCCCAGGTAAATTCCAGGAAGGCGCGATCCGAGCTGGAAGCGTTTCATGCCTTTGCGCTGTAGAAGAGTCCGAATGGCACGATTGTGCAGCGAGTGTCCGATGGACAGATTGCGCCGCGCAGGGTCGACAATCAGACAGGCAATGACACCGGTGCCGGTAGACCGAAAAAAGTAGGTCGCGCAGAATCCATACAGCGCCTGCGTACTGCTGTTGCGCACCACAAAGTGTGCTTCATCGATCTCTCCCTGGCGCAGCAGAAAGCTGTTGGAGGTCACGCCGAGCAGTTCAGAGCGTTGGCCAAGAGTACAATCGCCCCGAATTGTATCCAACAACGCATCCAAAGCATTGGCGTCCCGCTCCTCGTTCCAGCTCTCCACAAGCCAATGTTGCCGTGACTGATGGATCTTCTGGCTGCGACTAATCGATCCTGGTAATGCACCCGTTGGCGTCAAATCGCCGTATAGAACCTTGACCAGTGCCTGGAGTGCCGTCTCCGTGAAGTCGTATGTACAGAGATACGTCCCAATCGTTGGATCCATGGCGAAGTCATACGGCGAGCTGACCGCCACCACGATCATTGGCTTTTCAAGACGTTCCCCGGACGGAGAGTATTGGGACTGGCAGATCATCGAGACGTGCTTGGTGAACCCCTGCTGGTAGAGATTGCGGTTGGCATCTGCCGTGATCACGATAACCGCACTCGCCCGATTGATGAGGTCCTCGTGGATAGGACGCACGCCATTGGCTGTGTAAGAGGTGTGCAACACGCGTCCGCTCCTCTGTCGCGAAAGCGAGCGTCCGAGTTCCTTGAAGACACTTTCTCCACTCATCACCGAGGCGGTTCGATCCCAAGACACCGAGCCGTGTGGGAAGTGACTGTTTCCTGACACCGATTGTGACACTGCTGATGCCGGCAGCGGCTTCACCAACGGAGTCAAGAGCAAGAGTTCCTCGCCGGCATCGATAACATTTGACAGGGGAAGAAGGTTGTGCTTGTCCCGCAAGACTGAGATGGAGCTGTTGTATGCTCGCGTGGAGAGGCTGGTGTGGGATGGTTGCATCTGGGTGAGCGAGAGGAGTCCCGGAGGGTTCAATGCCTGGTCCCAGGAAGTGCAGCGAGCCTTCAGATTGAGCACACGGCGCAAAGACTGTTGAATCCGAGGTCGGCCAATAATCCCGTTCTCCACGCCCAGCTTCAACCCGTTGATAGCTTCTTGTTGTACGGGAAATGACCGACAGATGATGATAACATCGCATCCCGCATTCTTTGCCATCACCGTGCCACCACCAACACCAATATTGTGCGTCAGGGCCTCCATCTCAAGACACTCTGATACGACGACTCCTTGAAAACCGAGGTCTTTGCGAAGAAGATCGTCCACGACTTGATCGCTCAGACAGGCGTGCATGACATTCATGCCAGCCGATGACATGGACACCCCACCTACCATCATGGCATCCAGACCGTGGGTGATGGCATTGCGAAAAGGCACCAAGGCGCTCAGACTGAGTTGCTCCAGTGACTCCGTGATGATAGGGACGTCGGTATCCGAGCCGAGAAACTCCAGGTTGCCGTAAGAAGGGAAGTGCTTGCCACAGGTGACGAGCCCAGCTTCTTGATATCCTCTCATAACCTGCACGCCGTACTGTGAGGCTTCCTGGGGGTCATCACCGGCGGTTCGGACGCCCAACGGTTGATTGCGCACATTGGTCAACACGTCCAGCACCGGGCCGAGAATCCAATTGACCCCGACAGCCTTGAGCTCCTGCGCGGTTGCAACTGCCACTTCATGAGCCAGCGACTTGGACCCCGTCGCCGCAATGCCCATGGCGCTGGGAAATTGGCGTATATAAATTTCGTCATATAAACTGTTGACACCGCCATTCTCTTGATCCAGAGCGATCAGTAATGGGACCGGATGGCCAGCATCACGGGCGATCGTCTGCAGTTCCAGGACCAACCGGGTTGTCTCCTCAGCGGCTGTAGGGGGAATAGTCAGTGAGAACGGTCAGTCAATGGCAAGGATATCGAATCATAATACATTTGAGATTTTTGGCCGTGAGCAGCACGGAGCCGAGATGGTAGTCCTCAATGAGCGAGCGGATCTGTGGGGTGACCGTGGTGCCATCAAAGCCCATCATAAAGAGCTGGCCCATTTGTCTGGGGAATATGTGTTAGCTGGCGGTAAACACGCTGCCTTCCCCAAGGGGTAAAAAGCTAAATCATTTGCGCCCTGGGGTTCCACAGCCACACCACGCCCGTGGAGGCGGAAAATCTGGGGGAAAAGCCGGGGGCCACAGGGGGTGGAAGCATGGGGCACCGAGTGCACCAGGCCAAGTGACGGATGGCGATGAGGCTGATCGACATACCTATCCAGATCCTCCCAACCCGGGGGCAGCAGCATGTCCTCCATCGGGGCCATGGTGGCCCTAGGACGAGGAATGCCAGCCAGTGTACCCCCTCCAGGCCGAGAGCCGCGATCGGTGGGTGGAGGACGCAAACAGACAGAGGACCCCAAGCTCGGAGCGAAACGTGGGATGGGGGGTGCACCGTGTCCGACAGTTGGTTAGTTACGTGTCCAGGGGAGGAAGGGAAATTCAAGCGCAACGTTGCTCTCCCCTAGTTCGTTCATCCACAGCAAGTCGATAAGATAATCAGCGAGATCCGATAACTGACCTAGTTACAACATGAAATGCATCTGTCAGCAGTCAGGCACGTGATTGTCGGTCTGGCCCGTGGAGTAGGTAAATGCCACACACGGCACTTCCCCACCACACGTTACGTATTGTTCCGTACACACTGCACAAGTCCGGGAACCCTCAAAAGTCCCTTTCGTCACCGCCTGCTGGAAGGGGCATACCGCCCATCCATAGTAGTTTTTGAATGGTGCGGACGCGAATTGCCGGCAGGATATTAGCGCGATCCGTCGGGTGGTCACAGACTTTTGCGGCGCCACTTGTATCTAGAGCCTCCACAGATGCAACGTCGCAGTTTCGTTGAATGGATTCGCCCGAATGCAACCGGGATGGAACCATCGAGGAGCGCCAGCACTACGACCGTATAGACAGAGACGCTCTCGGTATGCTGTTAGTTTAGGTTGATCCAGGTGGTAACTCACTCTGGGTCCAACACTGCTACCACGTAACCTCCATGGCGCTCTGGGGTCCGGAGCCTTCTTAACTGGTTCATCCTTGGAACTCTTCCTCTCTCTTCCTCTCCGTCACTTCATCCTTTCTCTCTCCCAACGATTATTCACCTCGACATCTCCCTCTCAGCCCTGTTGATCCATTTGGCCTGTCCGAGCGCCCGGTGACGTAGCCACCATGTACGTGTCTCCACATCTGCCTCGGACTAAATCCTGACAGCTGCCAGGCGTGTCATTATCAGAGAAGACCCCCAGACGGCCTCGGAGTACATCGCCGAATACATCATCAGTATGTCTCCTCGGTCGTCCATGATGATCCCGACACTGACAGATCCCCAGGCCGCATCAAAACGTACAATCCGACCGAGAACCAGCCGTTCGTGCTGGGTCTGCCCACCGGCAGCAGCCCGGAGATCATCTACAAGATCCTGGTGCAGCGCCACCGCGCCGGCGAGATCTCCTTCAAGAATGTCGTGACGTTCAACATGGTATGTTCCTCCGGAAGGACCAATTGCAAACATATTTCTAATGCCCCACAGGATGAATACGTGGGCTTGCCGCGCGACCACCCGGAGTCCTACCACAGCTTCATGTACAAGCACTTCTTCTCACATGTCGACATCCCACCGCAGAACATCAACATCCTCGACGGCACGGCGCCCGATCCCACGGCCGAGTGCGCATCGTTCGAAGCGCGCATTGCCCGCGTGGGCGGCATTGAACTGTTCCTGGGCGGCGTCGGACCGGACGGACACATCGCATTCAACGAGCCCGGCTCGTCGCTGAACAGCCGCACGCGCGTCAAGACCCTGGCGTACGATACAATTCTGGCCAACTCGCGCTTCTTCGATAATGATATCAACAAAGTCCCCCGCATGGCGATGACGGTGGGTATCCAGACGATCATGGACTCGCGGGAGGTGGTGATCGTCGCGACGGGTGCGCACAAGGCGTTTGCCATCCAGAAGGGACTCGAGGAGGGAGTGAACCACATGTGGACGCTCTCGGCCCTACAACTGCACCAGCACCCACTGGTGGTCTGTGATCGCGATGCCACGCTGGAACTCAAGGTGAAGACCGTCCGGTATTTCGAGGGCATCGAGCAAGCCGGCACGGATGCGCGCACGCAGGGTCCCGCCCTCGTCTATCGTCCTCGCACCTACGTCCCCGCTCCGCTGCCGATTAAGAGGCCCTCGCCGCGCCAGCAGCCCACGCCTGACGGCACGCCGCAGAAGGTGCCCATGGACCTGCGCATCAACACGGAGCTCCAGCGCTCATTGGAGGAGGATGAGCTCACTCCTGACAGTATGTCCTCGCGCATGATCGACTCGGCCGTTGGTGGTCTTGACAGTACGCTGAAGAACGACCTAGTCCTTGACCGTATGGGCGCGCGGATGGCCGCCCACTGAAGAGGGATTCAAATTCATGGCAATTTTTTTTTCTGATTTCCTATATGCGTCTTGAAGACAAAGGGTTTTACGGGGTTCTGATCTTTCCTGTTTTTTAGTCAATATCGGCATGGTTTTTGATGATCTTATTTTTTTTTTTTTTTTTATGGCTACGGAGGTCGCGGAGTTTTTGTTATTACTCTTTTTTTTTCCCCATCTCATTTCACATCTGTAAAGAGAATAGATCGTGGTGGATATCACTCCAATCAATATCCCATATGACAATATCTTGATGCGTAAATGCTCTACCGAGTAAGAAGTGAAGTGGCTGGGATTGACTTTTGTTGCTAAATACACTCTATCCATGCAATCATCGCGACATATACAACACCTTATAGCTTGGCAAACACCGATGCCACCGCACCGCTCATATCGACCAGGGTGCTCTTGTTCTGCAACCAAGCCTCAATGCCGCGGCGGCCATTCTCCACGCCCAAACCGCTCTTCTTCCATCCACCCACGGCCATCTCAGCTGGACTCTCGCCCCATGTGTTCACCCACGTGATACCGGCCTGGAGCTGGTCGATGACCCTGTGGGCCTGGTTCAGGTCCTTGGTGAAGACGCCAGCAGCGAGACCCAGCTCGGTGGTGTTGGCGCGCTGGACAGCTTCGTCGACCGTGTCGTAGTACAGGATCGACATGACAGGCCCAAAAATCTCCTCCTGGACAATGCGCATCGAGTCATGGCAATCTGTGAACACAGTCGGCTGGACCCAGAATCCAGCCTGGAGGTCCTTGGGCACGGCCGGTTTCTCAAGACCACCACAGAGGAGAGTGGCCTTGTCAGTCTCGATTCCGTGGCGGATATACGAGACCACCTTCTCGTAGTGAATAGCAGAGCTCAGGGGACCAAAGTTGGTCGCCTCATCAAAGAGTGGACCCGGCCGCACATGCTGGATCTTCTCGAGCACGCGCTTCTCAAAAGCTGCCTTCATCGAACGAGGGACAAACACCCGGGTACCGTTGGTGCACACCTGGCCCGAGGAGTAAAAATTGGCCATCATGGCACCATCAACCGCACTCTCCAGGTCAGCATCCGGGCAGATGATCAGCGGGCTCTTGCCGCCCAGCTCCATGGTCACGTATTTCATGCTGCCCGCCGCAGTCCCCGCTACTTTCATCCCTGTGGCAACCTGGCCAGTGAACGAGACCTTGGCGATGGTCGGATGGCTGGTCAGGTATGCGCCCACATCACCAGCACCGTTGATAACATTAAACACGCCGGCGGGCAGACCAGCTTCGGTGTAAATCTCCGCAAGGGTCTGTCCGTGGAGGGGGGTGTATTCACTTGGCTTGTAGACCATTGTGTTTCCGGCGGCAAGGCAGGCAGCCGATTTCCAGAGAGCACTATAAGAATGTGTGAGAGGGTCTTCTCTTACAGAGGACGGGGAACCCATACATCTGAATGGGGTAGTTCCAAGCTCCAATACCGGCACACACCCCCAACGGCGCCTTCTTGGAGTACACCCAGGCATCCTCGCGCAGCTGGGTAGTTTCTCCATTAAGACCACCACCGCCAATAAAGTTGGCATAGTACTCCAGGACATCAGCACCGGTCACGACATCGACGGTACTCGTCTCCGTGAAGGCCTTGCCGGAATCGAGCGTTTCGATTTTGGCAATTTCATCGTTGCGCTCGCGGAGGAGGGCAGCAGCCTTGTGAAGGATGCGGGCACGAGCAATGTGCGGGGTATTGGACCATTGCGGAAAGGCCTTGTCGGCAGCAGCAATGGCCTTGTCGACGTCGGCGTGCGCGGCGATCTGGATGTCGGCCAGCGGGGTTGCGGTGGCGGGGTTGATGGTCTGAAAAGTCTTGCCGGACGAGGCGGCATGGACCTGGCCGTTGTAGTAGAGCTGGCGAGTCGGGTAGGGGAGGGACATTGTGAGAGGTGAGGAGGGAAGGATGGAGGAGTTTCGAGAGTAATGGTGATCTGTTTCTGCTCTCGGACCAGTGATTCGTCTGCACACCGCTAGGGTCACCGCCTGTGCGGGCGAGGCCGATCCGTTAGGTAACGGGTTCAAGTGGGGCGCGCAAAGATTGTATGGCGCGGGCCAGTCCCGGGTACTTACGGTAGTAGTAGTGGTAGTGAGCCAGGGAGTGGATAAGAGTATAGCAGTAAGCCAGCTAGGATGCGTCGTCGAGGCTCTGGCGTGAGACTGGGATCACTTGGGAGTAGTACAAGTACGAAGTATATATGAGGGGAAAGTAAGGCTGGAGCTTCGAGGGAAAAAGGGCGCTAAGAGCCAGCCCCATTCGCTGCATGACGTAGGTGTTGGACTATATATATATACTTTACAATCATTGTAGAAATGGATTCACTGGGTGAGCTAATGAGTAGGAGTAGCGTTGAATAGTTAGGCCTAGAGATCTCCTACGTCCTCTTTACTCGATCCATGTATCCTCCAGAAACAGACTCTGATACAACTCTGATCCATGTGGACCTGCATTATCTAATGCACTCCACCCTTTAGATCGCCGCCACTCACAATGCGCCAATAGAAAAAAAAAAAAAAAAAAGTAAGGCACGCACGAGAGACGTCCGAATCGGGCTACTAGATAGAGAAGCCACTGAAGGCCTTCCCGCTCTTTCCCGTCACTACACTTTCCCCTTCTGCACCTTCGTTTTCTCTCCCTTCCCCCAATCCCATTTCAACATGGCCACCACCAACGAGCTCCCCGCTGTCGACGTCGACTCCTACGACTATGTTATTGTCGGTGGCGGCACCGCAGGCTGTGTCATTGCCGCACGCCTGGCGCAGTACCTGCCCAACAAGCGCATCATTGTCATTGAGGGGGGCCCCAGTGACTACAACGATGACCGCGTGCTCAACCTGAAGGAGTGGCTGAACCTACTCGGTGGAGAACTCGACTACGACTATCCCACCACCGAGCAGCCCATGGGCAACAGCCATATCCGACACTCTCGCGCCAAGGTGCTGGGTGGTTGCTCCAGCCACAACACCCTCATCTCGTTCCGCCCGTTCGAGTACGACTGCCAGAACTGGGTCGCCAAGGGCTGCAAGGGCTGGGACTTTGAGACCTTCACCCGCCTGGTTGACAACCTGCGCAACACCATCCAGCCCGTGCACGCCCGCCACCGGAACCAGCTGTGCAAGGACTGGATCCAGGCCTGTTCTTCGGCCATGAACATCCCCATGATCGAGAACTTTAACGACGACATCCGCAACAAGGGCGAGCTGACCGAGGGTGTGGGCTTCTTCAACGTCTCCTACAACCCGGACGATGGCCGCCGCAGCAGCGCGAGCGTTGCCTACATCCACCCCATCCTGCAGGGTAAGGAGAAGCGTCCCAACCTGACCATCCTGACCAACGCCTGGGTGTCCAGGGTGAACGTCGAGGGTGACGAGGTCACTGGTGTCAACGTCACCCTGCAGTCCGGTGTCAAACACACCCTGCGCGCCAAAAAGGAGACCATCCTGTGCGCCGGTGCCGTGGACACCCCGCGTCTGATGCTGTTGTCCGGTCTGGGTCCCCGGGAGCAGCTGTCCTCGCTGGGGATCCCAGTGGTGAAGGACATCCCCGGTGTGGGCGAGAACCTCCTAGACCACCCGGAGAGTATCATCATCTGGGAGCTCAACCAGCCCGTGCCTCCGAACCAGACCACAATGGACTCGGACGCCGGTATCTTCCTGCGTCGCGAGAAGCCCAACGCTGCGGGCTTCGACGGCCGCGCCGCCGACGTGATGATGCACTGCTACCAGATTCCCTTTTGCCTCAACACCATGCGTCTGGGATACGAGGTGCCCGCCGACGCCTTCTGCATGACCCCCAACATCCCGCGCCCGCGTTCGCGTGGTCGCCTCTACCTGACTTCGGCCGACCCCTCCGTGAAGCCGGCGCTGGACTTCCGCTACTTCACCGACCCCGAGGGCTACGACGCCGCCACCATTGTGGCTGGTCTTCGGGCTGCCCGTGAGATCGCCAAAGCGGCTCCGTTCAAGAACTGGCTCAAGCGCGAGGTGGCTCCCGGCCCCAAGGTCCAGACCGACGAGGAGCTCTCCGAGTATGGCCGTCGCGTGGCCCACACTGTGTACCACCCCGCCGGAACCACCAAGATGGGTGATGTGGCCAGTGACCCTCTGGCGGTGGTGGATCCCAAGCTGAAGATCCGCGGCCTGAAGAACGTCCGCATTGCGGATGCCGGGGTGTTTCCCGACATGCCCAGCATCAACCCCATGCTGACTGTGCTGTCCATTGGAGAGCGTGCCGCCGAGCTTATTGCCGAGGAGGCTGGCTGGACTCACTCGCAGCCCCGCCTGTAAATAAAAGGAATGGTGATGTGAAAAGTGTTGCTTTCTTTTGGTTTTCGTTTTGCATATGAGCGAACGGCGCAGTGCTCCGTCCGAGTCATCGACAGAGGGTCCACCCGAGACGTGAATTCTTCTGTAATCCCTTTCCACTGTTTCACAATCTGCTAGACAGATGTGAGAATCTTCGGTTCGTGGATATAAATATATATGGCGTGCGGTTTAACTAGTATATCTTGGACATAGGGAGTTAACCCATGGAGACTAAAAAAATACATGCAAGTTCCAATGCACGCTCTCATATATATATATATACACATTGAGATCTGAATCTATCAATCATATGCTTTCTTGTTCGTGCTCTATGCGATCTTTCGCTGGAGATAAGGTGCAATCAACGCCGAAGAGCCATCCCATCGCAGAGAAATCCACCCATGAAATATTAGAAAATACGCAAAAAAGTGACGTCCTGGAATATTCACGCTAGGAAAAAATCAAATCGCCGCCGCCTTCTCGGTATCATGGATTTTGACCCCAAGCTTCCACACCTGGTCAACCGTCAGTGTCCGACCCGAGTCAACGTCCTCCTTTTCACCCAGCACAACTAGATCGGCATCGGCGCCGCTCTCCAGCGACCCCTTGACGCCCTGCAGGCCCAGCAAGCGTGCCGGCGTGGCCGTGACGGCATTGATCGCGTCCGCCGTGGAGGAACCCGACCAGCGACGGAAGTTGTTCACACACTCGATGAGCGTGGCCGAGCTGCCAGCAATCTTATCGGATCCCTCCAGGGTCAGCCGAGCACCGGTCTTGACAATGCGCTCGCCGTTGGTCCAGTCGTACACACCATCCGGCAACCCACAGAGGCGCATTGCATCCGTGACCAGCACCAGCCCGTCCGGATGCGCGTTGTATGCGATCTTGATGGAGGTAGGATGCAGATGGATGCCGTCGGCAATGACCCCGTAGAACGGGCGGCGCCGCTCACTCTGGCCCAGTAGACCGAAGATGCCCGGGTTGCGGTGGTAGAAGGGCCGCATGGCGTTGAAAAGGTGGGTAATCATGCGCGCGCCCTGGTGCGTGGCCGACACAGCCTGTTCGTAAGTGGCGTCTGAGTGACCAATGGAGAAGATGATTCCGCGCTTTGTGATCTCGGGGATCTGCGACATCATGTTGCCCACCTCCGGGGCGGCGGTGATCATCTTGATGGGGCCCGGGGTGTTCAGATGCTCGGCGCCGTAGCAATGCAACAGATCCTCCAAGTTCTGAGCGGCGCGCAGCACTTCGGGCTTGTGGATGCCATTGCGGCCGGCGCTGAGAAAGGGGCCCTCGACGTGTGCACCCAGGGACTCGGCGCCGTCTTCGGGGCGGAGAGTACTCGCAGAGGGGCCCAGAGAAGGCAACACCTGTCACGGTCATTTAGTTTTCGCGATAGACCGTGGAGAAATCTCTCGCGCTTACCTTCCAGTAGACCTCGGGCGTGGAGCTAATCACCGTCGGCAGGTAGGACGTCACACCGGTGCGGGCCAGACCGTGATTGACCATGCGCATGCCCTCATCGTACTCCTCCTTGGTCTCGCAGGGCACCGAGAAGTCAAAGCCCTGCGCGCCGTTCAGCTGCACATCGATCAGACCGGGGGCCAGAATGCGGCCGCCCAGATCGATAATCTCGTCGGGGGAGAGGAGCAGTTCATAAAAGGCCTCCTGGTCCTTGAGGATCTTGCCGGACAGCGAGTCGATCCAGAGGTCCTGCTCGACGAGCTCAGAGCCGCGCACCAGCCGGCAGTTCGTGAACTTGGTGATGCGCGGGTGGGAGGCCGTCTTGCCGGGCATGATGATCAATGGGGGGAATGTTTATTATGATGGGAGGGGGGGGAGGGAGTCTACGGGAAGAAGAGAGGAGCCATGATATAATGGGGCCATAATACATATTAGGGCCGGGGATTATGGACCATGACGATAAGATGCAACAGTAGTGATGGGAGGATGGACGGCATGCCGAGTGCAGTAGAGGATGTACCTTGGCGGGCACATGGTGTGGAGAGGTACAGCGGCGGTCCAAAAGTCTGAATCCCTCTACCTACACGCCGCAGCGGCTAACTGGTTTCATACTTTTGCCCACCCCTGTACCTGATCAATGTGACGCTGTGGTTTGGTATTGTCCGATACATACAAGGTTGCACCCAATGGATCATCATGACGGTCGCATCCGGCGCCACGGCTCTACCAAATAATAGAGCCGCCAGTTCTATCTACATCCCCACAACTTCTCCAGTCTGGCGGGGAATCGGTCGACGTCCGAGTACCATAATGAATCATAATGAGGGTCGGCAGTGACCCACGTCGCATGCGAAAAATCCCCACGGGGCGGGAGGCTTCAATGGAACACACACTGCGACCTATTCCCGCACGATGATTTAACTAACCAGAATGGCCTCCGTCGACGATCCAAACGTCCGTTTTCATGTTCGCTCTTGCCCGACACCCATCAGCACCCAGACTCCGGAATTGGCCCTGTCTCACGTGGCCCACCAACATTCCAGCAGTTCTTCTTGATCGGATCGTCCCTCGCATCCCTTGCTGGATCGTTCTTCCTCTTCTCCATCATGGCCAAGATCCAGTCCGACCTGGAGATGTCGGAGAACGTGGCACACGAGTCCGCCCCGAAGAAGCAGCAAGATGAGCAACAGTCCGAGACGACCATCCAGGGATACGACCCCGAGGCCGGGCGCGACCACGCCGTCGTGGGCCCCCCATGGATGTACAAGCCGATGCTGACCATTGGCTCCTTCAAGCTGCCGTGGTTTGCCTCGCCCGAAACCCAGCTGGTGCTGGTCTCGTTCGTCTGTTTCCTCTGCCCCGGCATGTTCAATGCGGTCTCAGGCCTCGGAGGTGCGGGCCAGCTCAAAACCACCGATGTCAACAACGCCAACACCGCGCTCTACAGTACTTTTGCCGTCGTGGGGTTCTTTGCCGGGTCGGTCGCTAATCGCATTGGGCTTCGTTTGACACTCTCGATCGGTGGCTTCGGATACTTCCTCTATGTGGCATCGCTCCTCTCGTATAATATCAACCAGAATGCCGGGTTTCTGATCTTTGCCGGCGCGCTGCTCGGCGTCTGCGGCGGTCTGCTGTGGTGCGCGCAGGGTGCGGTGATGATGAGCTACCCCCATGAACATGAGAAGGGCAAGTTTATCTCGATCTTTTGGGTTATCTTCAACCTGGGCGGCGTCATTGGCAGTCTGGTAAGTTTGGGTCCGAAGCTGCGCCCTTAAAAAAAGTGTAGCGCTCATATGACATTTCTAGATCCCTCTCGGCCAGAACATGCATTCTACAGCTGGCACAGTGGACAATGGCACCTATATTGCATTTCTGGTTCTCATGGCAGTAGGGTTCGTCCTCTGCTGGGGCCTTGCGGACGCGAAATACATCATGCGCAAGGACGGATCCCGGGTAATTGTTATCAAGAATCCCACCTGGAAGTCCGAGTTCATCGGGCTGTGGGAGACGCTCCGCAGCGACTCCTATATCATCCTCTTGTTCCCCATGTTCCTGGCCAGTAACTGGTTCTACGGGTACCACTTCAACACCGTCAACGGCGCCTTCTTCACCATCCGCACACGCGCCCTCAACAGTCTCCTCTACTGGCTGATGCAGATGGTCGGCGCCTTTATCTTTGGCCAGCTGCTCGATCTAAAGTTCTTCTCTCGGCCCATGCGCGCCAGGATCAACTTTGGCTTGATCTTTATCATCACGCTGGGTATCTGGGGTGGTGGCTATGCCTTCCAGAGACAGTATACGCGGGAAATGGTCAAGCATGACCCGAACTTTGTCAAGACGGACTTCATGGACGGCGGCTATATTGGTCCCATGTTTTTGTACATGTTCTACGGCTTCTACGATGCCGCGTTCCAGACCTGCGCCTACTGGTAAGTGTGAACGAACGACGCTGAATTTCATCCAAACCTTGCTAATTTGCTGCTTAGGTACATGGGCTCGCTTTCTAATAACGCCCGGAAGCTGGCCAATTTCGCTGGTTTCTACAAGGGAATCCAGTCGGCCGGAGCAGCGGCCATGTGGCGGTAGGTTTTGATCTTCATTCCCTTCGGTATCCCATCACTGATAACCCCCACAGCCTGGATGCTGAAGATACACCGTTCATGACCGAGTTTGCCTCATGCTGGGGTCTGTTGCTTGGCAGCCTGCTCATCGCATCTCCTGTGATCTGGTTCAAGATCAAGGAGAACACCGCGGTGGAAGATGACCTGCGCTTCTCGGACGAGACGGCCGCCGACGTTTTGGGTGACGAGGCGAAGCAGCGACCTGCAGAGGAGCATTGAAAAAGAAAAGGAAAAAAAAAAAAGACAGGAGCGCAAAGCCGAATCTTTTCTGCGTGATTGTATTTTTGTATTGGACGAGTGCTACGATACGTCTGTAGATATAAAATATCCAGAAATTCATATATTAATATGTTAAGCAAAGCCCGTCTCGATATTTAGATGTGAGAATAAGGCTCAACAGTCCCGTATAAGCACTAAAATAACCCTAAGCAAGCCACTCGGATCCGAGCGTGCATCACGCAATACTCATACACATACAACGCATTCACCACCGCAATTGCAAAGAAGCAGAAGTAGACAGGTACCACCATCAACGGCGACAGCGACTCGCTATGTGTTGCTGAATTGAGGCCACGAGACGCAAAATCCAGACTGTGTTTCCATCTGAAACGGAAAGTCCGGGTCATTCAAGGACTTGGCCATGCTTTCACAGGGTTGATATATGCATATCACTACTGTGCCAGAATATTCAGCATTAACTTGATCTCCACAATCCACGCCAGTCCCCTGTCGATCAGATCCAAACTAACGGGCACTGCGGCTAGGCAGATGACGACAACGTTCCCGGACCGATGTCTGCATCCATCAATCCCATGTGATGCCGAGTTCCAATCGGCCCGTGAGACACGAAGACCGGATGCATTGCACACAAAGTTATGTTGTTATGAAAATTATTCATTTCCATTTCCAATTGCTATGTCTTTGCCAGAATAGGTATCCTTCTATCACAAAATACAACACAGACATCACTGTCGTCACGGACATTAGAAGAAGTAACGCGCCGAGGAACACCGCTCCCAATTTTTTTTTTGGTGTCGGACGCACCAAATCCTCCCAAATAATAATAAGACAATAAAGTAATTAAAAAAAAATGTCCAGGATAAAGAAGGAGTAAAGACAAAAGGCACATGCTTTACTCGCCCACGGTGAGTCCAAGATCTGCGTCCAGATCGGTGGTGAGACCGGCCGGGTTGCGCGCCTGAGCCTCGGCAGCGCGGGCCTCGGAGCGATCGGCATGGTCCAGGTTCGCGCCGTCAACCGATTTGGGATAGATAGAATCGAACATCGCGTTCATAGTATTGTCCGTCATGGCGGGACCGGAGGAAGCACCATTCTCGTCAGCAGCAAAAAAGTCATTGCCTGCGTCGTCGAAGTTGATCAGGGCGTCGAAATCGTTCTGGGTCACTTCAGCGTCGTTGGCCAGGTCCATCAGCTCGGTCAGGCTCATTTCAGACTCCAGGGCAGGCATGGCGAGAGCTTCTCGCTGGGTGAAGTTCGGATTGAGGTTGTTTGTACTGCCGTTGTCGCTGCCGTCGGAGTGTGGTGGGGTCGAGGCGAATGTACCTGCAGCGGTCCGCGCGCCGGCGGTTGCCTCCTTGGGGTTGGGGTAGGTCAGATCGGGGATCTTCTGGGCGAGAGAGTCGGGCGGTGGTGTCAGGGCATCGAGACGGCTGCCTTCGCCGTTGGCGTTGCGTCGGTTTGACTGTACGTCCTGCGGAGCAACTGTGAGTTGGATGCCGGCCTTGCGGATCGCGGCCTCCAAGAATGATGTGGCGAAGTCGGCCGATGCGTAGATCTCGCGCAGGCGTTGGAGGATGCGCATGCACTGGTAGAAGCGCTGGAGGCTGGTCATTCGGATGCTCGGGTCACTCGACTTGATATCCAGTAGATGAATAATGACTGCCGGCAGGAGCACCGTCACGCCAGTCGTAGGGTAGTACCGAGTCAAGTCCAGGCTGTGAAGGTCCTGGGCAATGTTCGTGATTTCCACTGCCGCATATCGCACCTTATTTCGTGACATATCCTGCAGCTCCGCGTCCATAGACGGATATGGGATGGCCGGAAGAACCTGGGGGCGATGCAGCGCACTGGAGGTCGTGAGGTAGACCATCTTCAGCAGGGCACGATGTGAGTGCAACACCTCCTCTGCCTCGGACAGTTTAGATCCGCCTGACGCCACGTATTGTGTTTCCACGGGGAGGTTGGCCAGCCAGTCCTCCAAGTCCTGATCGCAGCGGCGCACTTCGAATGTTTCCGCGGTGGACTTCTTCGGGACAAGCATCATGGTGGTCTCCATGGTGCCGCCGAATTTGTGACTCAAGACCGAGTACTGGGCTGACAGTACGTGGCTGACGCAGAGGCACAGCTTGGCCTTCTCGATGAACATAAGAGCCAGTTCGCGCTGGTGACCCACGTTCTGCAAGATCTCCGAGTTGCCCACCATGCTGACAATCTCGGGTGAGAATGGGTGAAATTCAAAGTCGTCCAGGGTTAACATCGGCACATCGCAGTCATCGTCCTTGACGCGCATCGGGCGCCGCATGCCCAGGGCAATCAGCCGGTCGCGAGTGTAGGTGCTCCACCAGATACGCTTCCACATTCGTTGGCGGCGAAGATCCATGCGCGAGTTCCCGGGGTCCCGGTGAAGGCCAATGGTGTGAGCCAGAGACAAACTGACTCCCATCCAATGCCAGGTATCCTTCTGATCATCGGGGGTTTCGTACCAGTAGGTCATGAGGAGAAGCGACTGCACCAGGGAGATGCGGTCTACTTCATAGTCGAAATCATAGAGCAACCGAGCGCGTTGGAAAAAGATTTTGCGAGCCGCTTTGCGAGTTTGGTAGCCCGCGGCCTGCAGATGCTTCATATCAATGAAGGCCATGCCAGCGAACATAACCGCCTGGAACAGCAGTAAACTGATGCGGTGGATGCCGTCGTTCTGCACTATCGTCTGCAGGAAGTCCTCCAGATCCAGCAGGGGCATGTAGGTATGGACGTAGTGGATGTAGCTCTTCAACAGCTCATTCCGCAGGCTCACATCGGGGACAGTCAGTGCTCCCTTGGCGGCTAGATACTCAATGTCCTCTGTTTGCAGCCGTGCGGGCAGACCGCGGATGTAGTCTGGGAGATAGACACCACCGCGTGGGTCACCAAACGACGGGTCCAACAGCTGCTGAATCTGCGAAGTGACGTTGGCTAGGGGCATCGACGCTGGCACGGCCGGGTTGGGTGCCATGCGACGACGGAAAGGATCATCGGAGCCAATCCGCTGCACCTGGTTTTGATCTGGAGCTTGGGTCAGCGATGCAACGAGGATTTGGAGGGAAAGTACGAACACAGCATATGCGGCATATGCTGCCCGTGGTCAATATCGACCGAGGTCTGCGAGGGCGAGGTGGGCTCCATCTCGTTGAAACCCAGGGAGTCGCTCAGTCTGCTGTGCAGAGCCAGATTGTCCTCCGAGGCCTCGCCGGGCGAGTCAAGGGTCTGATTGTTATTGTCTACTTCGACCCGGGATTTCCTGCAAGGCAGGCTCTATTAGCCCCAGGGAATTCTTTTCTTTTCTTCTTTTTTTTTTTCTTAAGAAAAAAGAATACTGAGATCTGTATCAACTTACTTTCTGCGCTTGCTCTCCGTCACGATGCACTCGACCTGGTCGAGGCGGCAATTTGTGCAGGGCGAGCCGTTTTCCACGACATCGCAGCGCACCTTGCGGGCGCGGCAGCAGCAGCATGCTTTGGAGGCGCGGCGTTTGACGGGCCGGTTGTGGCCCGAAAGACCGGCGACCGAGGCCTTGCGCTTCCCCTGCGAGTCAGATTCGGTCATTGTCGCGGTGGCAGTAGTAGTCATAGTGTGAACGGGGGAGTGGCGTGGGCGGACATGCGTGTGGCAAAGCACGTATGTGATGTTTTAAGAGTCTAGTGTCCGTTCGCGCGCCAGGCGGGGAGAAGGATGGTTAAGTATTAGGTGAGTCTGGGGGCCCGGCGGAACCGGGGAAAAGCCACAGGACTAGTGTCTGTTCCCCACCACGAGAGGCATTTCCACATTGGTCCCGCTTGAGTGTCGTCACTCTGAGTTCGGCCCGGTCACGTTACCCCTCTCGGTCCGTTCGGTAAAGGGATTCCTATTTAGGGGAGTCGGCTGTATGCTTGCGGTTCCTATTTACTACGACATTGCCCCGATTTGGGGAGGAGGATGATTCTGGCAGTGGTACTACCATTATAGGGGTTGGATCCAAGGCAGAATCGTAATTATCTCTGCTAGGAAAACTTCTCCAGTGGGCCTGGACAGAACTCCGAAATACTCCAGCGAAACCCCGATCCCGTGTGTGGTCGTGGAGCGAAAAGGGATCGGAGCCGCTAGCGTAGGGGGGACCAGTCGAGACTGCTAGACAGCCGATGGGCGGAGAATGGTTGGGCCTGGTGGGGATGGGGTCGCAAGGAGGTCTGTTTTGGTAAGAATGATCTTGATTATGTCGTGGAAGCAAAATCCATCATCATAATGCCCCGAGATGGAACAGTGTCACAGGGAGAATCCCTCACTGGATCAGCAATGTCAATGCCATGGATTATCCGATTTGTACTCAAAGAATACTGTTCGAGTCACCGAGATCCTGATCATCCCAGCCCCTGAGTACCGTGGCGAGGGCCCAGATCGTGGATTGGTTAATAATAATAATCACCGGGCGTTCGACGTTGCGGTGGGACTGTCAATCATTCCTGCAGCTGGAGAAGAAAGTGCCGATGGTCGGAGAATTCATCATGGTCATGGTCATGCTCAACTATGGCATTCTTCTGGTGACCCCATGCTCTCGTACATTATTATCATTATTCCTATTCTTATTATTGCGCCTCGGCTCAGTGCTTGCGAGAGCAAACCCTAATTCTGCGGTTGCCACCCATCTTCGACCACTCCGTTGTGCGCAATAAGGGAGGTCTGTGGATCCCAATTGCCTCCCCAGGCCGATCGGGGCTTTGCGGGGCATGATGCTGAGAATTCTGCGCTCGCACGCGGATCCAGTGGAGCGCCAATCAGGTCAGTCTCGCTACGGTTCCGAAACCTTGCACAATTCCGCTGTGTTTTGGACTCAGCCCACAGCCAGTTCCATGCCAACGGAACCACACCCGATCCCTGCAAACAATTGTTCAGGTCAGGTATTCTGTAGTCCTCCCGAGTCGGGAAGACCAGCAGTGCCGAGTCTAACTTCCGCGCCCACCTTTAGCAATTGTCTTCCCATGATTGGTAGGGGCGAAACCTTGAACCACGGATAACCGGATACGTAGGATGCTGTAGGAAATCACTGACATGCAGGATTGCGGAGTGCCCTGTCCCACGACCTCGGCCTTCTGCCCGCACAGCTTATTAGTGCCGTGGATTGTAGGAAAACGGCTGATCGGAGGCTAGCTAGTACATAGTCCCCCGCCAACCCACGAGCGCGGAGGAGGGGCCTGTGGCACGAATAGGAGGACATATCTTGCTTTTGCTCTACTACTCCGTACTATCTAATTACTTCCCAACGTTTTTTGACTTCGGAGAGAAGCCGATATGGAGAGCTCATCCTGTCAGCATGCTTGAAACCGACTAGGGGGGCGCGGTAGCACCGCTTGGAGCTCCCAAATGGTTGGACTAGACTGTAGCCGATCGCAACACGAGGGGAAACGACGGCGTCATTGCTAGCCAGTGAAAGTTGGTATTGGCTGCCAACTCGCTCATAATTCACCACCATGCATAGTCAATGCGCGCGCGGCTCATAACAGGCTGCTCACAAAAAACTGATCCGGGGGTGGGGCTTTCATGGATTTGCCCCCCATCGTGAGTGGTGGCACCCCCATCTAGGGTCAAGCTCGGGCTGACGGGCGATTCTCGGGGTCAGACCGAGTTGGATGGTGGTTTGCTATGTCTGTTTTGCAAGTGTATAGCATCACTTTGAGGAGATACTCTACAAGGTACATACGCAGTCATTCAATAAATCATATTCACATATTCACAATAATGTACACCTGGAGGGACCAGGTCTTGGAAGTATCATAAAATTCCCAAAACAACGAGAACACCAACATCGGCGAGGGAGGGATATCAAACGAAAAGAATCCAAAAACACACTGAAAAACACGGAAGATCCAGTAATCGCTCACATCCCGCCACGGCCCATTCTCTCAATCGACCCCATGATCCCTCCACGGCCCGGGGTGAAGACTGCAATGCCCGACTTGCCGCCGCTGTTGGCTCGCGAGTGACCGCCCGGAGCACCGTATCGGGGGATGCGCTTCTCGCCGTTACTGGGGTGACGAATAGACCCAGAACGACCAACGCTGCGACGGAGGGTGTCGCAGTCTTGCTCAGCAGATTCATCATTATTATCGTCTGCAGGAGCAGATGAGGAGACTGAAGGTTCGCGGACCGGGTTTGGAGGCTGGCTCTGCTGAATAGCCAGCCACTCGTCCACCGCAGCGACCAGCTCGCCCTTCTCGGCGCGTTCGGACTTGAGTTCAGAACGCAGATGCGCACTGTCTTCCTTCAGCGCGGCCATTTCCTGCTGGAGGCCCTTGATCTGCGCTTCCAGGACGCGCTTCTCGGTCTCATGCTCGTCGTTCTCACGGGCAATCATGCTAGCATTGGCAGCGACCATAGATTCCGAGCTAGCGGCGTCACGCTCAGACCGGAGACGCTCAGCTTCCTCGCGAGCAGTCGCGAGTTTATTCTCAGCCTCGCGTACACGCTTCTCCCAGCGTCCCTCGTAGCTCTTCTTGAGCGCGGCGACCTTGGTCTCATGCTTGCCCTTGTACAGAGTGTGCAATTCACGAGCGACTTTCTCTACGGCGTCCTGGACTTCTCGCGCGGTAGCTTCAGCGGATTTGGAGGCCGGAGCTGCCGCGCCGGATACCGTTGATGCAGAGGCACGGGCGGCCGACAGTTGGCTTTCCAGCTCGACGAGTTTGCCCTCGAGCTGTTCCTTGCTCTTCTCAGCCTCCTCGGCCTTTCGGGTCAGACGGTCTCGTTCGCGCTCGCCTTCGACCAACTCTGCACGCACAGACCGCAAGACACTCTCCATCTCCTTGCCCCGGCGATCCCATTCACCTTGCTCGATCTCCAAAGCTTCTTTGCGCGCAGCTTCGTTCCGCACTTCTTCCAGAGCTTCACCGACGCGTCTTTCCGCATCGGCAATCGCCTTCTTCAGACTGGCGACCTCGGCGTCCTTTCCACTCAGTGTGGCCTTGAGGGACGAGATCTCAGACATGAACCCTGATTTAAGAGACTCCATTTCCCGGGGCGTGATGGTCGGGACAGAGCGAGGAGTCGGTGCAGGTGGAATATCAATATCTAGCAGCGACGCTTTCGACGGAGACCGAATAGACTCCCGTAGTGCCCTCAGAGGTGACCGCCGCGACGGAGAATACCGCCCACTCTGCATGGAGTGACGCGGGAGGAAATTCATGTGATCCGTTAGATCAAGCAGGTTGGGTGTTTCGCCCGGGTTTTCTGCCCCTTGGAACTGTCTCCGTCTCGGGGTAGGGGATCCAACAGGCGAGCCACCGTCAACCATCACGCTGCTTCTGTATGCCCTGCGCGCTGTTCCCGGGGTGGCCGGGTTATGGCGGTCTGGCAGAGCCGGACTGGGCGCGACGCTGTTACGCATAGCTTTGAGAGGTGAGGCACCTCGAAGGCTTGCAAATTCAGTCATGTCCACATTGGGCACGGCGGAGAAGGTGCTGAGACATGTGTCGTCCATTGAGTCCTGCATATCATCGTCACCGGCTGGGATGAAGTTTTCTTTGTTTGCGATTCCACTTTCGCCATCCTCACGGAGCACGGTGCTCATTCCCTCGTTGTGCTTGTCTTCCATCACGCTATTGGCGACCGTTGAGTGGCTATGCGCGGCCGAGACCATGCTCTGGTTGTAGATGAGACTAGGATCCTCGTCGACATGGATGCCAGGATCGCTCGCTCGACTCATCGGGCCCTTCTTGCATCGCTCGTTCATTTGCGCCTCATCTCCATGATCCTGTGGGGTCTGGTCAAACGACCGCTTTCGGGGCGTAGCTGTAGCGGAATTTCCACGATATGGTGACCGGGACTTGTGGCGCAATTTCTGAGAGTTGATTGTGTTCTCCTCTGACCGGAAGTGCGAACTAGCACCGCCGTCAATGTCCGGCTGTGCGTCCCAGCCAGGCGATCCACCTTGCAGCTCGCGCAGCTTGTCGAAATCAACCGTGTCGTCCCTACCCTCAGGCCGGAACGGGGAGCTTGTCGGGTCGTCAAGTGCAAATCGTTTATTCAGCCCAGGAGACATGGGCTGTTGCACCTGATGCAGTCTGTGAAAATCCACCGTTTCCTCACGAGCGTCAGGCTGGAATGGCGAGCTGGTGATATCATCTGCGTCTCGCTCGCTCAAACCAGGCGACATGCGCTGGACCTCGCGCAGTCTCTGAAAATCGACCGTGTCCTCGCGAGTCTCGGGTTGGAAGGGTGAGCTCGGGGCCTCGTGGAAGGAGTCGTTATCATTGACATCATCAATATCATCCCCGTGATCGTTGTGGACGTAGACATCATTTTCGTTGACGGGGTATTCGTGAGACTCCATATTGAGCTCCAGCGAATGCTTCAGCGGACTCGAGGGGAAGGGGCCCGCAGGCATGGGCTTGGTGAGAAACGGCGAGGAGGTCAACTTTGGGGAGTAGGCTCGCGCGTTTTGGTGAGAGGGGGATAAGGGGGAGAGCGGGTTTGACATGGTGAGTGGTGTGATGGTGGTAATTGCCTTGCAGATGCAGAAAGTCAACATGTGGTGACGCTTTGTTGTGGCGGTTGCCCAGTCAACACCGCTAGTCCACATTGGGTCATCCAGGGCTGTGCCTCACGATGTTCACTCAAGGAACACGAGAATATGGGATAATTCTTCCTCGGATACATTGTCCTTCTATCCACAGGACTAAGATCCGTGGGTATCTATCTTTGTAATGTTTCTCTGCCTTCACCGGATCCCTAAACGCCACATTCTATATCGTAACCAACAATGATTCGTAGACCACCAATTATGCCCGTCCCAAGGCTCCAAGCTTTGTCCTCCCGTACGCGCCGCCCTTCGCCTTTCTCATCTCCAAGGCCCGCCGATAGGGTGGAGCGGTGGGCGGTTGCACCGGATCTAGACTGACGTGGTCTGGCGGCAGAGTATATGATGCGTCGGAGTCCCAGGCGGAGAGATCCCCACATGCGATGAAAGAGGGGATCCATCGGTTTTCAGTTGCGAATTTGTCGGATGGCGCTTTCTGTGCCGGCGGTGGATATGTGGCCGGGTGAAGAAGCCGGACCTCGGTGGTGTGATTGGATGGAGCAGTACTCGCTGAAGTCGACGATACGTCCGGCTGCTGGACAGATCTGGCTTCCGCATTTTCATCTTGTTCATCTGGCACTTGAACGGCGATATTGCCATTTTCTGATAGAGATACTGGCGCTGCGGCCCCACCAAAGAGAGGGTTCTTCAATGCCTCCATTCCTGCGACCCCACCATGGCTGACGGGTGGAATGAAGCCCTCACAGACCACGAAAGCTTCGAGGCTGCTTGCACGACTACTCCGTGGCTTCGCTACGCTGACTCGCTCGAACACCGTGCGCAGCTGTGCATAGAGAAGGTCGACGTCGCGGCCACGGAAGATTTTGGCCACAAATTTGCCGCCAGGGCGGAGTACGCCTAGAGCCAGGTTGAGTGCTGCGTAAAGCAATTGAGATTGAATGTAGATATCGAGGTCATGAAGACCTGTCACATCCGGGGCACCATCAGAGATCACCAGGTCGACCGGGTGAGGTTGTCTGATGGCCGCTGGCGCCGGGGATGGCGAAGCAGAAGAAGATGTAGATGAAGATTCGTATGCCTCTGGGTCCAGGGCACGCAGAAGAAGAGGGATAGTCGAGGGATGGGTGATATCTGCCTTCAGAGTCGTGATGCCCTCGAGGGGCGCCATCGGCTGCAAGTCAATCGAGACGATTTTGACATTCTTGCGAGGCTTTAGCTCCGAGTTTGGCGTGACGTCTCCCATCTCAGTGTCTGAATCCACTGCTGTGGCACCCTCTTGCAGTGCTTGGCTTTCCCTCCGCTTCTTCCCAATCCATGCCCGTCGACCAAAGCTCTCGCCCTTGATAAGCACTCGGCTCAACACTTGGCTCCAGCTTCCCGGTGCAGCGCACAGATCCACGACCCGAGTGACATTGTTTGGGTTCTCGTACTCGAAAAGATCGAATTGCTCGTCGATCTGGATGAGCTTGAAGGCCGAGCGCGCGCGCCAGTTCTGCTCCTTGGCGAGGCGATAGTAGGCATCGCGCTTATCCTTGGAGGATTTGCCCATAGTGAAGCACAATGGAGGATATAAATGAGAATGATGATGAATAATTAATTAATTCATGGGCATGGGGAGCGATAAGATGCGAAGGCGGGCAACTTTTTTTTTTTCTGCCGCTTTTTTTTCCCTTTGGGCTTGGGTCGTTTCGCTCTCCCGCATCGCATTGCTTGACTTGTTCAGAATCATCCAGCATAATGGGCCAGAAACGAGGAGGCGACTCCAAGACACAGGCGCTGCAGTCAAAGAAGCGCCGGAAGGCCGCCAAAGCCTCGACAGAGGACGATTCCTGGGACGGCCTGGTCGAAATTGATGATCTCAACTGGAAGGAAGTCGCTCTTCCTGATCGACTGGAAGATGCCCATGGATTTTTTGGGCTCGAAGAGATCGACGGAGTCGACATTGTGCGACCGGAAGGTTCTGGCGAAATCCGCTTCAAGGTATGTCGTGACTGGTCTCATTGCCGCGGAGCTGTTGCTGACCGATGCGCTCGTTGTCAATAGGCGAAAGCGGGCAAACCGAAGAAGTCCATTCTCAAGACACCGTCAGTGCCAATTGGAAACGGCGATGCAGAAGAATGGGCGGGCTTTAGTGACGAAGAGCCATCCAACGAGACTGCTGGCCCGGCCGACGATGCGCAAGAATTGAGGGAGGGCAAAGAGGCGAATAAAAAGGAGGCAAAGGAGGCCAAGAAGAAAGGACTCAAAGCCAAAGAGCCGGCACAAGATCGGAGTATCAAGTCGGGTCTCTCGTTTGCAGCGCTTCAGGAGACAGAAGACGATGATGGCGTGGATGTGTCGACCTGGGATACTCTTGGCCTTTCTCCCGAACTGTTGACGAGTCTGTCAAAGCTAAAATTTGGCAGTCCGACACCGGTCCAAAAGTCCTGTATTCCTGCGATTTTGAATGGGCATGATGTTGTTGGAAAGGCGTCTACAGGTTCCGGTAAGACTCTCGCATTCGGCATTCCAATCCTCGAACATTATCTCGAGCAACGGAGGGAGGATGACGGCCAAGGAAAACGCCAATCGTCGCCAATGGCGCTTATACTTTCCCCTACCAGAGAACTGGCGCATCAGCTCGCTAAACATATCGGAGACCTCACTGTGAATGCCCCGGACACCGATGCACGAGTTGCTCTTTTGACTGGAGGACTGTCAATTCAAAAGCAGCAGAGACAACTTGCCACAGCTGACATTGTCATTGGCACACCGGGCCGAGTGTGGGAGATTCTCAGCACTGGGCAGGGGCTGATCCGCAAAATGCAGCAGATTCAATTCCTGGTCGTCGATGAAGCCGACAGGCTTCTCAGCGAAGGGAATTTCAAGGAGGTCGAAGAGATTCTTGCCGCCTTGGATCGGCAAGAAGATGGAGATCCGGACACGGACGACGATGAGGACAAAAAGCAAGAGCCTAAACCTCGACAGACTCTCGTGTTCTCGGCTACGTTCCATCGTGATTTACAGCAGAAGTTGGCAGGGAAACGCCAATGGTCTGGCGGTGATCTCCTGGACAAGAAGGAGTCCATGGAGTACCTCCTCAAGAAACTGAATTTCAGGGAAGAAAAGCCCAAGTTCATCGATGTCAACCCCGTACAGCAGATGGCAGAGGGACTTAAGGAGGGCATTGTCGAGTGTCCTGCGATGGAAAAGGACCTTTACCTCTATTCTCTTCTCCTCTATCACCCCAAGCATCGAACCCTTGTCTTTACCAACTCCATATCCGCCGTCCGCCGTCTCACCCAACTTCTTCAAAACTTGCAACTTCCTGCACTCGCTCTTCACTCATCAATGGCCCAAAAAGCGCGACTGCGCTCAGTCGAGCGGTTTTCCTCACCTACGTCAGACCCTAGCTCCATTCTTGTGGCTACTGACGTTGCGGCACGCGGTCTCGATATCAAGGGCATTGATTGCGTTATCCACTACCATGCACCGCGCACGGCAGACACGTACGTCCACCGATCAGGCCGTACAGCCCGCGCGGGAACAACCGGTAAAAGCGTGATCATCTGCTCCCCCGAAGAAGTCGTCGGGGTTGCTCGACTGGCCGCCAAAACGCATGCTCAGAAGTCCAACGGCAGCGGACCAACAAAGAAGCTTCCCCTGGAGTCCATTGAAATCGACCGACGCGTGGTCTCTCGCGTGCGGCAGCGGATAAACCTTGCCAAACGCATCACCGACTCCACCATCGCGAAAGAGAAGATCTCTGCGGAGGATAACTGGATGCGAGCTGCGGCTGATGACCTCGGCGTTGAATATAACAGTGACGAGTTCGACGAGTCGAAGGGTAAGGGCCGGGGTCGTGGTGGAGGACGGCACCAGCGCGACAAGCAGGCTAGTAGCATGACCAAGGCGGAGATGGCTGGACTCAGGGCAGAGTTGAAACAATTGCTCTCGCAGCGGATTAATATTGGTGTCAGCGAGCGCTACCTGACTGCTGGGCGGATCGATATTGAGGCTCTTCTCCGTGGAGAAGGAAACAAGTCGTTCCTCGGGCATCTTGATCCGCTGAACTTCTAACCCTTCTGTGTACAGTCCTATGTATCTTCCAATATACCAATTCACCCCTACTTCAAACTTGCAAAGGTAGATAATGAAGCTACAGTGGTAATTCAATAAAAGGGCCAGAGGAAGAGAGCGAAATGGCAGGAACCATAATGGATTTGTGACTCTTGCTTAGGTAGCCTCATGTGGAACTAGTACGTACAATGCCGTCGGCCGATTTCCAACGCTGCCTAGGTCCGGTCGTTGCGGACAGAAATGCGAGGGGCCAAGGTGCGGTCGGGGAGCTCCTGTCGGCAGGTGCAGTTCTCAAAGCCGTTGCCGCACTTGAAGCACCAGACGACACCGCAGTTGCAGCTAATCAGTCAGTGATTGGTTCAGGTATTACTTGATGGGGCAGAAGACTTACAAGAGAAGCCAGCATCCGTCGGCCTGCTCAACCATGTTGTGGCACTGGGGGCATTCCTTCCAGCCGCTAGCCTCAGCCATATCGGTCAGCGTAGTGTCCTTTTCGGTGCAGGCTCCGAGATGGGCTTCGGCCATGCACAGCACACAGGTGATAGTCTCGCAGGCCGAGCAGGGAACAGTGCTGTTGTCGCTGACCACAACATCAGGGACATACAGGGAGCAGGAGCTCTTCGAACAGTACATCGGGTTGGGGTCAGTGCGCTCTTTGTAGATGGCCTCGTAGGCATCCGCAAGCTCGGCACCAATTATGTCACGGACGGCATCGGTGATAGGAATGTCACCTTCGCAGCAGCGCACAGGAAATGCAGTGACATCGTCGACGGCCATCTCATAACGCTGAAAAACACAGCCGTGGCACCAGATGTGGTAGCAGAAGGGGATCAGCTCGTTGACGGGGGTGTCATAGCAACACTCGCAATGTTCGATTTCCTGAATCCACTCCTCAATAGGGATCACTTCCTTAGGACCCCAGTATCCATGAGGGTCCTCCATTTCCTTCATTTTGCTGCGTACATTGGTCTTCAGTTAGAGAATATACCAGAATCAGAGCAAAGCCACATACCTTGGATGGCTGCGAGGAGTGTCAGGTCTAGTCAGCAGTGGGTTCAGGCTTGAAGGATCGAGCTATTGAGTAATCCACGTACCTCCGCATAAAAGGATAGAGTCTTTCACGGTAGAAATAAAGTCTGTTAACAGCGCTTGTGATCGTTTGGAATGGGGTGAAGGATGGAGAGAGAGCGTGGCAGGGAAGAAAGATTGTGAAACAACTTGGAAGAAAGAGATAAACAAAGAAAAAAGGATGCGACAATACGATACGCATTGTTTACAGACATCTCCACAAGAGCATCAACACATATTGGCACAACTCGGTGTTGAGGCATCATGCATAGTCACTCCCATCGTTTTATACTACATTTAGTTGATCGAAAGCCCTAACTGGCTTATCGGTCTCCTTATCTGTGTCGGCATGCCGACTTGATCCGGGCCGAAGCACATCCCGATACTCGGCTTCTGCCCCACTGCTGAACGGAAAAATCAGTCAGTCTGTGGGCTCTCTGAACAACGAGTCTGGCGAGGATATTCATGTACATGCGATAATACCAAAATATTCTGGCGAATAACATATCCATTTGTTAGTGGGGAAATAGCAGTAGTGGCCTCAGTAGTGGCCTAAAAATGGATCCCGAGTCCGAATGCCGGAAGATCTCGCAGGTCCACTCGGCGCCATAATCAAAATTTCCATCGCAAGCCTTGCGATCATTCTTTCAGGTAACCGGACTGCCTATATCTAGGTATTGAACAGTGGCTGCGCCAAAGTATCTGCGCCAAAGTATCTGCTCCGAAACCCGCTTCCACATCCTGATACTACTTGCCATACTCGACGTCAAATCCAGGTACTTGGTCCGGGCGCAACCTTATGATCACCGCTAACCCACCCCTTCTCAGATCAGCAAGAAGTATATACTCTGCCACAATGTCTCACTTTCCACGAGCATCTCGGCAGCTGCTTCGCCAACCGTCAATCGCAATCCCCAGAGTCCCATCCTCGTCCTTGGGGCCAGTCGCCCATCTACACCAGAAGGGACCTGCGCGATCAGCTGTTGTCCACGAACAAGCACTCCCACAAGCACAGACACAAATCCCTCCGGTGAAAGCCGCACCATCCTCACAAGCTGAGCCAGCCAACATCGACACACTCATCTCCCAAATCCCACTAGTCCAATCTCTCCGTGCAGCCCACAAAACCTACAAAGAAACACGCCCGCACCTCGCCATCCCACCACCGATAAGACGGCGCCATTTCGTGGGCGGAAGCCTTGCTGGGTCGGGGAAGCTGGCCTTTCAACCGTATATGTGGACCAGCTCGACCCCAGCTTCTCAACAAGAAACGAGTCCCAAGTCCGGAAAGGGTACTTCCAACAGCAACGTGACATCAATCTTCCACATCGGCCGCGATCTATGCGGACACCCGGGCTTTGTTCACGGCGGTCTTTTGACTGTGCTATTCGATGAGGTCTTTGCGCGGTGCGTCTCAGCATCCTTCCCAAGTGGACTGGGAATGACAGCAAATCTTAATGTGGATTTCCGGAAACCTGCCCTCCCAGACCGTTTGTATATCCTCCGCGCGGAGACAGTCAAGGTTGAAGGGCGAAAGGCTTGGGTGGAAGGGCGGATGACATATCTTCCCTTGCCACTAGCTATGCCCTCGGATTTTGGCGGCATTGTTCCTGATACGGCCGGGGCGTTGACGGAAGAGAGTGATGGGGCTGTTATGGTTGCGGAAGGCAGGGCGCTTTTCGTTGAGCCTAAGTTTGCAGATGTGAGTACTTGATTCCTATTCACTGCCCTGTGACCAGGTATGGTCGGCTGACATGCTTGTATAGTCCATGGTCTCGATTTATCATAATTAGATTGTGGAGAGACGAGTTACGATATAATATTGCGGGGTTCTATAGAGGCGGATTCTAGACAGACACGTTGTAATAGTCAATACACCCTAATGTTTCTTGCAAGTGCCTCCTATCGCCGTCTCAGGGATCATGTATATCTCTACGAGGGTTAATCAACTTAAAAGGAAAGATCGTCCATTGCTATCTAATACCGGGATGATAAAGGCTTGCCCCTCACCCTGATGACGCCGCTCAACCCAGATGGCATAAGGAAACAAGGCACGAAACAAACGCCCGGTTGAAACTAACTTCGGGAAGTGGGAAATGGGAGGGGGATACAATCCAGAACAGTGTAATCAGGTCATCGCATCATGAGAAAAAAGCACGGTCGTTCTCAGTCTTCGTCAGAGAAGACGCGGTATTGAAAATCATTGAATCTAGCAATGCCCGGCAGTGCCAAGTGGTCGAGCAGAGGGAAAGGGGGGAGGGGGGAAAGGACCGAGGGTATGCAATTTATGACAGGTGGAATGCACCCTGGCCCTCTTTGATGGCGACTGACAATCGCCCCTTCAGGAAGTCCAGACTGCTGTAGTCTGGCAGCTTGAGGTAGTTGACGCAGGTCATCACGCTGGGGAGATAATCATCGGGCGTGTATGGCGGTTCGCTTGGGCGGCAGACGACTGTGAAAATGGGAGTAAGACTCTTGAAGCCTGCATTTCAATGTTAGTCTTAGCCGATCATCGAAAATGTTAGAAGACTTACCGCCGATGGGTAGTTTCGGGCTACCCGTAACAAACTGCAGGAAATCACGGCGTTGCTGCTTATCCATCTCGCTCATGGTCTGGAGCAGGTTACGCACACTGCGGCTGTCCATATTGAAACCGTGATCGGCCTTGATTGAGTCTGTGAGGGTTTCGATGGTCCAATCCTCGTCAGCCTGCCCGAACAACATGACAAGTTCGTTCGGGGTGAATGCCCGAAGGGCAGAGTAAAGGAAGACTTGGGAGAATCCAGTCCGGAAGGCATCCACCTGGCGCCGAACACCGCTGCCCAGTGTCATGTCCACAACTCTGTCAACATAGGTGTCGACGTTCTCTATGGACAGTGGAACGTTGGAACCATTTGGAATCAGTTCAATGTTGGGATAGCCTGGCAGCGTAAAGTCAAGGCTCAGATCATCGACAGAAACACCATCAACCAGCACCTCCTGCAGCGCCTTGGTTTTCTCTGAGGGAGACATTGACTTGCTCTCTTCAATATCGCTCTTGGCACTGGCAAATCGTTTCAGCATGATCAGCGACTTGGCAAGGTCCTCGTCCACTGCCTTGACAGTACCGAGCGACGGGGCGACGGAAGAAAGATTATCTGCAATTCTGAAGAAGGCCGGGTTGAAGGAGATATCGATAATCCTGGAGTCAAGCATGGAGCGCGCAACGAATTTGCCCAGGATCTTGAAGATATTCAGCTGCTTCTTGCCAGATTCCGAAGCAGCTTGCTCGTCGCTTATTGGCGCCGGGAACAGACCGCGTTTGCCATATGCGTACTCCCCTGAGGAGTCGCCATCATTCTCTCTCCAAATCTTAAGTTTCTTCTTCGAGAATTCCTTGGAGACCGTAGAATAGAATTCAAGAGTAGGGCCCAGGCCAGTTCCCACTTCCTCAAAGTACTCCACCTCCAGAATGCTCGGAGAAGACCCGTAGAGTTCCATTACCTTCATTGCAGAGTCGAGGATACGTGTCCGTGAAATGCGCACCTTTTGACGTTGTAGACGACCAAGGAACGGTCGGTCATCACGTCGCAGATCACGGCGGCTATCCTCTCCACTCTGAGAGTTGTGCCATCTCATCATCGCGCGAGAATAGCCGAATGCGGTGGACTGCAAGAACAGATGCCTCGTCTCGAAGGGGAACAGGAATGGGAACAGTCGAGACAAATCTTCACTCCAGCTGGGGAGGCAGCTGCTCGCTACAATCAAAGGCTCTTCCAGTTGCCGGTTCACCTTGGCCGTGAGCTTGGTATTGATGAATTGGGCCAAGGGCTCCGGCGTAATGGTAGGAAGATCTCGTGACTCGGTAAGAATGTCATCGATTGTGGCATTCATTTCATGTAAGACACGGAGGAGGCGAAGTATTGACGCAGTGATGGAGTCCTTATTCAGGGAAGAGGGCATTTGAAGACTATTTCCCTGAGCCGAAAGGTCGGACATGCTGGTCGTAAGGGTGGACGGCTCCGGTGGCGGCGGACCAGGAACGCGTTTGAAAGTGACAGTGTGAACAGCAGACCAGACATTTCTGGCATGGCCTTCGCCTACGTGTTCACGATTATGATGAACGGCACGATAGACGGTGGTCTCACTTGAGATAGGCTTGCCATCCACACTGAACTCAATATGCCAGTCCTGGGGAATCGAGGCCATCGCAGCGGCGTAGGAAGAGAAGGGGCGTCCAGCAGTAGCCAAAGAGCTGCCCCCCATCGGGGTAGATGAAGCAGTATTTGGACCCGACAACGGCGGCTTGGAAACCGGAGTGGATTGAGAGGGGGTTCCCACTCGAGTCCCATCCTCTTTCCGAGCCGTAACCTTGCCAGAGGACCCAACTTCCATATTGACGGCCGTGGGATCGTGAACATTGTCATCCTCAAGGTCGTTTTCAAGGTCGTCAACGATAGCATTGAGCTCCTCATCCTCATCAGGCTCATCAATCTCATCCTCGTCCTCGCTCAGCTGTCTCTCGTCGGCACACTCAAGGGGCTCGTCATCATGCTCTTCGTCCTCCTCCTGGAGAGGAGAACGAAGACGAGATTGCTGGGTAGGAGCCGTTCGATCGCCACCAGTGGATTCTGTTGCTTGACCACGCGGGCCTCCAGTGCGGGTTGGGAGATTGCCACCTAGCTGTGATCTAGGTGAGTTGGATGCAGCAAGCTCGTCGCGAATCCGAGCAGCATTGGCAATCTGGGAAAGAATATTGTCTCGAGATCGTGACTGCCGGGGACGCTCCGACATGGTAATTCGTGGCTGTAGGAAATCTTCGAGGGCTTTGAATGTAGCAATGGCATGGATCGAGACCATGATGTTTCTGTACGGGCGAGGCACCTCAGACCCATCCTCAGCAACCAGTTTAAGCCGAAGCTGTTTGCCCAGCATGTATGTCGCGTTGCTGCGGGTATTCTCCAGCGAGTTGTGGCTGACAGTGATGACCTCAAAATGTTCAGTTCGGCTCAACAGGTCCTGCAGCTTTCGAATCAGGACACTGAATGGTGTGGTTGCGGTACTCTGGCTCTGGGCCTTCTCAGAGATGGATGCGCCCATGAATGCCTGTAAAAATGCTGCTCGCGCATTGCGAATACATGGAGCTTGCAAGTTACCAAGAACATCCAGCAGGACTTGAATGATGCCAGAGTTGAGCAGCTCCGAACTCGTGATGCTTTCCAGAGCATCTCCATCGAAGTAATTTGCCAGTTTCTGGAAAAGAGAAATGCCCTTTTTGTTTCCGCGATCGGAGAAACATTTCTCGATGTCGGCAGCCAACGATTGCAGCTCGGTCAGAATCTTCATAGCCTCCGCCCGCACGGCACCACCGTTGCTGGCTTCATACATCTTAAGGAAAGCACGAGCATCATGAATAACAATGTCGTTGATAGCAGTGTCCATTTTCTTGAGATCCTGGCGTCCAGACATTGACGAAGTGTCTGATTCCGACAGATCGTCGTTGTCCTCATCCGGATCATCATCCTGATCGTCGTAATCGTCGGCATCCTCATCTACGGAATCGTTGTCTTCCTCGGCTGCCGGCTTGATTTCGTGAGACGAGTCAGCTGGTGTCTCCATAGCCACAGCGCTGGAAGAGCCGGGGAGGTCTTTGTCATTTGAAAGGGGACCCTCTGATAGTTTGACAATTTCGGATATGACCCCTTCGCGATGGAACTGGTGCTGATAGACGTGCTCGAGTCGCTGGAAGAGCAGCTCAGAGCACCGAAGAGCCAACGCCACCAAAGAGGGATGGTCCTTTTGAGAAAGAATGGCAGCAAGGAAAGAGGCATACGGCACGGTACGCAAAGCGTCTTCGATCAGGGTAGGCTCCAGAATGTGGAGCATCTTTAGCTGTGCAATAAGAACCTTTTGCCGAACATTGAGATTGACGGTGCTAGAGAAGGCGTCGGTCAAAGTCGGGAACAGTATGGTAGCAAACCGCTTGAGTTCCGACTTGCACCCGGCCAACAACTTGCGCCTCTCCTCGGCGGTTTCTTTTGACCTGGACGACTTCAAGCTGACAGACATGCTATTGTCAAGATAGGAACTGAGCACGGTATCTGTCCGCGAGCCCTCACGGTTGGGAATGCCTGGTAGCAGCTCACAGATGACGTTGAGCGTCTCGAACACCTGCTCACGCGGCCGGTGAATCAATGCTTGCATGACCAAAACACTGTCCATCTTGACGGCCGTGTTATCCACGTCTTGAGGGGGCGAGACGCCTGTCAGAATTTGGTAGAGGGTATCGACCACATCCATTGTGAGCAATTCATTCGACAGTCGAGGGCTGGCCTTGGCTGTGATAGCCAGCACGCGGAGGAATTGAGTGTGGACATGAGGGCCAATCAGATTTGTAGTCCCCGGAAGCAAGAGTCGGAGAATGGCTTTGAGCATGGCCGGCTCAATCAACTCCTCCAGATTTGTATGGCGATGTTTGAAACTCTCGACAATACGCGAAACACATAGACAGCCTTGCTCGACAACCTTCGGATCATTGCTTGAGAGAACATTGAGCAGAGTGGGCATCACATCTCGAACAACGGGGAACGAATCGTGGGGGAGATTGCGACAGCAATTGGCCGCTGTTGTCACAGCAGTGCGTTGAGTACTCGTCGGGAAGAAATCCAGGTAGGTCAGACAAGCTGTGAGACCGCCTTCGCGTACGATGGACGCAGGAAAATCGACTGAGATTTTGGCCAAAGTCTAGAAGAAAGCAACATCAGTCATAGGTCCAAGTCAAAAGCTGTCCGACACTCACGCTTAAGGCCTGCTCGGCGAGGTCGATGAACTGGATATCCAAGAGTTTCTGGCACAAGATGGGCACTGCCCCGCCGTAGACAACGTTAGCGACAGAGCCACGCAAAGCCTCCATGAGATTGGCAAGACAGCGACAGGCAAGCAGCATAATCTCGGGATTCTCTTCGCCAAACTGGTTTGGCTGCATAAGCGTCACCAGCTCCTTCACGTACGGATCGGGCGAGAACTGGCCCGACAAATTGTCCTCGTTCGACACCAGCAGGAGATCCGACAACTCCTGGAGGGCGATAAGTTGAATGGAGGGATCATCCTTTTCCCTCAGATTACAAAGAATATCTCGAAGGCGTGAAGACATGCCAGACATCATGCCACTGAGAGCACGAAGGGTACTCTGTAGACCCATAGGGCCCCGGCTACCGAAGAGGCTGCTATGGAACGGGTCCAAGTCTTCCTCGTCGAAAGCCGAGGGATTAGTGTCATCGTTGCTATCTCCCGTTGGGGACGCATCTCGTTCTTCTTTGTGATCATGTTCCTCCAAATCCTCCTCCGCGTCTCGCATTAAAACGTCCGAGTTTGTCTTTGTAGAGCGCTTCTTCTGTCGCCGGGGCGGAGGAGACTGCGTCGCTCCAAGTCGATCTGCTACAGGCAGATGATGCTGTTAGTATCGAGAAACTATAATAGTAGCATATTCGCTTACCATTTCGGCTCGTTTTTCGGCTCGGAGCGGGTGGAGACGAAGGGTTCTTTGAAGACTCCTCCGATGGTCGTGACGACGGGCTATTTAGGCACAGTTAGCTTCCTCTTTCAGTCCCCAAAAGAATCCCAAACCCACCCCGGTTGTGACATGGTTGGGCGGCTGCGGGCGCCTCGGCGAGAACCTGCGGCAGCAGGGCCAGCAGAAGAAGTCGATTGCGTGGCTGTGGTCCGCTGTCTCTTGGATCTCCGCGGGGATGAAGGTTGTGCTGGCTGATCCGAGGTATCAGAAGGGCGGTCGCGACGAGAGGAGATCTTGCGTTTCCGAGATGGAGCCGAGCCAGCGGCCGAGGTGGAAGCAGCACCGGAGTCAGCGGAGGGAGGAGGATCTGCAGCGGTTCTCGCGGACGAGCGAGTGGTTCTGGATGACATGAGAATCTGGCCTTTTTAGGATCTCGATGGGTGGATGAAGTGAGAAGAGAGGGTAAGGAGAGGACACCGAGGTAGATAGCTGGGACAGATAGAGATGACGAAGGAATGTGGAATCCTCCCGCAGTCCGGAGAATCCACGCCGAGTAAGTGGAGCAGGACCGCGGCTAGGGTGGGTAGGAAAGGAACGAAGGAGAGGGTTCGGTCGTCCACGGGGTTCTCGCAGGAAGGGGGGTGGAATCCCGTGGAGATCGAGGTCGGGGTCTTTGGGGATAGGTCAAGTCACGGCGAGGAGAGAGGAAAGTACCTCAGGGCAGGAGAAGTGGCAGCTCCCGGGAGGGAGACGGTGGGATAGTCCTCAAGGGGGTCCTGGCGGTTGGCGGAGGGCCTTTGCCTGGCCATAAGTCGTTGGGAAGAGGGGGTTGAGGAGCTGGGGTTGGGTTGTGGTCAACACCGTTTCAACCCGCCATCCGCACACCAGTCGAAGGCTAGCCGAGACGGGCGAGAGGGTGAGTAGGCCTGAAGAGTAGAAAGCTGTGGCAGCAAAAAGAGAAAAGAGTGGATGGGGGGAGAGATGATGGGCGAGCAGGGATGAAGGGGAAGGAAGAAGATGTGATGTGGTGGAGGATGCGATGGTGACGACGGGATTCGGGAGAGTGCAACATTCGTGCCTGGCTGCCTTAGTGGTCCAACAGCGTATTCTGATAGTTCCTACGAACTATGATTCCTATTTCAGCCACCTATTTCCATTCTGCCCGGTCTCCGATCGGGCATGAACTGGCTAGCGCTGCTCCGTGGATAGCTACGGTCATGGCCCTAGTCCTAGCCATCGTCCTAGTACCCAACCAACTACTATATATACTGTCGTAGGATCTAGGTATCAGTTTCCGACTCCTCATAGTTATAATCATAATGATAATAATAGCCATCACCATCACCATCATCCTCATCCTCATCACCTAGACCGTGTAGATCATCATCTGTTGGCTGTTCTGTCTGGCTCTCTTGACTCACCGAACCCTTCCCTTTCGTCCTCCTCCGCCTTCGGCTGTTTCGCCCCTTCGATTTCGCCATCGCTTCTTTCCGCCTCTCGTCCTTCCTCCCAATCTCTTTCATTCTCTCCCACATTTCTAGAACTTCCCTCAAGAAATTGTTCTCTCTTGCCCCAGATTCCTCCCGGAATCTTTGTCTTAAAACGGCTGTTTCTACCCCGGCCCCTCCCCCGCCATGGCGACGGAAATGATCGGAGGGCAGAGCGACGATGTCCACCAACCTCCGGCCCATATTCCCCCAGCCCCGATGGAGGACTACGTCTTTCCCGAACTGCGCTTGAAGCGCAAGATGGCCGACCCCGAGAAGACGCCGCTGATGCTGATCGCGTGCGGCTCGTTTTCGCCCATCACCTACCTCCACCTGCGCATGTTCGAGATGGCCGCGGACTACGTCAAATTCAGCACCGACTTTGAACTCCTCGGAGGATATCTCTCGCCCGTGTCTGATGCATACCGCAAGGCTGGCTTGGCCAGTGCCGAGCATCGGTAAGGAAGTCTTGCTCTCGGAGCCGGTCGCACCGGAGCGCTGATTATAAATACAATAGAGTCGCAATGTGTCAATTGGCAGTGGATCAAACATCCGACTGGCTGATGGTCGATACGTGGGAGCCGATGCAAAAGGAGTATCAACCCACCGCCGTGGTGCTGGACCACTTTGACCACGAAATCAACACCGTCCGCGGGGGCGTGGATGCCGGAAATGGAACCCGGAAGCCCGTCCGGATTGCTCTGCTGGCGGGCGCGGATCTGATCCACACAATGTCTACTCCTGGTGTTTGGAGCGAGAAGGATCTCGACCACATTCTGGGCAAATATGGGGTATGTGGGCTGTCTATCCATTTTTTATCGTCTGCTAATCACCTCATCAGTCTTTCATTGTGGAACGCAGCGGCACCGATATCGACGAGGCGCTGGCGAGCCTGCAGCCCTGGAAGGATAATATTTATGTGATTCAGCAGCTCATCCAAAACGACGTCAGCAGCACCAAGATCCGGCTCTTCCTCCGGCGGGAGATGAGCGTGCGCTACCTCATCCCCGTCCCCGTCATCCACTACATTGAGCAACACCATCTGTACGAAGATGACGGCACGGGAGAGAAGGGGAAGGAACGGCAGGACGCAGGGAGGTCCGGTTGATGCTCCCATCACTTATTGCAACCAGCGATACGCAAGATACGATACCCTCTGCCTGCGGGAGGTGAAGCGACGACATGACAATGATTTTCCCCGGCGTTTTCCAGGAAGTGGACTGGCGGCTGTCTCACCTGCTTTATCATTTTTTCCGATGTACATAATACCTCGTTCCAGCCTTGATTGATATACCCTCTGTACATATGACGAGGACAATTAGACCTGCCTAGAACCGTCACGGTGTAGAAGTATGTATATCTGCTATAGTCGATCGGAGTTACTGGATCGGGTATCTGATTGACGGATTCACCATTGGAGCCTCGGATGACACCATCTGGGCATCTCACGGAAGTATTGTATGGAAGTCTCTCCGCAATATTCCTTTCAGGGGTATGTTATAAAGAGAGACTGTAGAATTGATGAATTCTACCTAGTCAATATACGAATATCATCCCTCACTTCTAGTATGTCTGACCCGTTATCATCCGTTATCGATCACCTCCGATCTTCCTTCGCCTCCACAATTTCCGCTCCTTCAACGCAGCCCGTGTCGGTCTGGGCAGCCTTCATCCATCGGCCGAGATAAATTGGTCTGACTTTCCCTAGCCCTCTCGATGATGGACTATTAGCCGTTCTTCTTCTCTCTCTCCCCTGCCCTCCATGTCCTCCCACAACGGCCTCTCGACCTGGCCGCTCACCCCTCCGGACCCGAGCGAACCCTATTCTTCCCCGACAACCCAAGATGTTTCCTCCGTGGTAACAGCCATCCACGTCCTCTCCACCGAGCGAGCCGCCCTCGCCCATCTCGAGCACATCTACCAGACAGATGCACGGGCACAGCAGGATCTCGCCCGGGCCGTGGAGCAGATCGCGCGCAGCGTGCGCGATGGCGGGAAGTTGGTAGTTTGTGGAGTGGGCAAGAGTGGCAAGATCGGGCGCAAGATCGAGGCGACGATGAATAGTTTGGGGGTGTATAGTGCGTTCCTGCATCCGACGGAAGCGTTGCATGGGGATCTGGGATTAGTGCGGCCGGTACGCCTGATCTGCCCGCATTGTGCATGAACAGGGCTGACTGACTCGGGTTCTAGAACGATACAATGCTTCTGATTTCTTTTTCGGGCCGTTCGCCTGAGTTGATTGCTTTGTTACCGCATATTCCGGCCTCGGTCCCGGTCATTGCGCTTACTTCTCACACTTCGCCATATACCTGTCCCTTATTGTCTCTGCATGGTCCGTCTGGCATGGGAATTCTACTTCCTGCTCCTATTCATGAAGACGAGGGGTCGTCGTTTGGCGTGGGGGCGCCGACATCGTCTACAACAGTGGCTCTGTCGTTGGGAGATGCACTGGCCATCGCTACCGCTCGGAAACTTCACACGACACCCGGCAAAGGTCCAGCAGAAGTCTTCCGAAGTTTCCACCCTGGCGGAGCTATCGGGGCAGCAACAGCTGCAGCAAGCACACCGACGACCGCGCCATCAAGCGATACAACGACGGCATTTGACTCCCCTGCTTCCTCCGCTTCGACCTACTGGGATGACGCCGCCGGTGGCACTGTGATCCCGTGTTTTTCGTTGCAACCGCCGCCAAAACCTCGTCAGATTCCTCGATCTATGCTCGTTCCTATAGACCAGATCCCCACTGTGGCACTTTCATCCGCATTGTCACCTCCTAGTCCCCGCTTGCTCGATATACTCCTCACAGCTATCCAAAATCCCGACGCCAAGTCCTGGGTATTTCTATCTCCGTCGGAAATTGTACCTCCACGGCGATTCCGCTCTGTTCTCGCACAGACCGATAACGTGGATCGGCGCGTTTCCCAGGTGGATACTCAAGTGTCTGTGCCTCGGACTGAATGGTTGGTGGTACCAGACTCGACTTCGCTTGAGGAACTGCGCCGAGTGGTCTCCACATCCCGAGAGGGGCCTGACCCGGTCTCTGTCATTGCGGTGGTAAATGATATCGCAGATCCGGCCAGGTGCATCGGGGTGATGGAGGCGGATGACCTGTGCGATGAATGATTTGTTGAATCTTGTACATACTATTTGCATGGTTGCATCTGGTTGACGATGTTATGCCCGTTTTATTAATGTCTTTTCTGCATTGGATTTGGATCATGGCATTGCACAGTTCTGCGAGATTTTGTTGGATTCTCTATTATCATACAGAGACAATGCAATAGCTAGAGGTACAAATACATTTTATATACTCCGTCCAAATCAAGCCTTGTGAATAGGCTTGATTCCCTTATGAATTGCCGCAATTCCACCCGTCAAGTTCTCATACCCTTGCCCCGGAATCATAAACCCAGCCTTTTGGATCATACCCCGGAACTCCTCTTGGCTAGGAAACCGCTCAATGCTCTCCACCAGATACTGATAACTATCGCGATCACCAGCAACGATCTGCCCGATGAGGGGGATAGCACTGAAGTTCCAGCGCTTGTACACCGCATCAAAGAGCGGGTTATCGACCTTGCTGAACTCCATGCACGCAAAAACCCCGCCAGGCTTAAGAACCCGGAAGGCCTCATTCAGCGCTGCCTGCTTATCCGTGAAATTGCGAATCCCAAAGACAACGGTGTACAAATCAACCGAGTCCGACGGGATGGAGGGTATGCTTTCGGCGTTGGCTTCGAGGAAGGAGAGGCGCTGCGTGTTGTAGTAGGGTGTTTGCACGGAGCGCTTGCGACCTTCGGCGAGCATGGCGGCATTGATATCGCTGATCGTCACGCGGGTGTCGAGATCGTGGTTGATGTTGGTGGCGTGGTCGAGCATGCGGAAGGCGATGTCGCCGGTCCCGCCGGCGATGTCGAGGATGTTCCAGCCCTTTTGGGCGGAGGGGTCGCGCGCGGGTAGGGAGGAACCTGGGTTGAGGGAGCGTACGAAGTGGTCTTTCCAGAGGCGGTGGATGCCCAGGGACATGAGGTCGTTCATCGTGTCGTAGGAGGCTGCGACGGAGCTGAAGACGGCACCCACTGGGGTCTAGGTCAGCTCCACTGCTGTCACTTGTGGTCAGGTTGCAAACATACCTCGCGACTCCTTCTCAGATTCGGGCACATTGGTGAACCCAAAGTGTGTCATGCGTTCATCCTGTTCGGGCTTTGTCTGCTGCTGGACGCGGGTTGCGCACGAAAAACAGCGGTAGGGAGCTGGGCTGTGGAAGACACGCCGTGTCGTGCTGGAGCGCAGGGCGCGAGCGAGGCGTGGTGACATTGTGAATTAATTGGTTGTGTAGGTAGGTAGGTAGTTGGAGCACAGGGGGTTTTTTGCCTGTTAACGACAATCCTGCCTGACTTTTCCGCTGCGGGACCCACCTCGACTTGATAGCGGCGATAGTAAACAGCAGGTATGTACGTATAGGTATAGGAAATAAGAACAAAAATTAACGGGTTCGGATTTATTGGAAGGATCGCAGCTTAAACAAATTATTGGAGACATTCTGTGAAGATCTTGGGTTGCTCTAACAAGAAAGTGTATGTATCAAGAGCATCTCCTCCACCCATTGGACAACCAAGTATAGAAACACCTGGAATATGATTTCGAATTACTATGTATAATGGATGGCAATCCCAAATCATCAATAAAGACTCCCAGAATGACGCCCGTTGAGACCCATTCTATACAAGGACCGGGTCGCTTCAACCAATCACCACTTGTTGTTGAACACTTTCCCATCAACATAGTTCACCAGCTCCTTGACCGGAGAGAGGTGATCATGGCCCGCACCAAAGAGCATACCCTGGCGCAGGACCTTGCGGTAGTTCTTGCCCGGTGACACCTTTCCAAGCACATACTCCTGGCGAGTCTCAACGCGCGTGGGGACGGGAATAGAACGACCCACAACAGCCTCCATACCCTGCCAGGCAAAGGTGATGGCCTCCTTTGCACCAGCGGGAATCCCAGCATCGTCGAGCATCATAATGCGGGTGTTGGGATAGTGCTTCTGGATGTAAGCCGTGATGTTGGGGTTGTAGGCACCACCGCCGCACATGAAGATCTCGGCAATCTCGAGATCCTTCGGCGCATAGCGACGGTAATGGTCCACGATGGCCTGGGCCGTGACGCGGGTGATGGTGGCCACCACATCGTCAGGACGAAGACCCTTGGCCTCGGCCTTGGTGATCAGGTCATGCGCGAGGGTGTCGCGGAAGACTTCACGTCCGGTGGTCTTGGGAGGCTCCAGGGCAAAGTATGGGTGACGTAGGAAGTCGTCGACGAGCTCCTGGTCCACGGTGCCGCGCGCACCCATCTCACCGTCCTTGTCGTACTCGCGCTCGCCGTTGGTGTAGTGGCGCACCACGGCGTCGATAAACACATTACCTGGGCCGGTATCAAAGTCATAGCATTCGTCCACGCCGCCGTGAGTATCTGGCGGGATGAAGCACACATTAGCGATGCCGCCGATATTCTGGCATGCCCGCAGTTTAGTGGGATGGTGCAGCACCAACGCGTCGAAGAAGGCAATCAGCGGAGCACCCTGGCGTCCGGCAGCCTGATCGCTGACCCGGAAGTCTGTAACCGAGGTGATTCCCGTGCGCGAGGCCAGAAATGAGCCCTCGGCCATGGTCAGCGCGCTCCGAGTCTCCCCCGGCTCGGGCATGGAGAGCAGCCAGATAGTCTGGCCGTGGGAGCCCAATACATCGATTGTGTTGATGTCGATCTGATGGTCCTTGCAGAATTGATGAACAGCACAAGCAAACGTCTCGCCCAGAATGACATTCACTTCTGACAACTCAGATGGCGAAGTCTGGTTGTGCAGGATCATGTTCATCACCCGCTTCTTGATCACTGGCTCCAGTGGGATTTCCCCATACTATACAGAGTTACGTATTAGTAGCGCTCTGTGTGGATGTCAGGAATTACTCACCTTGAGCAGTTCAAAGTGCATTGGCGACTCGGGAGTCTCCTGGCGGAAGTGGCAAAGAGCACAGTCGATACCGTCCTTGATTAAATGTGAGCTTCATCTTCCCCATAACGGAAAAAAACTACCTACCATCGACGTCCCGCTGTTCAAACCAAGGACAGTGATGTCCAAGGCATGGTTGGACGTGCCGTTGACCGTGCCGTTGACCGTGTTTGAAGTCATACTTTACTATATGAGACCGAGAGATATATCGGAGGAAACGAAGAGAAGCCATGAGCGAGCACTGGGCCTTATTTAATGAAACCTCGAAACCGCATCCCATCGCTAACCGACCGAATGGCGGAGAACACCTGCCGGCGCATATTGGCATCACCATTTGACATCCAATTAGCCTGATCCTCGAGAATGCCGGGTCGGTTGAAAGGGTGATCGGCAAAATGCTTAATTCCCCCGCCACTGCACGCCACTGCAGAGAGAGCGAACCAAGGCTCACATTTAACAGCATGGGTAAACGGCTACACGCTTAAATAACCTGCGGAGGAAGCTCTCGTCCCCACACTTCTCCGTCATTCTTCAAGCCCATCCCGATGAACTGGGGACGCTCCACTCTATAAATGACTCGAGATCGCCCGATGGTGACCATGTATGAACTGTCGGACACAGCAAAATGGCCTACACGACGTTGTGGAAGCGGCTCTCGCCACGGCAGCTGAATGTTGCCATCCAGACCTTCTCACTCATTTGTATCTTTTTCGAAGGCTATGACCAGGGTGTCATGGGCGGCGTCAACGCCTCGCCCGACTATGTAACCACCGTGGGCATCGGGAAGCCGGATGGCACCGTGACCGACACCACGCACCAAGGCGGCATCGTCAGTGTCTACTACTTCGGCGCTATTTTCGGCTGCTTCGCTGGTGGCTGGCTGGCAGACCGAATCGGTCGAATCAACGGCCTTTTTATCGGCGCGTTGTTTGCCTTGGTCGGTGGCGCCTTGCAGTCTGCGACTCAGAACTCGAATTTCATGATATGTGCTCGAGTGGTGACGGGTATTGGCACTGGAGGTGAGTTTTACGTAGGACTCGAAGGGTGCCTTGTTCTAACTCTCATGATTGCAACAACAGCTCTAACCGGTATCACCCCTGTCTTGGTGTCGGAAACCTCTTCAGCAAACCATCGCGGTGGGTTTCTCGGATACGTCTTCATTGCCAACTGTGAGTTGAACCAAGAACCATTTGTGGCAGACAATGCTAACGACTTCCAGACCTAGGAATATCTGTCGCCTATTGGATCTCCTTTGGCCTCTCCTTCGTCAACAACGGATACTCAGCTGTGCGATGGAGATTTCTCCTAGCCTTCCAGTGTTTCCCTGCCCTCATCCTCGTCGGCTTTATCAAGATGCTGCCAGATAGTCCTCGATACCTTGCGTCCGTTGGTCGTAAAGAAGAGGCACGCGAACTCTTGGAGCGCATTCGCAACCACAAGGCCACACCGGGTGAGATTGATCGGGAATACTTGGAAATTATCACTTTGGCAAAGGAAGGCCAACGCAGTTCTCCCATCCAGTTTGCAAAGATATTGCTTGGGAAGGGTTCAACGACCCACGCAAACCTGGGCCGACGAGCCTGGCTCTGTGTCTGGCTACAGATCATGGCTTCCTGGACTGGTATCACTGTGCGTATATCCTGGAGTTTCTCTCAGACCGTTTCTAACCTAGGTTGCAATCCAGGCTGTCACCGCATATTCCCCGGTTCTTCTGCACCAAGCTGGATACAGTACCATCAAACAGAACGGCCTGGCCGGAGGCCTCAATACAGTTGGAATTGTCGGCACAATTATCAGTGCTCATATTGTTGACCGCCTAGGCCGCCGTCCCTGTCTGATGGGTGGCGCGGCTGTTTTATTTGCTGTCAATGCCATTGTATGTATCTGCCTCTCTGTATGTTGTCTATTGCTAACTATATTCCAGGCTGGAGCTGTGTATGAAGGCTCGTTGCATAACCCGGAGAAGGCAGCCCAGTATGCTCCTGGTGCTGTGACCATGCTGTTCTTGTTTAACATTGGGTGAGTTCTCTATACACCACTCCAACCCTTTCTCTTAACTGACATGATGGGTTTTGACAGTTATGCTGCCACCTGGGGTACCGTCGCATTCCTAGTTCCCACAGAGATCTTCCCTAGCGAACTGCGAGCCCAAGGCAATGGCTTTGGGATTACTGGATGGGCCATTGGCGTGGGAATGACTACTCTGGTCAACCCGATCATGTTTGATACTATGAAGGTATGTTTGCCAAGTAGTCTCCCGCTACAGGCGACGCTGACCAACTCATCTTAGAGCCGGACATACTTTCTCTTTGCTGGTCTCAATCTCATTTGGATCCCTATTGTCTATCTCGGTGAGTCTGGCCCGGGAATACCAAAAAGAATTACAAGCTGATAATTAATTTAGTCTACCCTGAGACTCGTAACCGCTCCTTGGAATCGATTGAAGCACTGTTCTCGACTTCAAGTCCCTTCTACTGGAAGATGGAACAAGCATATAAACTACATGGTGATGTTCTGGCGGAACACGGAGTCACCAAGGGCGAGGCTCCTGATGTTGGTAGAAACGAGCGGACTTCTGAGGAGAAGCCAGAGGTGGAGAGGATTGTGTAATACCATTTGTATCTTGTACACTTTACGAAATTGAATTTTTTTTCTGATATTTGGTGATTCAGATATATATATATTTGGAGCCTCCATAGACGTATTTTTGGTAATGAAAAAAATAATTGTTGATGTTAGGTGTACACTATTTTTTATAGCTTATTGTAGTGTCAGGCTAATGTCAAACAAAATAATCATGTGGTTATTGAATATCGAGAAAAAAAAATGATGCACTTACTATGGGGGTTTGGAGTGGGCGGGTGGCTTGCGAAATTGGCTAACTAGACTATAAACCCACTAAACACGGTCGTACCACGAATCATCTTCGACATATCATGTAATCTCAAAAGAACGGGTGAACTGGACCCCGCTGACTAATCTCCTCCGCGCGGTCCTCGCGGCTCTCGTCCATTTGTTCCACTGCACTTACTTTCTTGAGTCGAGAATTAATCGCAAGGGGTGAACTTGATTGGTTGATGCATTTGTCAACCTTGTTTTACTCCCCACGATCTCAATCTCATTTCCTCGGACAAACTCACGTGCCGTGGTCCAGTCGGCGGTCCTCGCCGTCGAGCTTCGTACAACCTGCCAAGCTCCGCGCCTTTGCCCAACCTCCTACCAACCTGGAATGATCTAATGAATGAATGTCGCCAAAATCGCAAAAACCACGGAAGCTGCAGCGCGTCTCCAAAGCATGTACGTATCTCCTCTTCCCTCGGCCGACCTGGGGTTCTCCACTCTTTAGATGGGCGGGCAGCACCCTGGATACCAGACACTAACCCGCGCAATGCAGGCGACTTCTGCAATAGACGCAGCATCAAATGCAGTCCAAGTGGAGACCCGTTAGGTCGCTGTCAGAATTGTGTCGATTTCGATGTATCGTGCACCTTTGATCGCCCGGCGAAACGCAGAGGCGTCAAGGCCGGCACTCGCATTGGTGGTAGCGACGCTCAGCTAGGGAGGGAATTGATCGATCATGGTGTTCCTCCCTCAACGGCATCGGGATACCAAGAAAGAGCTTCCGCATCCTCTGCTTCTCGGAGTTCCAACCGTTTGTCGGTCTCTGGCGACCCCTGGCCTACTTTCAACCCAGGTTGGTTGGCAAGAGAGGGTGATGACGAAGATGGAGCGCTGCATAATTCATGGAAGGCATTTGCCATTGCATGTGACCGGCAAATAATGAACTTGGTCCAAGTTTATTTTGAGATCGTCTATCCAATGTATGCCCCATCGAATTTATTTTGGCTGACTACATGACTGAACAGTCCATCTCTAGATTTCCATTATTTCACAAGCCGTCGTTTATAGACAGAATTAAGCACAAGGAGCATCTCCGCAACCAAGGGCTTTTTGCCTCGACGATGGCGGTTTGCTCCTTGGTCTCCGCTCGTGCGCGTGACGGTGCATTGTACTCGAATCAGTGGCACCGGGAAGAGCTCATGGATCCACCATCTGAAGCCTTCTTTGCAGCAGCGAGGGATTCTATTCCTCGAGATCTTGTGGCCGCCAAAGGATTTAATTATATGCGTGCTTGTGCCATCCTTGCTATTGCGAGCATTCAGAATGGTCAAATCAAAAGCATGCAGAAGTATTCTGGGCTGTATCACACCCTGGTCTCGATGGAGGGCCTTCATGACGAAAAGCTTTGGCCAAAAGATTTAGGTCCCATTGAAATCGAGGAGCGTCGGAGACTGGTATGGACTTCTATTTTCTATATTAAGCTGCTTTATTGACCGCCATGGCAGTTCTGGTCTATTTATACCCTGGACATCTATGCGACTGTTGTCTGGGGAGGCGTTATTCGATACCGCGAGGCCCATTCATTGGTGCGCTATCCGACTGAAGTGGATGACGAATTTATCACAAATCAAGGCTATACCGTAGCGCCAGTATCACCGGAAGCAATGTCCTTTCCTCCAAGCGAAGCCAGCGTGTTATCCCGCCAGCCTGTGACCTGGCTGCGTGGTTGGAACTTTACCACGGACCTTTATCGCATTCTTGAGCACGTTGTTGATGGAAACAGACGGCGGTTCTCTTCAGCAAATGGGACTATACAAGTCTGGTCTCTATTTAGCCCAACATCCATGTCGGAACCAATCGTTATGGATAAAGTCCTCACTCTGTACTCGGCACTTCCCTCACAGTTTCGAGAGACGCCACCAATTACAGGAGACATGTCCAAGGACTTGTTTGGATTTCAGTCAGCCAATATTCAGGCGACACTACAGCTCCTTCGCATGGTTCTCCTGTCTGCGGAAGAGATTGGCGTCGAGCGAAAATGTGATGTTGCAGGAGAACTGCTCAGCGTATTTTCGAATGTGCCGGTGGAGTATCTGAAAGCAATCAGCTCCCCTCTGGTATGTATTCTTCCCACTATATATGCGGAACAGGTACTCATAGTGTCTAGCTTCATCACCTCGGCGGTATTGGTTACATCCTCGGCTCTGTCATGGAGGGAAACTTGTGTGAATCATCCTACATCCGGGTTCGCACATTACTGTACGTGCAATCTATTCCCCTGACGCTGTATACACTCCGATCTTTGACTGACCTGGCATGTAGCCTTGAAATGGCAAATTTACTTCAACGTCTCGAGACTGGCCTCCACCGAGCTGCCGGCGCCCACGAACGATTACGGTCTCAGGTTGACCGAATAGACGCTTATATGCGTACTTCGAGGTTGCTAGATATTACAGCAGCAAGCAACGCAATGCAAGTATCAGACGAAAAGACCGAACTTGCTGTTCCCTCACCATATCCACAGGCCGCCCTGCCCGTCGGAACCACAACTACTGCTGGCTTTGACCAGATGCCACAATTTCAGCTGCCGCCAGAACTGTTGGAAGATTGGCCATGGTCGTTCGATTCTTCCAATCCCGAGGGATTTTTGCCACTGGCATTTGAATGATTTTCGACTGAGTTTTCGACATTGGAGTTTAGGGAGACAGTTTATAACTGGATCGGTATATAAAGCGGGTATTTCAGTGTTTGAAAATAGATGGGGAGGTAAAATATTATTTCAATGAGAGTCAATCCGAAGTCTCCAACCGTTTGATATTGTGCGACTATCAATAAACATATCTGAAGTGAGGATGCTCCTTGTCTGTGAGATCCTGAAAATCCGCGGAGGATACACCTGAAGGGGCTTGGGATTCGGATGGGACTGATCTGGCCTTCTTGCGATTTTCTCTGGCCAAATAAAGCCTGGCGAGAAAATATGTCAGCTATGGGTGCTTTATGGCCTCCTGAAGTGTGGAAACTTACACCATCAGAAGCTCAATCACGATCATGAGGGCCACGCTGACGTAAAATGCCCGGAACCCAGTAGGATACGTAGGGGCTTCGCTGTCAATAAAAAACTGTGGAGCAACGATTTGTCCAACAGCATAGGAAATGAACATCATTACCTATTCGTCAAACGTAAAAGTCAGCATTTTGCTTTGGTTTCAGAAGACGGGGAAACTGACAGCACAAGTGGCCTTCTTAGTAAATCCACCAATATTCGAAGATATCAAGCTCATGCACATAATATATGGAATAGTGTTGACGTAGAGGACTGTTAACCAACGTTAAAATTGCTTTTAGAAGGTGGCTAAAGGCATGGAGACTTACTATAGTTTGGCCCAAGTCTCTGTGAGACAGGTAGAGCTATTTGCAGAAAGACGAGAAATAAGAGGAGTAATACTCAAGTAGTGGGATGAAACTTACTCTCAATCAATACACTTCCAATCAGCACGATGATATTTGCAAGAATCATCATCATGCATCTTGTATTAGGAATAACCTGAGAGATAACACCGGCCAGGACATTGATGAGCAGTTGAATTCCATTGGCAGGCATACCCATAACCACGGTCTCGCGGTCTGAGTATCCCAAGCCTTGGAGAACAATTTTGCCAAACTGCATCGTCTTCAGCAGAAACCTCAAAAACGTATGCCTCCTGGACTTACAGCAGTCAAACCCCCTCCGGGAATACATTGTAAAAAGCTCTGCGCACACAACATCCAGACTTGTATGTCAAGCAGAGCCTCCTTAACCTGGTAGAGTTTGTATTTGCGATTTTCAATACCCGTGTGATTTCGAGCAACCTGAGATACTTATTTAGTATGTCAACCATGTATCCCAACAATGGACATACCCTCATAACGCTGATTTTTCTTTCACGCTCTGTCAAGAACCAAGCAGACATCGGAGAGGTCGGCAGGAAGAAGAAGAGGAAAACGCCCCATGCAATACTGATGGGGCCAAAAACAAGAAAAACAACCTGATATCTTGGATTAGATTTGAGATCCGATCAATCAGATGAAGAAGCATCGTACCTGCCATGTGGCATATTGGCTGCCTTTCCACGCTCCCCCGGATACAGCATATGTGATCGAGTCAGCTATAAATCCGCCGACGCCTCCACCTGCCCACCAAATCGAAGCGCGTAGTGGTTGCTCGCCTCGAGTCCAGTATTGGGAAACCAGAATAGTCAAAATGGGGGTGATGCAAGTCTCAAAGGCACCCAAGAAGAACCGACACACGGACAAGCCTGCGAAGGAGTTGGTTGCCGCTGTGCATGTTGTAGCGACTCCCCACAAGAGGATCATAACTCCAAAGTATCTGCCCATTGGCAGCTTTTGCATCAGAATCGAGCTTGGATACTGCGCGAATAGGTATCCGAAATAAAAAATTGCGTTGGCCCAGCTATATTGTTGCCCTTTCAAGTGCTGTTCCCCCAAGCAAGTCATTGTCAGTCTGCGAAATAGCTGAAAGGGAAATTGATTTCAGGACGCACATCGCCGTCCAAAATTCCCAAAAATCGAAGACTCTCCCAAAGCCACCTTGTCCATGAAGGAAAGAATATATGTAATAGCCATCTGCAGAGAGCTCAGTCAGTTCTCAACGAAGCTTCGCACCCAATATATACTCTTTTCAAACATACCATTGGCAATAAAATGAGATCAAGCTTCCAACGAACCACCCGCGCCTCGTCCGCAGAATATTCAAACAAGTCTCCAGATGAAGCAAAAATTTGCATTGAGTCATCCTGATTCTGGTCGGGTGGACTATCTTTCGGTTTTTCGACGCGGGCAACAGCCGCCTCCGAGTGTTTCTCTGTCATGCTGTCAAGTAGCTGACTCGTATATGGCAAAAGGGAGGAATTCGATCAAGCGTAAACCCGTTGCTGGTATATCTTGCCATAGCATATTTATAGCTTTCACAAAATCATCTAGCAAAGGAGGACTTATCTCCCCGCATAGCTGATATCTGCGCGCGTGGGGAAACCGTCGGCTCTGCATTCCGCTTTGCCTTTTCGGGAGCACTTGGCGACCCCGTCGCTGATAAGCCCTAATCAGGAAGTGCTAAGTAGATCCCACGCTAGACCTCGATATGAGGACACCCAAATATTATTACTGGGGTCAAGTGACTGGCAATTAATTTTCCATTGTGGAACACATAACTGGCTTCGGTTCGTGCATTCTTACAAGATAGCGTCGCTAACATCACCTAAAAAGGAAACCTGCTCATAGCCAATCACGATATTTCTGCCATTACTCAAAGACCAGGCTACAAATTGCCGTGGATATAAGAGCACGTTTCTGGACTATTAGTAAAAAAATAACTCGAGCGAGCTCCAATCTGCGGCACAAACCAAGTCATCATGAGGACCGCAATTGATTTTTCATGCTACCAACATGTGGTCGTTCGAGGCCTACCATACGAACGTGGCTATTCGCACGGCCAGCAAGCTGCCTCCAAAGTCAAGGCCAACGTGGAATACTACAAACGGCCCGGGAAGCTGACCGAGCAGTAAGGAATCTAACAAGCACTCTTTGCACACTTCTCTAATAATACCACTAGTGCGTTGATGGAAAAGCTCATTAAGGATGTGTATATTCCCAACATCTCCGCGCACTACCCTGCGGCCCTCGAGGAGATGAGGGGTATTGCCGACGGTGCTGGAGTGTCGCTGGAAGACATCGTTCTGCTGAATGCTCGGTATGACCTGGCGCGTGTGGATAACCCTGAAGACGACCAAGCAAACGAATGCACGAGCGCATTCTTTCTCAAAGAGACCACGCAGAGCGGAGATGTTCTGAACTGCCAGAATTGGGACATGTCCGCGCGGCTCTGGTTGACGGACTGCATCATCTACCTCGAAGTGCACCCAGACCCGTCCGAGGCGAAGCCATCCATGTTTCTCGTCACTGAAGCCGGACAACTGGGACGTTCCGGGATGAACTCATTGGGAATTGCAGTGACGGCCAACTCACTCATGTCTACCGAGGACTATGCGCCCAACTCCAAAACAAAAAAGCCGGTGATGCCGATGTCTTTGCTTCGACGCATGATCCTCGAGTGCAGTCATTTGTCTGAGGCGTTCACGCTCCTTGAAAATTTCCCGCGCCATGTCTCGAATAATCTCACCCTCGCCACTGCCGAAGGGTTTGGTATCTGCCTGGAGATAACTCCTAGCCGAATCCATAAGGTCTACTGTGATATCGACGACAGTTACCTCGTCCACACGAACCACTTCACCGAAACTTCCTTTCTGGCGCGCCAGGATGTGAAAGACAGGTACCCAGGTGGGAGTAGCTGGTTTCGACGCCAGAGATTCGAACAGGGCATCCGGCCATACAAGAAAGGCCTCGTCAACAACGAACAGCTGATCAAGGCTTTCTCGGATCATCTTAGCTATCCTGAAGCCTTGTGCTGTCACCCGGACAAGAACCCACTTGATAAGGTCATTGGAGGTCTGCCTGGATACCCGTTCCGAGGATCGACGGCCACAGTGGCCTGCGTGATCTATAATCTGTCCCAAAGAACAGTCACGACCTGTAAAGGACCTCCATGCCAGGGCGTTTTCAAAACATTCCAGCTTGAAGGACCTGTCTCGCTAGAGAATACTGCGCCCAAGAAGAGTGATAGTGAATGCAAGGAGCGTCGAGAAGTTCCGTGATGTGATCCCAGATGGGAAATGTTGGTTGTTTGTTGTCTTTTTATATTATCCATAGAACTGATATTGATATAATCACACCTCAAAAAAGATCTTTCATACTTGCCCTGCTACCATTGCTATCCTGCCATTGGATAATCTGTTCCAGTAACTCTCTGCTTTTGACCACATGGAGACCCCATTGATTGAGATCTTTCATATAATCAAGAATCCAGTCTTGATAGACCTCATCATCAATTTCGATTCCAGCGATAAATAAGGGGAGGGGCCAAATGACCGAGCGAGGGGATTCAAGGGACTTGGATTTGCGGAAAACCCTGCAGAGACGGACAAGCTCTCGAGCCGCGGCTTGGGCATCTGGATCTGTCCGAACGTGTGGGTTGATGACTCGGTTTAGCATTATTGTAGAGCACAGGCAAAGTGCGCGGACTGTCATGATGTGAAAAGTGCTTGTGTCAACATTTTGGGTCCAATTTGAGCCCAACATATGCGAAGGAAACGCAAGTTCACACTCCTGAACGAGAGTTAGTTAACACTTATGATAGACGGAGTCTAATAAAGAAAAGAAGCAACTTGAGGTCACTTACTGCATGGATCCTCGCTAGATCAGCACGTAAAGCATCGATTTTCGCCTCTCGCAGCTCCTTCAGCAAGGGCTCGGCATTACTACTGGATGGCTGTTTCTCACTTTCCCAAACCTCAAAAGATCGAAGTTTACTGAAGTAGGAGAAAATCACATCGAACTTTTCGCGACACCGTTCCTTTCCCAGTTCCTGGTCATTTTCTTCCTTGGGAAGTCCGTTTCCAAAACATTCCCGGAGATATGACTGCTGCTTCCGAGGTCCCCGTAGAGTTGAAAGGGCGTTCAATTCAACCAACAGCCCCATCAAGTCTTGCTGCTCATGGTCGGCAGAGTCGACACTCCCGCCCAGAAACAGGAAGCGTAGCTCCATAAAAGCAAGCCAGATAACGATCCGAGACTCAATTATCCCAGGCATAGTATTATATTTCCAGTGCCGGCGGAATGTGACCTTAGTTTCATTTATTCGCGTGATAAATGAACTGAAATCGCCCACGATGAGATCGTGATGACATAGGAAGAATGTGGTCGAAATATACTGAGAGAGTTTCTCGGAGGAATGAATCGGAAAGGAAGCTGGAGATGTGGCTGAAGGCCGGTCACTGAGCTCATCGGATAGTATTTGAACGAATTGCGATGCAGTGGTGTAATGAGTTACTCGGGAGGATTCTGAGTAAAGTCCCAAACGAAAGAGATATGCATATGTCCAGCTGAGGATGCCGTGGAATAGTGGCGAGTTGGGAATAGCTTGCGCCAAGTTGATGAGATAGTGGTAACAGCTCCAGATAGAGCTTTTGGTCGAAAGCCACTCCGGGACCCGGTTCATGTATTGACTCCAGACCACAACATCCCAAGCTGGGTCTATTGAACTAGTTCGGGGACCTGGAGTAAAGTTGTCCTCAGTATTTGATTGGGGGTAGTGCAATATGGACGGTGGAAACAAGGCTTGGTAAGCGGCAAACGTGTCCATGGGAATAGTGTCAGTGCCCTGTCGTTGCCGAGCACTTGCAATAAGGCCAGCCCGTCTGTTAAAGTTCTCTGGGGCAATAGATGCATCCAAGCTTGATGCTCCCATGTCTATTCGGAAGTTATCGAAGAGTTCATCGAACATAGAGCCCGACGGTATGTCGCCCTCGGAATTTGCTTGCAGAGGTGATTGAACTCCATTCCCCGGCGTTTGCCCATCGCATGAAGTGAACGGACTGGAAATCTGAAATTCCGATGCATTTTCCTGTCTCTGCTGAGATGCAGACCATGATCTAAAATTCTGATGAAAAGAAGAAACACAGGATAGTCGCAGGCGGCGACAAGCGTCACAGGGGGTGGAACGTGAATTGCACTTGACTCTGCGCCGGCGACAGGTGAGGCAACCGGCGACGGAACGAGATCCCCGGCGCGCTGAAATCTGGTCGCCCCCTGAATGTCTCATCGTGTGTCCGGATGGGATTGTCCGACGGTGCGGAGTTTACCATCTATCTCTCCCCACGCTCTAACCAATCCTGGAAGGCAACCCCAACCCGCCAAGCCTCAGGCACCATCAACATTGTGTAGATCGATTGAAGCACATCTGATCTCTTGGAAAGCCAGCCCACATTCTGTTCACTACAGTTCTCAGTGTGGATAATATTGCAACCATGAGCTAGAGACTGTCAAAGATGAGCTCTAACAAGAGGTTAGGAGCTGCAGGCGATCCTGTAGGTTGCCAACCCCAAAGAATCGATGGTCAGTCTTCACACGGTATATCATATCAAAGGCTCAGTTTCATCGTACTACATTAGATGACATCTACGGCATTCCAAACATATTGTTTAGAGGTCATTGATATTCCCGCTAATAATAGTACAAAAATGCGTATCATACAGAGCCATCAATAAAAGTTCGGTGACAGCGTTGCGCTTGATAAGACCGGGCAGTCAAAGGCAGCGACGACAGTGGTGATGTGCTGCGCCAATCGTTTACTCATCCTTGGACCCGATGGCCAGGGCCTGCTGAGCAAGCTTTTTGTTCCGCCGAAGAAGAGCGGAGAACTTCTTGTCCAGCAAATCCACCTCCTTGCGGGTTCCTTCCAGGTCCTTCTGCGACTTGCCCGCGAATGCTTTCAGTTCATCATCCGTCAGGGCCGCAAGTTCTTCCAAGTCAGGATTGCTTCCAGACGCGATGGCTCCGCCGAGGAGGTGCTTGGCGGTGGCTGCGGCGAAGGATCGCACAGCAGCGGGGGTCGAGTTGACCAGCTCGGCAGTGTTGGTGACTGCCCAATTATGAGTGCGGGTTGTGTCTGCGTCCATGGTGGACAGCACATTCGGCGGCACCGTGGAGGCGGATTCGGTCGATTCCGCCGCAACCAGCGCTGCGTTCGGGGACGTAGCGCCCAGTCTGTTTGACGTGTCGTCCACCCAGCAGATGTTAAATTTCTCAGGAGTTGCGAAAAGCGCTTCGAGACCACCACTGCGGTTGCTGGGATCGGGTCCGTCCAAGGTAGGATCCACGACATCATTCATTTTCTTCTCCAGCTCGATGTACTTATCCTCCTCCTCAGTCGATAGATGGGGGATGACGCAGCCACGCGGCGTAATCAGACATCGATTCTTGGCCTCGGTACCAATGCGAACAAACTCACCGCGCAACAAGGTCTTCCGGTGGTCCTCGGTCAACTCAATGGGATGCCTGAGCAGGTCATAGTCATCGGCAGTGCACTTCATGTCGACACGCTGAGAGAGGTTCGCGGGGTTGAACAGCGAAGAAGTATGGAGATTCAGTTCCCCTGACCTGTGCATAGCAGCAAGCAGTTCATGAAGTGGTTTCGTCCGTTCCAGGAAAAGGTCTTTAACAGAAATCCCAGTGGCTTCAGAGTCCTTCATCAACTGTTCCACGGTATTGTGTGAGCGCCATTCCTCCACGGGAGGCTTTTGCTCGATGGGCTGCTCTGGCATTGTAGGGGTCTTTGCCTCTCGAGCCAGTTCTTCGTTTCCTTTCGCGTTCTTGGCGGAATCCGACTTGGGTTGATCCTTCTTCTTTGGGGACGACTTGTCTGGCTTGGCAGCAGTCACTCTCTCTGGCACAGTGTCGGCAGCTATATTACCCGACTCGACAATGCTGCTGGCAGGCTTCTTGGTCTTCCGCTTCCTCCCAAGAATCGGAGCTTGCACGGTTTCCTCCACTACTGGAACGGTCTCGACCTTCTTTGCCTCTGCTTCTTTAGCCTTCTGTCGTCGCTCCTTTTTGGCTTGGCTTTTGGTAACGGCACGAACTGGGGCAGAGCCAATACGGCTAGAAGCAGGAGGCGAGCTCGCACGAGATACAGAAGCGGACGCATAAAAGTCACCCTCGGAACCAAATTCAATCGGTGTATCCGGACGACTGTTGGACGAGATGCTTTGTTTGCGGGATCTTGCACCAACCGTTCCCGCAAAAGATGCGACAGATGGAGCAGTCGGGACAGGTGGAGCTTCGGCCTTTGAAGTATCCACCACACGCAGAACCCGAGGTTGGCGAGGACCCGAAGAGTCAGAGACTCGTGATGCAGTGGTCAACGGCGTGTTCGGGCGCGATTCAATTGCAGAGCCTTGAGCAGGAACCGGCTCAATCTTGGCAGAAACAGCTTCTTCAGGCTGGACAGTAGCAACTGATGTATTGAGCTTGATCGGGTTCGCCTTTTTGAGGGGAGACAAGTTCATCTCAGAGCCAGGTCTTACACCGGAATCACTCTTGCCAGGGGCGATTGAAAAGTCGTCCTTGAGGCGGCCTCCAGACTTGGTCGCAGACTTTGGCACGGGCGAACCAAACGATACCTGAGATGCGTCTTTGACATGACTGGACGGACGTGTTGTATTAACACCGATGGGAGGGGTTGAAGGGCGTGACAATGCGTCGTCATTTTTCGGAGTACCATATCCAGAGGAAAATTCTCCACCCAGGCCAGGAGGCGGCATGGGAGCAGGGGAAGAACGATTAGAAGCAGTCAGGTGGTCCTGAAAGGTACCCGGACCGGGATGAGCGTGGGGTACCGGCAGACCAGGGGGCAGATTTGGGGTTCCGGCACGCATGGACGAGTCGCTGGATTTGAGAAAGCCAAAGCTGTCGACAGGTCGGCGCTCTTTTGACTGCATACCGAGCGGAGGAAACTCCTCATCCACTAGAAGACCCTAGTCAGCGTTGGTTCTTCCCACTCAAATCCAGTGAGTTGGTGAGTGAAAGGTTTTCCCAGATGGTATTGGCAGAGGTCAACAGAAGGCGACGGAATCTCACGGTCAAGACGACTAGACAATCGATGACACGACGACTAATCGGGGATACAGAACAGCAAACAACGGTGATTACACGACGGGTCCCGCTCAATAAGAATTAGGTACAGAAGAGGGCTGGATATCTATGCAAACCGCGGGTGTGAGACAAATGTTTTCAATAGCGCCCTGCTTTGGTTTGAAAAGGCAGGGCAGGGAGGTCTTAACGTACATTAATCCATGATCTGGCTACCTGGGCAGTCATCAAGACGCCACAAATAGCAGATCGAAGCCCGAATGCAAAATGATTGAAGGGATGAACGAGTCACCGAACGGGAAAGGGGACCCAGAAGACACGCGAATATGTCCATAAAATGCAAGGAAACCTTGAACCAGAGAAGCACGGGAATAGAGAAAAACAGGAAAACAGTCAAGGCCCATCACCAGACGCCAAAGACAAGGCTAGCTCGTTCAAAACCGCCAGCCTTGTGTGTGTGTGTGAGAGAGAGAGGTGAAAAAAAGCAAATCGAAATGCAAACCGGACACCATGGGAAGAAATTGATATCATGTCATCAAGGGATACAGACCCGGTAAAACAATAGGGAAAAGGACCAAGGAAAATCAAGACCCAACGAAAGGCAAAGAAATCGAAAAGATGCAAGGACGCAGGAAGTTGGGAGAGTGATGATCGCGACCTTCAATAGCGACCGATTCCGCTGCCGTATACCATGGAAGGATTGTACCCACCTTGGCCTTGACTCCCGTACAACGCTTGCCCAGCACCAGCGTTCGCGCCGACCTGATGCATTCTCGCTTGCAAAATGCTCGGGTCCGCAAGATCTACTACACCACCTCCGCCGGAGGAAGTGTTAGCGTGTCTGTGCTTCTTCCCCTTCTTCTTCTGCTTCTGTGGGCCACCAGCTTCAGGATATGCTCCCAACTGGGACCCATAGAAAGAGCCGAGAAGGCCATTCGTAGGAGTCATGGGAGGTGGGGTATTGTGCTGTTGGAGGAAAGGAAACAGGGACTCACGCTTAGTATTTTCCTGACCTTGCAAGCCACCCACATTCGTTCCACCTCGGCCACGCAACAATTCGCGCATCAGCTCTGGTGTCGCTTCTTGCTTTCCGACGTTGGATCCGAGTCCAAGGTTGTTGTTTGACGTGAAACCATGTCCTTGTGCAAACATACCACCTCCGCTAATGGGGGGTGTACCAGCTGTCTTCAAACCTGGCGGAGGCCCCTGAGCACCACTTGCGTAAAAACCGCTCGCAAGAGCTTGTTGGGGACTAGGAGCGGACAGGGGGTTTGGAGTTCCGGATTGCATCTGACCTAACAGTCGCGGGTTGGGGACGTTCTTCGAACCGGCCTCGTTGGCAAAGGCGAAACGGGACGACTGCCGATTCTGCGCCTGTAAGGCATTGAACTGTGCCATCTGACTATGTAGGAGACCTTGACGAACCTGAGCAGCTTGATCCAAGGCAGCAGAGCTCAAGGGATCAGCTAGACCAGCCTGCTGGTTGCTCGCAGATTTCAGTAGCATCAATTGCTGTTGCTGGAGGGGGGTTAAACTGCGGCCTGCAAGATTCAAACCTTGGAACTGGTGGCTCGTTGCAGAAACAGGGGAGCCGACAGTAGAGTTGTCCGCAGTGCCTTGCTGGGAAGGTGGTTGGATAGCCCCATGGGATTCACGGCTTTGACGACCTCGGGGTGCATTGGATTCTTCTGGCTCTCCGCCCAGTTGCAAGCTACCGGCTTCGGGTCCCTCATCTTCAGTGGTAGACTGAAGAAGCTCATGCTCACGCTTGACGCGTTCTTGCTCAACCTTCTCACGCATTGCCCTTCTCTTCACGCCCCCGTACGGATCAATGAAAGAAGGGTAGTTCGAGATCATGGCAGCTTCATCTGGCGACAACTCGGAGGCTGAGAAAACAAACTTGAAGTCGGGGGACGTGACTGCTTTCAACAGACTGTCAAAAGGTGTTTCGGGCTTGATAGGAACTTGGCGAGACGCGGTTGCCTGCGATCGAATGTGGGGCAGCGAGGGCCGTTGAGCCTCCTGAGCGACCGGCGAAGGTTTCTCACTGCGCTTGAGATCTTCAGTGGGGGTCGCGATTGTGGCGCTTACGGGTCGTGGGCTCTGGGAAGCCTGGCTCCCAGTAAGACTGGCTCGCCTCGTCCGACTGATGGGAGCGTTCGTGTTCGCCCAGCTTGCGGATGAGGGCAAAGCCGGTCCATCTAGAACACCGGGACGGCCACTGATGGAGTCGTCTTTACTCGGCTGACGGCGTATGGGGTGGGAGGCGGGTTGGGCGGCACGAGCAGTGGGGTGAGACGGGCGTTGGCTGGACAATGTGTTCATCGACGAAAGATCCTGACGGCTGTAGCTATCACTATCCTCCCCGGTCTCGTGCAAGAATGTGCAGTTGCGGTTATTGCACTGCTCATTGCGAAGAAAAGACGAGCAATACTTGGTCGTTCCGTATTGAGCCCTGTTAGCGTCGCGCAACGTTAGCACAGGTTGACGGGCCTTTTGGACAGCGCATCGTCTTACCTCAGAACCCGATCACCGTTCGCCGATCCATCCACGGCAGCGATGCATGTAGCGGCATCAAGTTTCCGCGAGAACGTCACGTAGACACCGATACCCTGGTTGGGGTTGCCGCCAGGCTTCGCCTTGCTGACGACGATCTTTTCGATATCCCCATATTGTCCAAAGTAATCTCTTCCACGAAGAGTTTGGAGAAGCTGGTTTTCGTCGCGTATCGTCGGGTTGAGGCCGATCACGTAGACTAGGTTCTTCTGGACAACGCGAACCCCAGCCAAGTTCTTTCGGCTGGAAGCCTCGATTTCTCGTTTCTCTGCCTCCTTCTTCTTTGCCGCTGCGGCCTTGCGGTGTTTCAAGGCCAAGTCTGCTTTGAACCTGATGCGAAAAGAAGATGTGAGCAGAATGATAAGTACAGCGATGCCGGGGGGCAAACTCACTCATCCGCATTTGGAACCTTGTACTCGATCGTACTGTCGTCGTAAGAACGTCGGCAGTTCGGGCATCGACCTTCCTCGCTGTGGGTTTTGATATTGTTGTAGCAGAATTGGCAAATCTATAGAGAGCCAGGTATCAGCGGTTGCACGGAGGAAAACGAACGCCAAGTTTCTCCTGAAGGACTGGCGCATGTTCAGGAGGTGTCATAGAACGTACCTGATACCCACAGGGACAGGGCTTGAAGTTCTTGTCCGAGAGATCGAACTCTTCGATGCAAAGGGGGCTAGCGCAGATGTCAGTGCCAGAGTTGCGTGTTTTGGAACCCAAGGCGAACGTACCAGAATTCATCATCGTCGTCGATGACTGAGTCGATCTGTTGGCGACTAGACATGATGACGGGAAATCTGCGATAGAGCGAAAGGCGAAACGGAGATCAACCGTCGAACAGACGGGTGAAAGACGGGAGAGAGAAAAACGCGCTCGCCTGGAGACGATGGGTAAGAAGAAGAGAACGAAATGGGAGTGAGAGAGGGAGGAGAGTGGGTGGAAGGAAGGACGCGCGAGACAGGCGATCGATGATGGGGAAGGAGGTTGAGCGGCGAAGGAGAGAAAGAAAGGGAAGGAAAAGAAGCGCGGCTGCATTTTGCTGGCATTGCCCGATCGCGTTAGGCCCGACGGGTTATGTCAGCATAGCCACGTGACTGACTCGCCCAACTCAACTCAACTCCCCAATTCGTGCCCTTCCCTTCCAGTTGCGCCCGCACCTGCCATTGCCTTCCTGCCACCATGGCTTCTGCACGCTCTTTGATGCGATTGGGCAACGGCCGCTCGGTGGCTTCGGCCTCGAGATCCTCAATGGCCGGCCGTGCCTTTTCCTCGTCTTCCCTGCACTACGCACCCAAGGCGTCGACTGCACCGGGCACACCGGAGCCCGAGAACATGCGGCAGGCCCAGCGTCCGCGTATGTGGATAATTTCAACGGCGAACTTCTCATTCAATTGAACTAACTTTCCTTCTTCTTCCAGCCCAGGGACCTCTGCGCGCCCCGGTCATCAATCCCACGGATAAGTACCAGGACAAGGCCGACAGCCTGCACAAATATGGACAATATGTCATGTCCTGTCTCCCAAAGTACATCCAGCAGTTCACGGTCTGGAAGGATGAGCTCACCGTGTACACTGCCCCAGCGGGTGTTCTGCCCGTCATGAGCTTCCTCAAGAACCACACAGCGGCCGAGTTCACCCAGATCTCCGACATTACGGGCGTGGATTTCCCGACCCGCGACCAGCGCTTCGAGGTGGTGTACAACTTGCTCAGTGTCCGCTATAACTCCCGCATCCGCGTCAAGACCTACGCCGACGAGGCCACCCCGGTGCCCAGTGTGACCAGCCTGTTTGAGGGTGCTCTCTGGTACGAGCGTGAAGTGTACGATATGTTCGGTGTCTTCTTCTCAGGCCATCCCGATCTGCGTCGCATTATGACCGACTACGGCTTTGACGGCCACCCGCTGCGCAAGGACTTCCCGCTGACGGGATACACCGAGCTGCGGTATGACGAGGAGAAGAAGCGCATTGTCATCGAGCCGCTCGAGCTCACCCAGGCCTTCCGCAACTTCGAGAGTGGCAGCACTGCGTGGGAGCCTGTTGGCGCCGGTCAAAACCGGACGCCCGAGTCGGTATGTAAAATCCCGTTCTGACATGGGCAATCATCGCTAACTCAACGGACCATATAGTTCAATCTCCCGACCCCGAAGCCGGAGGAGAAGAAGGAGGAAGAAAAGAAATAGAAGGGCATTGTATGCGTATTACTTTCCTTGCCATATTTGTATGTACATACCAGTCTGCGTTAAATCGACGGTGTTCCCACGAACGTGGTTTCCAACACAAGAATTTTGCAATGCTGTAGATTTCGTAATTCTTTTCGTAAATTCCCACTATCATTATCAATAAAGATCCACCAAATCTAGCCCGTTCACAAGTCTGAAGTGTCGCGTCTGGTGTGCCGGACTACTATCAGTCTTGGCACATGATCCGCGCCGAGCAAAAAAAAAAAGTTACCCAGCACCTGCTTCAGCTCAACTCAACCAAAACCTTCCGCCGCAACAACCACTCTCATCCTCCTCTCGATCGCAGTCTTTGACTTCCTCGGACTATTTACTTGTGTGATCTAATAACATCCACCATGCCGAAACGCAAGCTCTCCGAGCTCAACGGCCCCGCGCGGTCCAGCGACGCCCGCAAACTCTCCATGCAGGCCGTACGACTGACAAACAAGTTCGACAACGGCGTCCAGCTTCTCATACGCGGCCTTAAGGTAGCGCGTGGCTTTGAGCGACAGAAACTGAGCCGGCGTGAGAAGACGGCAAAGTCGCAGGAGAATGCTTCCACGACGTTGTCACGGTTGGCGGAAGAAGTGAAGGCTTTGAAGGTGTGTTTCCAGGCGCTGCTCAGGAGTTTGCTTTGACAACCTTGCCCTTTGACCTATATGGTGAGCTTGTACTAAGTATTGGATTTATTTGCCATACAGGAACTCGACTACCATGCAACTGCAGAGAAGTACCTATTTAAGCAGCTTTCCAAGACAAAGCGGATTGCAGAGTCATCTGTGTTCGGCGAGTTTCAAGAATCGAAGAAGATCTCCACGGAGGGACCTAAAAGCACTGCCGAAGCGAATATCCAGGCGCGACTGTTCAAGTCGACCCCCGTACAAAAAGTGTTGCCGGATATCATGGCTGGAATTCGGACACTGCTGAAGTTGGAGGAGGTGCCGGCTGGAAAGCAGCAGAACACCAAACCCAAGACGGATACAGCGCAGAAGGATAAATCAGCGCGCCGGAAGCCAGACGAAGTGGAGTCCGAGTCATCGTCAGCGGAGGACAAGGAAGCCAAGACCGACACCAAAAAGAAACCTGTCTCGGCTTCTGAACGCATTTTTCAATCAGAAGAAGATCAAGACATCTCTGGCGCAGAAGGATCAGGAAGCGAAGACTTTGCCGAATTCGATAATCTCGTGGGTAGTTCAGACTCCGAAGACGAAAACTCCGCAAAGCACGACCTCCAAACTCAACACAACCGTCAAGCAACAACAGCAGACGACATCTCCATCTCATCAGTCTCCCGCTCGCCCTCACCCTCACACTCCTTCTCCGCCGCAGAAGACTCACCCCCACCACCAACCAAAAAGCCCAAGGGCAGCACCAAATCCTCCAAGGCCCCAGCAACAGACACTACATTCCTCCCCTCACTAATGATGGGCGGATACTGGTCTGGCTCTGAGTCCGAAGCAACAGATGACGAAGCCGCAGCGGGGCCACCAAAGCGCAAGAACCGGATGGGCCAGCAGGCTCGGCGCGCTCTATGGGAGAAGAAATACGGCGAAAAAGCGAATCATGTCCAGAAAGAAATGAAGAAGCAGAAGAAGAACAGAGATAGTGGGTGGGACGTTAAGCGCGGTGCTACGGACGCTGGGAGGCGTGGCAGACGGCCTCAGAATCGCCGTGATGAGCAAACGGGTGCTAATACTATGCCTTTGGGTAAAGCCAAGAGTGCAGCGCAGGACAGTGGGCCGTTGCATCCTTCTTGGGAGGCAAAGAAGAAGGCGAAGGAGCAGGCGTCCACCGCCTCGTTCCAGGGGAAGAAGGTTGTGTTTGATTAGGATGCCCCTAGAAACCAGATCTGCTGCCATGCCCCATGGATGTGACCTGACTTCCTCAATGACGCGGTACACCGTCGAGGTGCGGTCGGAGACAAGAGCAATTAGCTGCATGCAGACCTGGACTGGATATTATATTCTTTTGCATATTCAGCGCTGGGTAGCTTCAGACGAGTCCATGACATTATAGATATTCTCTCTCACCAAGATTATAAACAACAAAGTACAGATAGGACTGACAATAAACATAAATGGTATACCGACCAGTAAACAAACCAAGCAATGACAGAAACGCTGAATTCAAATCGACAAAACTAAAACACAAGATCACTCATTCATAAACTGCAGCCAGTGCGGATCAGCAGGACCTTCGTTCTTCACATCCGAACCCACCATGCCGGGTGGGTGAGCCTGCGCATCGGGCTCGAAGCAAGGGATGGCAGTGAACTCGCCGAGCTCCTGCGGGAAATTCGACACGAAGTGATCGAAGCCAAAAGTTGGCATTTGGGACAGCGACTGTTGGGAGATTGAGAAGTTATCTGAGAACCCGCTGCTGGGAGCATCTCCCCCCAGGATATCCTGGTCTAGGCCTATCATGCCTGGATCGGAGCCGTTGCGGGTACCAGCCATTACTCCGGCCGGCGGGGTTGTGGTCAAGCCGGGTACGGCCGCGGCGGCTGCAGCGGCGGCGGCAGCGGGAGCATGGAGAGAACTCAGTCCCTGATGGGAGGGCGGATCGCTGGCAGCGTAGACTTCCTGCTGCTGCCTGGCGACGGTGGATGGGGAGATAGGCCCGGTTTTCCAAAGCATCTCCCAGTTTTTGAAACGGTCGTAGGCAGACTCACTGCTCCCATTGCTTTGGGTCTGCTGGGTCTCGCTCCACACTTCTAAACGACGAATGGCGCGCTCTAGCGCTTCGATGACGCTGACTGCTGAACGCGCCGAACCAACGCCCATGGACATGATCTTGATCAAGGAAATACCCTGCTCCAGGGCGGCGCCAAGTCGTTCGGTCCGTTTGGTCAGACCTTGAGCCAGGATCACTAGGAGGGCAGCGCGGCAGGAACTAAACTCAGTGAACGAAGCACGAGCAAGTCCGGTCTCGTCACGGAGAAGTCGGCACAGATCAATGATTTCCAGGGCCGCCTCCACACAATCGGTGACGAGGGCCACGCGGTTCTTGGAAAGACCGGATGGACCCTTGTACAGGGGCGCATGAGGAGGACCCTTGATGTTGCTGAAAAGAAACGGGCGCCCAATGAAGACTCTGGTCAGACAGTAGTCCAACTTCAGGTGGACATTGGAGCGGAACAAAGGCTCTCTGGGGTTGAGATCGCGACAATCTTCTGGTAAAGTCGACCACCACTCGACCAGATGTTTGCGCATGTTGAGTAGCCGCTCAAGACTGTCCTGTTGCTGGGTTTTGCGGCAGGTCCGGAGAGAGGTGCTGTTCGAGTGTTAGTCTGAGAATTGACAAAAGGGGGGAAGCGCCTACATTTCATTCGAGACTTCCCCAAGCTTTAATGTCAGCGTGATCAGGGTCACCATGTTCGTGTGGTTAGACGGCTGTCCTGCGGGCGTTAGACCGGGGAAGTCCACTGGGGGCGGTGCGTCGACGTCGGAATCAGCTAGAGAGGCTGGCCTGCCATGGAGAATGCTGATCCGTCTGGGGAATTGTTAGTCTTGGGTTCAGAATTCTAGGGGCAAGACTCACTTCTCAATTGTATAAGCCGTCCAGAAAACTCGATTCCGCACTTCAATTATCCGTTGTGACAGCCCTTCTCCATGGTATCTCCGATGCATCCCATTCTGAATTGCCAGCTTGAGAGCCAGGCCGAAATATGTATAGCATAGCCCCGATGTGTCAAGCGGGAGTAAGTATGTCCCAATCAAAAGACACGCCTGTACACTCCGAACAGAAGCCGTGGCAATGATATCCGGTAAAAGCTTGGACGCAAATTGATAGAACGTCAGACCAACCTCGTCCTCCGAAAAATGGTGGTCCTGGCTCGCCGCAGAATCATAAGGCAAGCAATTCACCGGGGTGGATGATTCCATATGGGCAAACTGCGTGCCCACCGCTAGAACCATCAGGATAGCGCACACCGCTCCGGCGTCGTCGGGCAATAAATCGTCCGGATTCGTATAGCAGACGGCCAGCTTGTCGCGGAGCCAATCTTCTTCAATATAGAAGTTGTTTGTCTGGGCATATTTGAAGAAGATCTGGACCAGGAAATCGGCCACATATCGTGGTGGGAGACAGGTGATTGATGCAGAGACTAAGGAAGACCCAGATTGCAGCTGTGTCGATCGCCATCGTTCCTCAAATGGCTCAACTTCGGTGGTAGCCTGGGAACCCAATTAGCACAGATCCTTTTGGACACTCAAGGTGGCTCACGTCTGGTGCCGCAGTCTTCATCCACTCGTCAATCTTCTTTCGGATTTTCATGGAGAAATTCAAGTAAGAGAACTCCCCGGAGTATTCTTGCAATGCCCAAGTCAGCCCATTAAGTCAGCGCCAAAGCAACATAGCAACATACGGGTGGTATTATCAGGCAAAGCCTTGATAGTGAAATCCTCCTCGTCAATAGCCAAATCCTCCATGTCATTACCATCCATATGATTCGAGAACACATCCGAGTCCGAGTCCCGGTGTTTGCCTTTCAAGTCCTCGGCGGCCTGACGCAGGGAATGGATATCGAAGGTGCTATTAGGCATATAATGCGACAGGATGCGTTCCATGAGCCGCACTCTCTCGGCCTCAGCGATATCATGACGATTCAGGGTCGCCGCTCGCTCCAGGAGCCTATTATGTTCGCCAGGCCGTCAGACACATCAGCGCGAAACGGAAAGCGAAGGGTCAAACTCACGAGACACTCGTCGACCGGCTCTTCTCGCTCGGATCGATATGCGTGAAGAGACATTGTCTCCGATAGCGCAGGCACCGGCGACAAGGGACACCGCCCTCACATTTCTCCTTTACTCTCCGGCAGCCGTCACATCTGCGCGGAATGCATTAGCGAACCTGTGCGGGCACACCGGGGAAGAGAGGGCGTACGCTCTGACTGCTCGTTTGCGATTCTCCTCGGCTACGCGCGGGCGCTTCTGCTGGTGCTGCGCGGGAGTCGAGGCCGTGTCGTCCATGGCAAGCAAAATCGAGTCACAGTGAGGCGACCGACATTGCGGAGGTGCGGAGCCAAAGCGGAGACAGAAAGCGGTGCGGGCGTGGAAATAGTCGCAGACTGCGCGAAAGTGCCGAAAGTGCCGATCGACTATGCAATAAACTCAAAAGTCGGGTTAGTTGTAGGCTGGGTAAGGCTGGGCAGGTAGATGAGGAAGTGAGTGATGGTTCTGTCGGAGTAAAAGAGGAGTGGGAGTTTATCAGCGGCCAGATAATGCCAATGCCCGCCGATTTATTCTAGGTGTACTAGGGTTTCTGTGATGCTAGTTCTACTACGATGCACTATTGTATATGTCTCATGATATTCATGTTTCAGATAAGACGCTTGTCAACGGGCAGTGCTTGCAAAACCGCCCCCAGACAGACTGGGGGCCGTCAAACACGAGGTGTGGCTCAGGAACCATCGGCCGATCTGCCTCGAAACAGGCATCGCCAAAGCATTCCTCCATGCTGAATTAGGCAGGTGAACGACATGACAGCAGCTTCTTGACCTCATCTCTATAGACAAATGAGCCGATCCTTACTGCTGTCAGAATCCGTCAACGTGCGTGCCCAGACCCATCTCGCGCCCAACCTCCAGCACCTTCTTCCCCACGACTAGGTCCATGAGTCCCATCCCCACACATTTGTAGATGACATTGCAATCCGGGCGCACGTCCAGCGCACCGCCTGGCCCTAGCGCCCCCAACAAATCGCCCATTTCGGTCAATTGGTCCTCTTGAATCTGCGCGGAGATTAGCTCGCCTGCCTCCTCGAGACAGGCGGTCTTGGAGTCGACGTAGATCTTCCCACCCCCTGACATAAGCGTGTCGGTATCAATCTCGTGCATATGCGGCTTGTATGAGCCGATGAGCGAGATAAATCGCTGTTTCGGAGCAGCTTGGAGGGCAGAGAACGGGAAGTTGGGCGCAGGTGATGGAGTGCAGCTGAAGATCACGTCGCAGGCTGCTAGTTCCGCGTTGAGTCGGGACTCATAGTCATCCACGCCCTCCTTGGCGAGCGTAGCAAATTCCACATGCGAGTGGCTCTGGCGTAGAGGAGCAATGACATCGCGCTCCGTTTCCTCCAGACGCTTCCGACCCCGGTTCACGAAGGTGATGTGACGGATCTGGTCCGGGTAAAGCAACAGAGCCAGTCGGGCATGCCATTCCGCCTGGCGACCAGATCCGAAAACAAGAATGGTCTCTTTAGAAAGCGCTGGACACCTCACGAAGAGGGTCATTGTCGCCAGCGCTGTGCGAAAGGCCGTCACTTCCGCCGCAGCGAGAAGGCCTTGCAAGCGACCTTCTGGCGAGAAGACATTGATGACCCCTCGAATCCCGCTGCTGCTGACGGTGACAACCTTGATACCGGTGCTAGCAGTGTCAGAGACCGGCATGAAAATGCAGGTGTTCTCATCTTTGGTCGTGAATACGGTGCGCAATGGCTGGTGAATGCGCTGCTCCGATGCCGGAGCTGTTGATTTGGACTCGGCAGAGATGGCAATCAGGGCTTCACCGAGTGCGGTGATGAGACTATGGCCTTGTTTTTGAGTCAGGCTGCGGAAAATCTGGGCTACGTCTGGCTCGGAGAGGACGTGCATTTGGGATTGAGTGGGTGTGGGGTTGCCCGGATTGATGCGTTTGCAGGAGTTTGTGAATATAGTGATTTAGACGGTGAAGATATTGTTGTCTATGGCGATAGATGGTTGTATCAGACAGATTACCACAATGATCTTGCGCAAGGAGATGGGTGTAGGAAGTGTTCCGCACATCGGATGGACGATCCGCGGGTTATCTCGGCGGGGTGGAATCGTGGAGAATGCTACAACTGTGAACTATGA